CATTATTCATATTTCATATTATCACATACCAAACGCCCACCCAACACCCTTTCTTTCACATTGCAATATTGCATTGCCTCTTCCACTTCCTTCCTTTACCAATTCTCATACCACTTTGTAGGATGTCACGTCACTAAACACAGCCTCTAAACCTAATCAAATTAAGTTTCAACCCCAAAATTATAACTTATAATGCTAAAGAATAAAACTATTTTAACACTTGGTTAATATTTATTTACTTATCGTATATAAATTATACTATATATGTTTGTGTATGGTATATACACCAAAATTGTGTGTTAAAATATATTTATGTTTGAATAAATTTGACACAGAATCAAACGCACTTTAAAATTCTCAAATGTATATATATTTTTCTGTAAAATCACTTCTTTTATCACTAATTGTGACTATACGATTTGTAATTTGCCTGTTAAATATTTAGTTAGAGACTACGAATATAATTTTTATTGTTTAGAAACTATTAGATGATGATGTGGTTTGTAAATTTGCGATATGTAAATTGAGTAATGTTATAAATTTTTATTAATGTATCTTTCTAATATTTTATAAAGTTAAGTTTTTATATTTTAAAATATAAAAATAGATTGAATATTTTTTATTTAATAAAAAAATTATTAAAAGATAGTATGAAAGAATTTAAAATTGTTCGTCTAAATTTATTTCTTTCAGTTCACGTCTCTTGATTATAAGAGATGAATGATTGATACGTTACAAATACCTTTTCGGGGTAGTCAATGACGATGAGAATAAAGATACTCCGAGTGCAAGTAACAACTAGTTTTCTCTCTTGTCCACCAATTATTTTTGCCAAATTAAAACGAAAATACAACTTTTTTTATTTGAATTATTAAAAAAACATTATAATGACATCATACATCATTATTTTTTATTTTTTATTTTTGATATACACACATCTTAACAATTCTTTCTTACTATAAAATTAAAGAAACACAATTTATATTAATGGTACAAGTATTTTCCTATATTAAATTCATTTAATTATAAGAATATGTTTTTACAGTGAGATCTTGATGTAATCATTTAGGGCCATTATGTTCTTTAAGGCGTCCCACTCGTACTGACTATGGATTTTAAAATACGTTAAAAAAATTGTAAATATAAATTCAAAAAAATAAATTACAGCTAATGACTAACTTCCATACATAATATAATCTATTCTAAAAACTAAACTAAGGTATTGTTTAAATATAGAAACTCTTTCAAATATTTTATTTTATTTTATTTTTTCCCTTTTAAATACAATTAATTCTCATTTTTAAAAGAGTACATCGGTTTTGAGTTCATATCTTATTTTAATTTTCCTTTTAATTAAGGATATCTGAAAGTCTCAACTACCACAGAGATAAAGAGCAGAATATAAAATGTAACTGCATATGCCCCACAGGGTGCAGCTCTATTATTGTTTCCACCACAGAGGACCCAAAAATAAAAGAATTAGCAAATTTCTAGAAGCCAGCCATAATTAGAATTTAGAAAACCTAATTTGGTATTTGGATATAAATTTGTATCAATTATGTCCAATTAATTATGAAAATATAACACATATTAATACTTCATCACAACCATGCATGTGAGAGGTCATATGCATATAAATTCTTATTGAATAAATGAACTTGGGTATGAGACCAAATCCTTTTATATAGCAAAATACAAGCCAATTAACTTGCAGCTGATTAACCTCTGATGAGAGTGCCATTGATGACTTTTATGAGTTAGAGAGAATTGAATAGAAAATTCTCAATGATTAAACAAAATTGTTCACTTCACGTTAATGGAGATCCAATGATGGAATTGAAACTAAGCTTTAATGAAAGAAGGAATGTCATTGACCCGTCTATATCAGTCATGTGATGAACATATATAAATGAGCTGGTTTGAAAATAAGCTTATTTGCCCACAATATGTTACATCTCATACAATTTGTCTCCACTCAGCTGTGTCCCTTTAGCAAGTCAAAATTACATGCATATGATTTGATACTTGTCACGTTTCTTTATAGATCTCATAATTACTCAAACAAAGCTCAGAGTTGGAGCATTTGAGCAAATTTAAACATGAAACAAAATTTCTGTAAATTGAGCTATAAGCATGAGCATTTAAAAATATTTGATAAAAACGTTGAATCATATTTTAACATTAAAATTATAATTTGTAATATTAGAAAGAATTTGTGTGAGTGAAGGAGAAGAGGTGAATTGGGTTGTAAGTCAGAAGTGATGATAAGACCATGTGGCAACATTTATGTGCATTAATAAGTGAGTCTTGGAGTGGTGGAGGCTTATTATTATACAGATGACACATGCAAGCCGTATGAATTTGTCATATCCATTATATGCAAGTCATTCTCAGCTTCCCCGTAATTAGGAGCAAACAAAGGGTTCAAATCCCCATGCATAAAGGAATTCGTAAGCAACGAGTAAAAGTGTCTCAATAATGCAATATTGAGTCCAAACTTCATTATGACTGAATCTACCATGTCAACCACAATCTATCAGTTTACAAACCCACCAGATCTTCCCTTCACCTTAATGTTTCATGCACAAGACTTTCTTCTTTTAAAAATCATAACATGTATTCCAACATAATTTTTAATTAAATCTTTTTATTTATTAATCAGTGTCTTTAAGACACTAGTCAACAAGATTTATATAAACAAAAGAGAATTCAGAATCAAGGCTTTTATGAAAAAAACTTAGAGCCATATGTATTAGGAATAATCAATATATTGTTTATAAACTAAATATTACACTTCTTATTTTGATATTGATTAGATTTTAGGTTTCATCATATATTTTTAGGACTTTAGCATTTATCAAGTATTTACTCTGGGAAATTAGTTTTGGGAAAAACTACAAATGGGCTTCAAATTTGGTCCATACAATGGGCTTTATTGTAAAATGGTTTACATTATAATGGGCCTAATTGGTGATCATAGGAGGGTTCAATCACTATGGTTATATCAGTATCAGTCCATTAAGAAAATTGGATTCATCATATACTAACTATATAATATAGCACTATTTCGTTAAAGTAGAACATTAATTACTCAACTTTTTAGAATGCTAAACATTATGGAAAGATATAAAAAGAAAGCATATTAACTGAAGTTCTGACTCTTTCAACCCCAAGCCCAAGGTGACTTTAGAAAGCCCAACTATTTTTCACAAAACTATATTCAATCAAATAGAAAGACCAACGAAAAAATCTATACAGAAATAAATTAAATTTTTCTTAGCAATTTTCATTAATTGTGATGATGCTTATTCATTTTCAAATCGTAATTAACATATATAATTGTTCATTATACTGTGGTACACGATAGCTAGGGCAAGAATAAATAGCATAGCACACAAGTATTGTTTGGTTGGATTCGTAAAGCCACGTTTTGGCGTACCAATTAGGTGGATATAAGTCACGTCGCATTTTAACTCTATCTTTTCTTTGTACATTTTCCATTAACAAAATTAAATTCCTTCTGAAGTTACTCCTTCGAATATTTCCCCCACAACAATAACACACAGAATATCATACATCATTCCGAATATGAGTTAAATTAAATTCGTTTACACTAAGCATTTTTGTGCTCATTACGCCATACATTCCTAGCATATCAACCTAATAATTTGATATACATATATAATCTAAGAGGCAAGATCTTAACTGATATTAAATATAAATTAAATGTAAAAAAATCCTTTCTATATTAAACATAAAGTAGTATTTTAAAATGTTAAGTTATATACCTACATACTTGTCACTGTTTTTCTACTTTAGTATCTCGCATACGTTGAATATCTAACTCGTTATTGTTGATTGTTAACTTAATTAATTGATGATAAAGAAGTATATATATTGTAAAATAGTTATTATTTTACCCGCGTTGAGCATGTACTTGTGTTTTATATTTTAATTAAAATTTTATATAAATTTTACAATTTAAGTTAAGTTTTTTTCCCTTTATTATAATTTTATGTATTATATTATGGGTGTGTTGTATCTTATGAATGCATAATATATTCTCTCTCATATTCGTGTTGTGTTTTCGTATTTGTAATTTAAGGAGGGTTGGGGAAAGGGGAAGATTACGTTGGCATGCGATTCTTAAATGAAAGCAACTGATCGAATAACTTGTACCTTACAACTAACATACCCAAATTGCCCGAATAATAAACTTGAATACTACTTACTAGCCCTTACAAGTTTCTTAATTTCGCATACATATGGACATGATCACACCTCTGTATTTGGCTTCAAAGCATAATAGGGAAAATATATATTCATCGTGTACATATATATATATATATATATATATATATATATATTTATATACATACACAACGCATTGTTTTATTCAAAGTACATGAATATTGATCATGTCTCAAGATGATATGAATATGAAGCCAAATTGGTGAGAAAACATGTGAGGTTTAATGGCCTTTTTTTGATTTTTTAACGATTCGAAAAAATCAGCTGGAATTAATTTATTAAATAAAATAAACTCTAGCTATAGTCTTAGACCATTGATTTGGCACCAAATCTTATTCTGATCACTATCTACAGTAGTATGTATATTTTTCCTGTAACTTTAAATTAAGTTAGCATTAAGTTTATTTCACTTTCATTCTTTGGCAATCAAATCCAACCTAAGAATCTGGGCACAGACTGACGCCACCTACACCACCTCATTCTCTTTATACAACTATAAATACACGTCCTGCATGCCATTTGAATAGCAAAATAGTTGTTTGTGTTCCTCCATCATTTCCTCTTAAAATTATTTGCAAGTTTATTAGTATGTGGAGCAAGATGTTATTCAAATTGAACTGTATGAAACACGAGTGAAGTTGATAGTAGTAGTGTGACAGTGCATGGTGAAAACTTGGTTGTTTTGCCAAACTGTAATGTTTGCATAGAAGAAAACAAACAATGTAATTGTGACCATATTATTGTCACAGAAGGCGCCAATCATGATGCTAACGCCAACAGTTCTTTTACTCATGCTGTCATCAACATGGTGGGGATGCTCATAGGTAATTAAAGTTTCCATATGCTTCAATTGCACACAATAGAATGTAAAATCAAGTTATAATTATTAAGATGTCCACGTAAGTTAGAAAAAGAGTAAAAAACAATACTTTTTATAAAGTTTAAGAAAACTTTTCATAAGTTAGAGTTAATTTTATGATATAGCTATTCATGTGTTTGTTATTTTAAATTTTCAGTTTAGGTATATAGCTCTACATATACTTTTTCTCTCTAAATGCATCCCCTGTTTATAAGAGTCGAATCTTTTCACATATGTGATCGTGTCTTTCAAAATTTGTAATTTGATATTTTCTGTTGAGTGTGCTCTGATCAGCTTTGTAAGTTTATTTACTTTTCCCTGCATGGATACGGGATTAACGTTTAGAATACCAAACAGAATCCAGAACATATATACCAAAAAACTCTTTAGAGTAGTGTATCTAAGATTCGCAAGGTCACTATTTCTGTTTCTAATCCACTTGGTGTTTGTCCAAAATTGGAGATTCCCACCAACAAAATAAATTCATCAAATTACTCGATCCAAATCAATTAAGATAGAAAATACTAACAAATTATTCAAAAGTTTTGAAATTTTTATATTCCCTTATCAATTAACAGATATGTTCAACTACATATTTTTTGAAGGTTTGGGGCAATTGTCAACTCCATATGCTGTAGAAAAAGGAGGGTGGGTGTCTGCATTCATGCTTATAGGACTTGGAGTGATGTGTGCTTATTGTTCTCATATACTTGGAAAATGCCTTAAAAAGAATCCCAAGTTAAGAAGTTTTGTGGATATTGGGAAGCATGCATTTGGAGCAAAAGGAAGATTAATAGCTTCAACATTCTTCTACATGGAAATTTTCATGTCCCTTGTTTCCTACACCATCTCATTGCATGACAATTTGATCAAAGTCTTTTTGGGGACTAATTTGAAGTTGCACTTGGCTAAATTTTCTTCATCACAGCTCCTAACAGTAGTGGCAGTCTTGATTACCCTGCCTAGTTTGTGGATCAGAGATCTATCTTCCATATCTTTCCTTTCCACTGTTGGTATTCTCATGTCTCTTCTTATTTTCATGTGTGTAGCAGCCACTGCAATTTTTGGAGGTGTCAAAGCTAATCATACCATACCTGTCCTTCAGCTCCATAATTTTCCATCAATTTCTGGCCTCTATATCTTTGGCTATGGAGGACATATTGTTTTCCCTGATTTATATAAAGCCATGAAAGACCCCTCAAAATTTACCAAGGTATGTGACTATATGAAATTTTATAGACTTGTCAACTTAATAAAAACATTCAATTCAACATTTGGAATAGGAGGTTAATTAACAAGACTTCAATCATGAAGTAGTAAATTCCCACTTTATTATATATAAGATAAAATGTTAAAGCATTTTTATTATAAACTCTTTTGTTTGGAAATTTCAGGTCTCTATTGTGAGCTTCACAGTGGTTACAACAATTTATACGACATTGGGGTTCATGGGTGCAAAAATGTTTGGCAATGATATAAAGTCTCAGATCACTCTTAGCATGCCACCAGAGCAAATTGTGACAAAGATTGCTTTGTGGGCAACCGTGCTTACACCCATGACCAAATATGCACTTGAATTTACACCATTGGCAATTCAACTAGAGCATGCACTTCCAAGTGCCATGAGTGGAAAGACAAAAATGATAATTAGGAGCTGCGTGGGTTCACTTTTGCTTTTGGTCATTTTAACACTTGCTCTTTCAATTCCTTACTTCGAGCATGTGCTTAGCCTCACTGGTTCCCTTGTTAGTGCGGCCATTTGTTTAATTTTTCCATGTGCTTTCTACATGAAGATATGTTGGGGTCAAATACCAAAGCCTCTCTTAGTCCTAAACATGTCTCTCATCACATTCGGGTTTATTCTTGGGGTGATGGGTACCATTTCCTCCTCAAAGTTACTATTCAAAAATTACCAATCACATAACTCAACTTGAGCCACTTGGAATAATTCATGAGAGATCCTTATATATAATATTAGACCTATATATGTGTACCACTAAATCTTGTAATGTTATACGAGTCGTGTATGGCTATGTATGTGATTCCATGCATGCATAAAGTAAAGCAACAAATCTATATTGCTTATACTACTCGTGTCGATTCCAACTTATCTGAGGGTCATTGGAGGATCCCTGCAACTTAGCTTGAATGTTTACAAAATTTATTCCAGGCTAATATTCTGTGAATGTGAAAAGGAACTGTTATATAAACCATGATGCCAGAAACTTGAGATTACCATATATCTCTATTGAAAGTAATATAAACCACCGTACTTATGGATAGCAATAGTTATATCTACTTTAAAATCAAGGATAATCTATGTTGGTATTATAAGTTCAAGCACTTATTCTTGAAAATGAAATAGCTAATATATGTATACTCGTTCTCTTTTTTGTGCAGTGATATGTTTTCTTTATTTTGTGTTCTTATTTTATGAATTTTTAAAATTATGTTAAATTAATATAATTTTTGTAATTGATAAATCAACTTTTTTATAACAGGAATATTGGCATTGATGCATACACTCAATCACGGCAAGAAGTGCAAAATTCAATGCTATATATGCAAATTGTTAAGAGATATGGAATCTCATTCTTATATCATATACAATCAATAAAAAGGTGACTAAACAAATATGGTATCTCATGCTTAAATCAAAGAAATGAGAGTGGAATTTTCTGTAAAAAGAAAGGAAAGAAGAAGAAGAATAAATGAGATTGGACCCGTTGGTTGCAAATTTTTAATTTAAATGATTATAACATTTTACAAAGTATTCAATATTTTTATATTTTTGCGTTGGTATCAAAATGAAAATTCTCAAATGAAATGACTTCAGTAAATTAATGTACCACCAAAGTATAAAATCTATTTCTAGTCTTACTTAAACTTGCCCATGTTAGTACAATACTTATCGAAAATCAACACAATATCTGAAGTTAGTCGCTTATCTCTATTTTCAAGACCATCAGTAGAGGTTTTAAAATTGCTGGTTGTAATTAGTTTAATACGTTGCACTTGAAAGGAAGTGTTTGTTATTATGTTTATGTATCTATTGGCACTTCTATTCAAAATAATTTTAATAAATTAATTATAAAAGTATTTTAAACAAAAATTATTTAAATAAAAATAGCAATAAACACATAAGAATAACAATAAAGTATGAGTCAGGTATTTATACTGATGTCTAGAAATAAATCTTCCAATGAGTTGGGGTTATAGATTAAAAGAAAATATGTTATTATGTAGTACAATTGATTTAAACTTTTAACGATGAGTCAATGAACTTGATTAAGGTAGAAGTTACGTTGGAAACACTATTCATTGGACATTATTTGCTTGTATAATTCTCATATAACTTATATATCCACATTAATATTGAATTAGGTTCTGGACGAGTGATTAATATTATTTTGTATTAATTTTTAAGCATTTGTCATATCACCAAAAGCTCTCTCGATGCTTTAGATGTCATGGTTATTTCATTCAATCTACAACTTACATGTTGAAGTTGACTTTCTTAGGCTCCAAAGAATCAAACCTTACGTTTGAGAGAGAATAATTATTGGTTCATATTCCATGGATATTCTCTTAATGTGAATGTTTAAACAGGCACAGCCAACTAGATATAAATATAACACATGCTTATTACAAAAATGGATCCTCCACCCTTTGGAACAAGTTGCAACAGCTGTAGTTTTATAATAATCAACAATTCGTATTCATTGAACCATGCTTTTCATAATATTTCAGTAGATGAAAAAAATAATGTCAGGTTCTCAACAGTTCTGAAAAGCACTGAATGTTGGTCCTATGTTATTATGACATGCATGGGATAAATGAACCGCATCAAACTTTTTATTTATTTAATAATGAGTGCATTAAACTGAAATGATTGCAATTATCCTGGAAAGATGCCCCTCAACTTTTAATTTATTTAATCACAATTTAAAATAATCTATACACCCCAAATAATATATTATTCTTCGTCACTTTTAAATAATAAATCGAAACATAAAATTAATCATCCCTATCAATTTAAGAATGATTTTTCTATCCTATACATCGGGGACATAAATTAATGGGTTAAAATAAATAAATTTTATTGTATCGGAAACTTTATATTTTTCAAGTCATTAGCTTGTATATCTAACGCATAAGATAAAAAAAATCAATTTAAGAAAATTAACTATACAACTTCAAAAATATAGATTGTTACCATTTTAATTTTATACTTTTGAAAGAAAATATATCTATAGTAGTATTCAATTCTTGAACTATATAGCTATCAAGAAATTTAATGATTTTAAAAGAACATAGTACTTGGTTGTTAAACGTTTTAATTTCATTATTTTAAAAATTAAAAATTTGAAAATAAATAACATAGGAGCTGTTAATTGTACCATGTAATATTCAAATACCAATGATCCTTAGAAAATACTATAGAATGTTAGATTATTAGATAACTTTTTTCAGGTCTAGCACATTCACACATGTAATCTGACAACAGAAATATGTTTGCTAAAGCTTTTAAGAAAACACAAAGGTATGCCAATGTAGGAAACTGAGTCATAAGTCATAGACCATGCCACATATGTCGGTGTTGTACTATATCCTGACTTGAGATAACTGGATTCTCAAAATAACAAAATTTTATGACAAATATAGCTTTTTTTTTCAAAAATAGCTCTACGAAATTACTTTCTCTAAATAATTGATCTCTTTAATACGTTAGAGAAACAACTAACAACATGAATGTTACTCTGCGAATTTTTTTTATTAATTATTAATAATACTCAGTTGCCCATCATACTTTTATTTATTGTAGATATTTTCCAACATGATTGATTGCGCTTTAAGAACTTGAACTGTTAGTAAGCACTGCCAACGACATGTACATTTGCCCCGTAGAATGGATGAATGTGATAATCATGATCAATATTTCAAAATATTTTTTTTCCCTTTTTTCTATTTTCTTTTCTTTGATCTCTTCATCTTGGTCTATTGATCGTGCATACTATAGCACGTCGTTTTATTGGAAACGACAGGATGGGTTCTACTTTACTATTTACTACCAATGAAGATTGAAACTAGCAGCCTGCATAAGAGGGTGTGCAAAGTAAGCTCCTAATGTTAGTGCAGTAATTGTCAAGTATGGCACTCGAATAAACTCCTTGTAGAAATCTATCGGCAACTTTTGTCGGCCATCAAGGATTGCTGCAAAAGGGACAACACTTGTTCGATTCTTGACTAATTCAAAATCATTTCCATATCTTATAGCCAATCTCCTGTCTCCATTCCAGACACCAAATAGATGATGTGCAATTAAGCCAATTGAAGCTGCAACAGCCACAGAATTTCCAATCCAAACCGTATGGGCAAGACACCATATAACCTGACCAACCATCTGAAGAGCAAATGTCAATGAGATAAATCTGTCTGAAGCAAAAGCTAATGAGGGAAGGGGTTTAGAGTGCATAAAACACAAAGTTCTCCTAGTATATGAATAATTCTATATCCTTCTAACCATTCCTCTTAATAATTCTCCTAATTACTAAATGAAAAAATATTTGTTTTTTTTAATGTTCACATGATGTTAAATCTAGTTTTTCATTTAATAGTTTATTAAGAATTATGAGGAAGTTTTAAGAAGATATAATATTACTCTTAAGATAGTCTTACTACTCCAACTCTGTATGAAGACCATAAAAACCACAAAGATGCTGAAATCTTCATTGTCATATTATGGCCAGTTAGAGCATTAGATTTATACCTGTGGATGCCTGGTTATTCTTATGATGCCAGTTTCCCATAGATGTAATTTAGGCTTGTCAACAGCTGCAATCTCTAAAAGATTGAAAGTTGAAGGATATAGGAAAAAGAAAGAGATAAAATTAGAAAGCCAAACAAGTTGATGAATGCCAGGAGTGCTCTGGAGCTGCCAGAGTTGAAGTCCATCATATCTGTGGTTAATAAAATACACCTGCATCATGACCCCAAACAAATCAAAGTAATTTAGTACTCAAAGTTTTCCTCTGTCGCAACAAAATGTCCTCTAAAACGAATAAAGTTTTTGGTTGTGTAGAAGGAGTAGTAACTTACTACAGTACTAACAGCCAAAGGTAGTGATACCCCTGCAAAAAGTACACGGAAGGCTCTTACTCCAATGACTTTCTCGCCACTGTCCCGGAGGCTAGCCAAGCCACTGTGGACAAAGGCAAATATGAAAATCAAGACCAACATTACCACCTGCAGAAAACCATGTCAAGAGTCAGTTGCAAATCAAGTACCATTTCAGCTTTCAGATAGTTCATTTAAATGATACTGACAATTAAACAACCGATACTGCTAAAGAAAGTAAATATCAGCACATGAACTGTGTTATAGAGGATGTGTAACTACAAAGCAAGCACCTTCATGATGATATCAAGCCAATGTGTAAAAAAGCAGAGTTACTGCTACTTTACATTATACATGGTCCCAGTCCCACCCACTTCTCAGTTCAGCAGGCTCCTAGAAAAAAAGTTGATGGTACTATGTTGTTTCCTTTTGGTCATGATTAGTCCTGCCAAGTTTGCACTATTTTCACTTGCAGAACGTTGTAGGTTTTCAGGGAAGTTTATCTCCTCTCACTGATACATTTTATTGTTAATTTTTTCTTCTTTTTTCCTAGGCAAGTTAGCATATTTTTCAACAATCCACCTTTGCACTTTTTGTTAAGGAAAAACAGAAATTAACAGTTGATGAAGAATAAGAAAAAGTTTGATTAAACTTCTTAACAAAAATTTATAAGGAGAAAAAATAAACTTCAATCCATCTTTCATTTTCAGTAAACATTCCCTTCTTTGAATTATTATTTTTTAAATGAGATTAGTAAAATGAAAAATTATCATGTAAATTAAATTTCTTGGAACAATCTATTAATATTTATGACTAAAAATGAAAAGTCAACCCACCCTTCCTTTTCAATCAAAACTCACCCATTCGCCCTAAAACACCCAAATTTCAAAGAAAAAAAAAGTTATCCGTTTTATATACCTGGTTCATAGAAATAGAACACACAACATATGACAATACAAAATTCTAAAAAATTAAGGAAATTGTTAAAATAAATGGAATGAGTAAGACCTCGTGAGAATCGGAAAGGGTTGAAACAGCGTCAACGAAAGCTTTGCCAAAGCCGGTTGAATTATCAATCCACGCCACATTGAGAACATAAAGAACCACTCCTAAAATTGCGGTGAAATAGAGCCACGAAGATATTCTCTGTTGCCCCAAATCAAACGACGCAGAGTCCTCGCCCACCATCCTCGAATCATTCTCACTGTCACTTTCAGTTTCTCTAATTGAAGTATGGGCAACGAACTTGCGAGACCAAATAAGGGGTTTTGAATTGGAACGTCGCAAATTGAGGAAGCATTGGCAACTTCGTTTAGTTTTGGAAATTGAATTCAAATTAGAGGAAGCGGAAAGGGATGGATGATAGGCATAGGTTGAACACGAAGAGGTTGAGAGCACAACAGAGGCCGCCATAGCTAATTTCTTTCGCCTCTGTTAGCTCCTTGTCCGAAGAAGAGTACTTTCACGTTCAGTGAGAAAAACGACAAACAGAACAAAACTAAACTTATTATAAAATATAATTTTCTAACATCAACATGATTATATTAAATTACATTAAAATCATGAGTAATATTTCACTAATTAAAAAATAATTATAAGTTTACCAGTTATATTAAAGTTACAAAAGCTTCATGTTTCATAGAATAAATGCAATTATATTAAATATTTTATTATTATTATAATTTGACTAGAAAATACTTATAGTAAAAAAAAGTTATAAAAATATAATACTTTTATTTTTATTATTAAAAAAGTGTAATAATACATTCATTAAATTTTATTATTAATAATTGCTTAAATTTAATTATAAGACTTAAGTTAATATTTTTAAAAATTTAATAATTGTTTCATACTTAAAAATTTACAAAAATATATTTTTTTTAAAAAGGTGATAAGATAAAAAAAATGGTAATAAGGTATCCTTAAAAATAAAAAGAAAGAAAAAGAAGACTATTGTTTTCCCTTTATTTGGGCCTTGATTCGTTTTATGTTAATTTTAAGAAAAGTTAATCAAGGTTTGCTTGAATCATCCTAAAGCATAGGTTAATCCATAACGAGGAGTGTTGAACATTGATTAGATATAAGATATTTCTTTCACCCTCACCAAAGGTTGGTTTGCTAATTATAGATTCAGATTCTCGTGTATTATTTAAGGCTCGTTATCTAGGTAGATTATGTAAAAGGGCTACCAAACCTGTGTAATTTCTTGTTAGCATATTTAGGCTCAAGCCCTTATTTATTGATCATACAAAAAAAAGTAAGCACTCATCATATCAAAGCATTCATTATATTTAATTGTGATTTATGAGAAACTAAATAAAAAAAGGTGACATAATATAAATGATGCATGAGAAAATTAGATAATGGAGAGAGTTTCTTTGAGATGTGATCTTCTCCACCATCAGCGGTTTTATTCCAACTGCTTTAGGTTACTATAACATTTGCAGGCCCACAGTCATGATGTGTCCCTTTAAATCCAACTTTGAGTCATTATAATTGTAATGCTAATACAGGTAGATACATCTCAATGTTTCAACCAATCAATCTTGCATTACAACAAACCAAACTATCCTCTTAGTCCAAGTTTGGGAAACAAGGCTCTAAATTTGGCATTAAGTTACCAATCAACTTTGAAACAAGAAGCTTCTCCGTGTCTTTTTCCCTTAAGAGTTCACGCATTCTCTTCTTGGGTGGTTTCTGATTCCAAGGTTGAACATGTCTGGTGCTGTGGGAACTATTTCCTCCACAAACTCTCATTTGGAAGAAGAGCTTAAGAACAAAGAAACAAACAACAAAGTAGGTGGGGAGCCACACAAGCTTCCTCATAGTGATGGTGTCAACTCTGATGATGCTGAAGAAACTGAGCCAGAGGAAGATGATGACTCCAAGTTGGAATGTGAAAGAGAATTGGATCTTGGCCCTCAATTCACCCTCAAGGAACAGTTGGAGAAAGATCAAGTAACATGTTCTTTCCCTTTTAGTTTTTCAAATGTTTTGTTCACACCCTTGATTTTGAAGCTGTCTTTTGATCAAAGTTTTTTACTTTTGTGTTCCAAAGGATGATCAAAGTTTGAGAAAATGGAAGGAGCAACTTCTGGGAAGTGTTGATATGTCTGTGGTTGGAGGTGGTACTTAGTTTTTCTCTTCAAACTCATTGTGGTTTTCACTTTTTATTTCCCTCTTCTAGACCAATTCTATAATGGTTATTTCACTGGAGATAATGTGACATTCAACACTGATTAGGACATTTCCTCTTCATTGAAAGCTCTTGCTGAAGATGGCCCTATTGTTTATATCAAAACACTACATGTACATTAATATGCTTTAATTTTTTGTTTTGAAATTAAATTAAATTAGCAAAGCCTTCCGCTGGAATCAAATTGTTTGAAGATGAAAATTTTCAAACATGGTTTGTTTAAGTAAGTTTCATTTTAGCTCCTAATTAATTTTTGAAGGCCCTGAAAATATGAAAGCTTTTCTGTTGAAATCCAGAAAGTAAAGATCCGGAGGTGAAGATGCTGAGCCTCACTGTTACATGCCCTGACAGACCTGACCTCACCCTGCCAATTCCGTTTACTAATGATCCTAAGAAAAGTCTCTTCATCCTTAAGGAAGGAAGCAAATGCCGTATGAAATTCACCTTCACTGTCTCCAACAACATTGTTTCTGGTCTCAAGTACACAAATGTTGTTTGGAAAACTGGTGTTAGAGGTGAGACAAGACTCCTATTTTGTGTTTATTTTGATTAAATTCTGTTTGAGTAAATTTCTCTTTGACTAATTAAATATCCATACTTTAACCGTCTTAGTTACATGAATTTCTTGTAACAGTGGACAGTAGAAAAAAAATGGTGGGAACCTTTAGCCCCCAGAAGGAACCATACACATATGAATTGGAAGAAGAAAGTATCCCTTCTGGCATGTTTGCTAGGGGAACCTATGCTGCTAGAACCAAGGTAAAATATTCAATCAAACTTAGAAAGTCGGCAGTTTGTAGATGGAATACTCTTGATTGATGAGTAGAGAAGTTTTTAAATAGCTATGATCCACGTTTACTTTAACGCTGTTAGTTATATATTTTGTGTTGGATTCATATTTAAAGGTTTTTCAACGTGAATCCAAACACATACTCACTCAGTTTTCTTGCTTCAGTTTGTAGATGATGATCGAAAATGCTACTTGGATGTGAATTACTACTTTGAAATTCAGAAGAATTGGGCAACACCTCAATAAGATTTTAACTTGAGAAACTACTTGGAGAATTATCTTTCTCTGTCATCCTGTGTCTTTCTGGACACATTTGAACTCAACTTGTTTATCAAATCCAGTTAGCAACATAGTTCACGTGCATGCTATATGCTAGTGTTTCACCCCCCCCCTCCCCCCGCTTTTCTCTCTTTTGTGTGGTTTCTTACTTCCTTTTCCTATTTCAATGTCCAGAGCTGACAAAAAAATTCTCTCTAATCTTGTGTGTCAATTGCATGCATTATGATAAAAATGCCTTCAAAGAGTTAATTTTTATTAGAATGTGAAGGGTGAAAGAGATGGGATAGAATTAGATTAGATTCCATATGGAGAAAGATAAACAAATGGAAATCAGCAAGTAAACTTAACTACTGCCTAAGCTTTCTTAAGCAAATGGCCAAAAGGTTTCTCAGTACTTTGGTGGTCCAAAAGTTTTTCTCATATGAAGGCCACATGCACTTTACTAACGGCTAAAATCAGAAAAAGGAAAATAAAGGAAAAAGCAGAACTTCTTAAGAAATTCATATTGGGACCCCCTGCGGTTATCATGAACGTAAATTTTAGTGTTGGAAATTGTCATTTACAACATTTTGCGTGATTGGAGATTGTGTTTAGCTTTCTTTTTCAAGTGCTTGAGTAATTTGTCAATCTTCGATGTGTATAAATGGAACTGAAGTAACTCTGGTTTAAGAGAAATCGTCCCACTACTGAGATGACCCATCTTGCACCCCACAATTTTTAAAATTTTTTTTTCAACATTTCATAATAATGAAATCGAATCTAGACCTATTTACTAACTGTACTCTCTTGTATCCAAGTAGTGTGTGCGTGTGTGTGTACTACTTTTAACAACATAGTTTGAAATATACCAAATGAAGTTACTTTGAAAAGTTTTATACCTCTTGGTTTGAGTATGTAATCATCAATTGATGTACCGTAGGTTAAGTTTAGTTAGTTCAGGCTGCAAGCTTAATTGTTCTTTTAAATGTCATCAAATAACCCCACTTTGGTTAGAACAATAATGACCCTGAAATCGAGTATTGAATGATCAACTTCTCATTTTCCGATCTTACACACTTCTGTTAGGATTCTATTAAGTCTAGGCCAATTCATTTTGAATAAAAAATCATGGCGGTTAAGAGCATGATGGTGTAAGGTATAACGAATGTCAGAATGCTAGCTATGATTCCACACATGGGGTGAGGGACCTTGGCCAGATAGAAAGCGTCACCGAAAACCATTTTTTTTGTAGTACATTTGTGTTCCCAAAATAAAAAGGAAAATTTTAAAGGTATACATACACTTAAATTCAGAAATAAATACTTCATCAGAGTAAGTAAACTACAATTAGTAAGTGACACATGTATACCTTGCTAAACGTTAATACCCAACAAAAATATCAAATCCAAGAGAATGTACCTTGAAATTCATTAGCAAAATATCTTTTGTTATATTTTAATTTCTTTTTTTAAAAAAGTAAGAATGTATTAATCTTTTAGCTTAGTTTAAAATGCATATAATCTTATTTTAAAATGCATATAATCTTATTCTACTAACATTTTAGTTGCTTACTTTAAAAATAATCTTATTTGGAGAAACTTTTTCTAAATTATATGCATGCTACCCTATATGCATTGGACTATCATTATGTGCATGCCCTGTAGTCCTTGATGCCTTCTGCGTGTCCCTTTTTTATATCCTGCAAAGTGCAAACAGCCCCCTTGTGTTGCTGTTTTCACTTGTTTATGTGCTTTTGGTAGATAACAAGCTTTGTCATGATGGCAGAACAACCATTCTCAACAAAAACTAGTTTGAAACAATAATAGCAATAATGGCTCAATAGAATTATGAAGGTTTGACGATTATGTGGAATTTGAATGCAGCCAAGTCTAATGTAAGGGTAACGGTGTTCCCTGGCAATCTTTTTTATCATTCCCATCATAATAAATTAGTAATGTTGTCGGGTATCTAATAATTTGACCCAAGGTGAGCAAAGGACATTCTTTTTACCTTAACTTTCTTTACAAGTAAAATTGCATATTTACTAATACTAATGATTTCAAGAATCAGAAACAATCCATGCAGGAATTGCAGTTGGATAGCAATCAATATTGGAAAAAAAAATTTGGCAAAGGAAAAGAAACTTATTTGCGACTTTCTACAAACTTCAAATTTTTGAAGGCCCATAATTTTTAAATACATAATATCAGAGGTAGTTAAAGGAACAACACTGATTAGTAGTAATGAAGCAGATTGCGACTCTAAATGAATTTTATTATATTAGTAAAAGTATGCTTCAAAGGTAAATATGAAAATAAAAATAAAAACAGGGTTTTTGTTTTTGTGCAAAGACTCACTTCTTATGCACTTATGTTAAAAGCTACCTTGTATGTTTTATTAAAAATTTTATTTTTAATAGTTAACGTATAACATTTATATTAATTATTTATATTTTATTAGGCTCAATAGAAGTGATCTAATTTTAAAGAGTCTTTAAATTGTTAATTAAAAATAATATAAATAAAAGAATATGGGTTCAACAAGTGGAGACTAGATTTGACCTATTAGAAGTTAGATTTAAAATCATAAAATTGATCATGGTCCCCAATATACTAAAATAATAATATGTCTATTTGTGTCACCATCACAATAGAAACATCAAGTCCTGTTAAGGAATCCAATAATTTTGACTGAGGAAGATCATTGCACTAAAAAACTATTCGAATATCATTATACAAAAGACTATTTCGCTGCAACCTCTGGTTAATGTGGATAGATCTAGGTATTCCTATAACTTCCTATTTTTATTTGATAATCTGACACAATAGTTTTTAAATTTTATTTAAATTTCTATATGGTTTAAGAGCAAAATTTTTAACATGTTTACCTTAGTCCTTATTTATATACCTAATTATATGTCAAAGTAGGCTTATAATTAATTAATATGGTTGATGTTTCCTTCCTTTATCTCCATTTTATTTCCTTAAAATTTTGGCTAAATGCATGAATTTTATGGAAGCGAAGATCAAGTTTGAGTTTGACTAACAAACCAATGGTCATAGGAAGTGGGTTTGACAAACATTGCATGGCGCAACCCAACTCTAATGAGTCAAAGTCAATAGAGGGTTCGTCGATTTGGTGTGCTTGCAAAGATTTCCCAATTGACCAAAACAAAAATGCAAGTTTTTTACTGGATATTTTGTTCTCTGTGTTTGGTTTATGCTGCGGCCATGCTAGAACCTAGCTTATTAGGGTTATGCTTCAACACATAGCCCCCAATTTGTATAGGGCCATGCAATACCCACATTTATTTGAAACGAATTGGGTTTATTGGAATTAGGGTGGAAATAATTCAGGCAGATTGTAGGAAGTTTAACTTAACTTACATTGAGGTAAACTTTTAAGATTTTTTTTAAAAATTATTCAGTTCAAAATACTATATCTTGAGCAATCTAAAAAGTTTTTAAGTTTAACAAATATATTTATTTAAATAAAAAATATTATTATTATTATTGTTGTTGTTATAATATTAAGATATTATATATTTATTTTATTTAAAGGCCTAAGTTTAGGCTCATTAATTTATTTAGAGAGATGTTTTTCTATTTATTTTTAAAAAAATATTATGATGACAAAAAAAAAAAAAAGACTTTATTGTAAAGTGAGCTTTAAAATAAGCTCGCAGACCAGAATAAACCTTTGAAAATGCTAGATCAAAAAATGTATTATAGTAAATAGTTCAAATTCAGACTTTAAATTTAAAAATTAGCTAGACTCATGTTTTACAAAACCTAACTCACCTTGACTCATGTTGACTTGAGATTCAGTTACTTTTTTTTCTCTGTGAATTTTTTCACAAGAGAGTTGAAAATTATATTATTGATTAAAATGTAAAAACACCACACCAAACAAATACCGAATAGTCACATTATAATTTTTCTACTGGCTGAAATCAATTATACCACTCATTTTGTATACTGTACTATACAAAACCATATGTACATGTGATCTGTAATTTAACAAAATTTAAGCAATAAAAAATATACATCGATCAATATACAAAGAAGAAAAGTAACTTGGAATGACTAATAGTCTAACAATGCAAACTTCACTTGTAATCCAATTTTACCACCCTCTGTCACAAGCTTAGCAGCTGTTACCAACCAATGACCAGGAGCATCATGCGGGCCTCGAACAACCTCACTTGTCTCCACATATTTAAGGAGTTTACCAGAACCAACAGGAACAGGTGGACCATCTGGATAAACACCTGAGTTAAGAACAGTTGGAGCCTGCTTCTGAGAAGCAGTGACACTTTGTTGTGTGAATGAAAATGTTGTGCTTAGATTTGTGAGGAAAGATGATTTTCTTGATGCCTCCGGTGCTGCAGCCCATTCTGATTTCCTAATACTGCAATTGGGTATGTGAGTAAATAATAAGCGCAAGTGAAGCACATTCTTTGGCCAGCTTCCTTTGCTAATGAGTTGTGCACCAGTTACAATGTAAACACCATTTGATTCATTCAACCAGCTAGGGTCATGCTTAACCACTGCAGTGCACACGTTTGCAAATCTTTTCCACCTTATTGGTTCCAGAAAGTGGTCACTGGATTCATTATCATCAGATCCTCGCCACATAGATGGGGTTGAGGTGCCTGAAGAGAGGATCATTGTATTTGGGAGGCCTGAAAGATGATTTATATGTATTGCAAGTCTGTCACATTTTCTGCCTTCTAAGTACAAGCGGAGACCCACCACAGGTTTTTGATCACTTTCTACCTGATTTTTGTATAACATAAAATAAAATAAATGCCATGGTTAACAATACACAGTTACACACATAATTAATGTCAATTATAGACAGATCAATACTTATTTGATCAAATAAGGAGGAGGATTTGGAAAAAAAACAGTACCTTTGCAGCGCTGACATGAAGCATTGAACACATGAAACTAAACTGCAGGGAAGGGGAAGAAGTTTTTTTCCTTTGATGCCTTAGAGGTAGCTCATAAAACATGGGTGCCCATTGCCTTGGAATTTGAAACTCCAAGAAGCATTGTAAATCTTCAGGAGGTGGCTTATCTGTAGAGAACAAGTGAAGTGTTGTATAACTTAAAAGGGTCAAAAACAGTAAATGATAATGTGCAACAGTGCAAGAAAAGATCATTTTGAAACTCATGTATTTTTGTAAAGGGTGACAAGGATAACTTGAGCCCAAATACAAATTGAAACAGTATAAAATGAATATGGATAAAAGTAGATTATGATATTACTGTTAAATTTGAAAAGAAGTACGTACAACGTAAATACAAATTGATTGCATGACTAAGATATCCACTTCCAGGAATTCCTGTAAGGAGTGAGGAAATAGGCACAAACTTGAAGAGGATTGCTTCAGGATTAGAAGCAACTGTCTGGAGCCAATTTGAGTGACCTTGCTTGAACACATCTCCTCCTCTTTTTGAGCAAAGGATGGTGAGGCCCTGTTGCAAGATTAAAGTAAGATATTAACAGCCTAGAAATTTTATTCATGTCAATTTTAAAATGCCAAATATTGATCTTTTTTGTGACTTACATCCTTGCTTGATGTTTCTGAAATACTGGTGAACTGCATTGTGCTTGATTGCATCACGCGATTAAAGACATCAGGAACCTACAAGAATAAAGAGATTGCATCAAAAGACAAGCAACAAATATGTAAGAAATATCGAAGATAAAGCTCTATAATTTGTTACTTTCTGTTTGCCTTCTGTGGTCTTCCTTTGTAGTTGAGAATGACTTCTCAAATCTGAAAATAGAAAATCTCCTAGATTCTCTAAATGTCTTCTTAGATCACCAGGAGGAATTTTTGAAGAATGTCTTTGTTTGACACAGATTACATCTTGACCTCCTACAGCCATACCTATTATTATGTGTGTACCATATGTCTGAATGAACCTGCCTAACCAAATTGATCAGTAACATTATTTAATTATCCCAAATCAAGCAACATTCGTATTCCAAAACCAAATGATGTCAACTTCAAAAGATAGTTTCATAAATTGTATTAATTTTTATAAGTTTTACTTAAACCATATCTATAGTCTACATGAGACTTCAAAACACATCGGTTTATATCAACTGCATCATAGCAATTATTAACAAGTACATTGTCTAATGTTAATGGTTATTGTGGGTTTGTGCTTACCTGGATAAAGAAGCTGGATCCCACTGAGCTGGAACAGATTTCTTTACTTCCTCTTGCAGTATAAGGTGTGAAGGAGTTAGGTGCAAATAGTACAGCGAAATGAAATAACCATCAAAAGCAAGATGTTTGATGTCATGAGCATCACGTAACCAATCACCACTCAAATCAAAAAGAGCGTTAAAATAGCCAGATGGTATTTTTCCTTGTATTGCTGATTTCTGATTAAGCAATTCAGACATCTGCAAGTAAAGAAAGAGTCATGTAACAATGCTTTAAGTGAGTCAACTTATGCATAGTTCATAGATTTTAACACTAGGCGATATCTTTCAAATTCAGAATAGCAAACTGCAATTTTTTTTTATAATATATGATAGTTCCACCATTTTTTTCTTTTATTTTAAAAACTACATTTCTATATGTAACGATTTACTTCATTATAATGTAAAAATCAAGCTTTCAAATTTAGCCGTGTACTAAGTCAAGTTAATTTCATTAACGTTTGCCACTATTACAAACCAACTAACTATTCATAATCCATGTACACAAGGTAAAAGCCGAGGTTATAGATACCAAATTATAAACCAAAAAAGAAAACTTATAAACATTTTTAATACATAGAATAGAAATGAACAGAAACGAAGAGAAAGAAAGAAACCTGGTTGAATTGAAGAACATCAGACTTAAAACGTAGGCGATCTCCTTTGTCACAGCGAATATCCTCAGAAACATTTGGAATGATTGCTCCACCAGGAACTGTAATGTCCCTCTTGTTCTCTTGATCAACCACCACCAACCTCCTACAACCCTTTGCAAATTTCAATCGAAAATCACTCGTCAAATCAAACCCTTTACCCAGACACTCTATAGGATTCAGAATCACCCCCTCCATCATCACCAATTTCCACAACAAACGCTACTAATTATTTAATTATCTTTTCATATCAATATGATCATATATTAGGCCTTAGCCACCGAGACCTCTGACCCTTAATTAATGGGTCGCCATACGTGACTTCAATCAAGAGAAGCTTTGACTATGACCAGTCTATTTCTTTTTCGTCTGACAGTAACACTACTCTATTTGATTTTGTTTTTTCATTAAATGAATAGAACCAAACACACTTATAAAGAAAAGGGTATGAATTTCAAAAATTATAAAATAAGTTACATATGTCCTTATTAGAAGATTAATCTGAGGATGAAATCAACAAAAAGAAGATCATGTTAATCCAATTTTGGCATGCGAATCGAATCCAAGGAAGCTTCGAGGAAGAAGATAATTTAAGGTTGTAAGTACAAGGTTGGCTAAACATTAATAACATTTGACCTTTGAATATCACGGAACTACCCGCCACAACCGCAAACAGAAAGAAGCGTGGTTTTTCGGGGGTGATGTATGAAGTATGTAATCAAGTTATAATATTTTGTTGGTTTAATTACTTTTTAAAAATTGCAAATTGTTAAAATACTTAATTATCCTTAAAAATGTGTTAGCACTTACGAATTCTTCGAATTTTTTTTTCATAGAACAAAATTTTCATTAAATTATAGTGTGAATTTCTTTAAATATTCTTAAGGATGTAACTTATTTATATATTTATAAAATAACAGTTCCTTTTGAAATTAATATTTATTAATTAAATAAGATATATTTTAAAAATGCTTCATTTTATTGAAATATGGAATAAAAGTAAAATAAAATTTAATTTAATTTGAAATTTAAAAACTTTATATTTTAAAAAAATAAAACACGTTTAAAATATTTTAATTAAAAATGAAAATAATAAACAAGCGAATTGAATGTCAGCGTGTGAGAAAAGAATAAAAAGCCAAATATACGGTCAACTTTTGTCTTTCATTTCTTTTTTTTAATTTTTGAACATATATTTAAATGCACACAATAAGAATTTTTAAATAATATTTCTATTAAAATTATAAAACATTTAAAATTAAAATATTAAATATTATAATATTTAGTAAAAAATTCTTTTTATTTCATTTTTATTATGTATCTACGTATTTAAAAAAAGGATATTTTTAAATAATCTTTAGTCTTCAAGTTTAAATTACCCAGGACTCTTCTCAACTTCCAACAACCTGTGCTGAAGAAGAAGAATGCAACATCAATGAGTCACTCACGTCAAGCAGTGAAAGACGGAAAAGGGAATTGAATAATTGACTGATTGTTTAGAAATCCCTAGAATTGTTAATAATCAAACACTATAAATCAAAACTTTATAATCTAATTATAATTATTTCTAGCTTGATCCACTTTATCAAAATGGTTTATGGGGTTTACTATTATTCATTCAGGGTTATAATATTTTTATAGTAAATATTGTTGCAATATCTTTTTTTATTGTATCATCTATTTGATAACTTTTATTTTTTATTGTATAATTATAATTTCCCATTCACCAATTTGAGTTCTCCCAACGAATGTATTCTCTACAAGAAATAACGACTTAACATAAATAAATTTAATAATTAATTGAAGTGCTTATGCTGCTTAATATGAAACTCTCTTTTTGAAAAAGAAAAAGAAAAAAAGAAGGAAGCAATAGAAATTCCATTATTAAAGAAGATTAGGATTATATTTGCTTGAATGAGATTGTTCACTTATTAGGGTTACTTGATACTTTCGTCTCGTCTTTAATTAGTTGAGCCGTTAGCATAAAAGGAAAGGAAAGAAAAGAAAATTAGTATTAGTAATGGCAATTAAAGTAGTTTGTTTTGAAATTGATTCAATATATTAAATTAAATAACGTATTACCCTGACATTTGTCTTGTGTTAATGACATGGTCAACAAAAATGAGTCATATGCTTTGAATTTTGAAATTTTAGATACACGATTACTCTTTCTTCTTTTGAAAATATGGAATTAGTTTTTGAAATGAGAAATGGTATTTATAGAATAAGTTTGTAAACTTTTATGTGATAAGAAATTCTTAAAAAAAAGAGGATATGCATGATAAGATAGTTATTACGATTAAGAGAGATTAAAAACAATATTATAAAAAATCACATAAGTAATATAATCTTTTGAAATTATTTTTAATATTAACTTCATAATTTTAGTTTCAAATTTGTAGTTTCTAAATAATCTGTCTTGTTTTATTTTTCTAGAATTAGTTACATTTTAATTTTTTTTCCCTCTCGAATGTGTTTCAAAAGATAAATATTTATAACACGTTAATTCTTTTGTGTTTTCTGTTAACATTTCATTAAGTTCCGTTAGTTATTTTTTATTAATCAAATAATTTTTGTTTACTAAAATATTCATTATCAATATATTTTTATGTTTTAGTTTTTCAAAAGAATTCTCCATGCTAGAATCATCTGTCAGTTGATAACAAGACCGATTATTCTTCTATAATTTTTACAAACCTTCTTTTCTTTTATCTATACATTAAATCATTTTAAAAATTTTGAATCTCTAGCATATGTTTTTTGAGGCTTTTTATTCCAAAAAAGGGATAAGGTTGGTTAGAGAATATAATACAACACAGAGAAATAAAATCAAACATGAAACATAGTTGCCACGTCTAGTACCTCAACCACGTGTAAAGCTGCATGCATGCCCACAATGTTGTCACAATTACTACAGAGTTCCTTAGAAAAACACGTCACAGTGATCAAATATGAATGAGATGAAACTTTGATCAATGTGAGCTAAGTGAAAGAACAGAACAGAACCATACTCAAGATTGCCCAAAAATGTCGACCAACGACAACCCCCCAGAAGTAGCTGATGAGCCAACTGAAACCGGCACTTCCCTCCTTGAAACCACAACAGCTGCTATCCAAAACTTCGCTCCCATCAACAATATCCACCAACATCTTTGCGCGTGAGTCACTAATTTATACATGAATAAAATTTATGTGTTATTTTATAGGTGCTATTGATGTTGTTTTTGCATTTAATCTTATAGTGGAATATTGAAGCAATAAAGACTTTAATCAGCGGCATAAGTTATATATGCGTGTTTTGTTTATTTTTATAATGTGGGTGGTTCCAATTACAAAAATTCATAAAGAGGTCTCTTGTTTTTTTGTTTTTTTTTTCCCATCTGAAACTAAGGAATTTGAATTTAAGATTAATTGATTACATGTGAATCAAGTGATACACAGTATGTAAATTGTTATGAAGGTTTCACTTTTACTCTCACGACATGACTCGGCAAGTGGAGGCACACCACTTTTGCGGGCACAAGAACGAGGAAATGAGGCAGTGTCTAATATACGACAGTCCCAACAAAAAAGTAAAGCTTATAGGATTGGAGTATATCATCTCAGAAAACCTGTACCGAACACTCCCGGACGAGGAGAAGCGCCTCTGGCACTCTCACTTGTACGAGGTCAAAAGTGGGTTCCTGTTCATGCCTAAAGTGCCGGGTCCCATTGAGCGCATAGACTTGGAGAAAGTGTGCAAGACTTATGGTAAAGTCTACCATTTCTGGCAAGTCGACAAGGGTCACACTCTCCCACTTGGGATACCTCAGCTCATGATGGCGCTTACTAGAGATGGCCAGATATATGACCACCTTGTCCAAAGTATACATTCTTTATTACATTTTTTCTTATGTATTTGGTTACTACGTACTATAGGAAAATGATTGATTTGCAATATTGCACCTTGTAAAAAGTTATATATTTTAAGATTTTATATAAGACTAAAATTTAGGTGGTACTCTTAGTATTATCTTCTAACTTTAACGTTAGTTTGACTTTTAATGTGAAATTTCAATATGCAGATTAAAAGTTGGATAATGATTTATCTAGAGAGGTTTTGTAACGAGTTCATTTGTTTGTAGGTTGTGCGGAGCGAATGGGAATAGACTTAGAGAAAGAAAGAAAGAATAGGGAATATATGACAGGGCCAGAACATGGAATTGACCCAATGGCGAATGGAGGAGGTAAGGGCCTTGAGACTCGGCTGAGGGAGGTGGAGCTGAAGCTGTGAAGCATGATTCACCTCCACCATTCGCCGCCAGCCTCTCTTTGAATATCCTTTTCAGAACTTACTGCGAAAGTAATGTAATATGTTTTCATCTCATGCTATTATTTGTTGCATGTTTCATGAAGTTGAATCTCAATCGTCTATGAAGCTGAATGTGTAGGTTATATTCCCCAGTTTGCACATGTTTCTAGGTAACATTTAAGAGAAATATAGAAATGATTATGTACTAGTAAATTGTGGAATGTTCTTGCGAGAACTTGTTTGCTCAATCAATCTTGAATCAACATTTTTCGAGTAAATTGGGAAGTGAAGATATGGGATATATATAAATACATTCGATAGGAATATGCCACGTCAGAACTTTGAATGTGAGATATAACTGTACAAAAATCACTGATTACAGGGAGGGAAGAGCTCTGAGTGAATCAAATTCAAGGGACACGCTCTAATACTCGTTGTAATGCCTTCTTGATACCTTCCTGATCAAGGGATGTAGTCAGATATATCTCCTGCACCTGCGTCACAGCAGAAAACTCCTTGGAACATTTTTGATATTGTCATATAGAAATAGTGGTATGGGGCCCATAGGGTAGTTTCAAAATGTTTGTTTCACATACATTATCTTATTTTTCTATGCAACATTCTATCCGATAAAAGATTATACATAGTAATTTATTAAAAAATACAAAATTCAATGCAATAATTGCATTTTGATGTGATGCTTCAATCTTACTTGGCAATAGTGATTCGATGAGATATGTTATGCTATGTATATAATAAGTGTAAGGAGCATTAATTAATTAAAGTAAATTCACCTGTCTTCCAGCCCGAGCAAGGAGAGTGAACCTTTGATTCGTGGGAGGTGCCTGCGATGATGAAAGGTTCAGAAATGGGGAGAAATAAAAACTATGAACAAAATAAATTATCATCTTCCATTATTATAGGAAGAATTCTGAAACTCACATTAGAAAGCCAAAGCTGCAAGTCTTGTGAGACCACTCGTTTTTCAAACCCTTGACGGCTGATTCTTGCATCATATATACTGTGACAGAATATTATCATAAAGTAGAAAAGTCATAATCAATGTACGTAACATAGTATAAACTATAGAAGGTATTTCAAATTATGGATTCATGAGTTCAACATATACATTCCGTAACCCATTAAGCTTATAGTGGCAATGCATTAATCAATCGATTTGCTAATACATATTTAAAACTTTCAATTAGTGATGCAAACATACCCATCTTCCTGCAGTAGCTCTTCAAGGATTGTTTCAAGCCCTGGGAGAGGCTCAATACCACTGCTATCACTACCGCTCAGAGAATCAGGATCAACTGAACCATCCTACAAAATATAAAATTTATTGCTAAGGATATTTCTTCACATTGCTGATAACAATTTTATTCATTTTTTATATTCATACAAACCTGAGGTATTACTTTGTCCAGAGTTTCTAGAAGAGGATCTTCTTCTAGCTGTTTAATTGACAGTTTAATCCTTGATTTTTCCCTGTAGGAATTTAGATATAAGTGAAGAGGTGATTTCCATAAACACACGAGAAAATGTAGCAAAATAGAAAAAGCCATCAAACATGGTATTAGTGGCCAGTAAGAATATCGACAGAAAATTCTATTGAAGGCATAATTATTGGAAATCTCACCAATCAATACCAATAACTTTGACCCTCACTTCATCACCTTCTTTCAAGATATCTCCGACATCATGAATTAGATCCCATGATACTTCTGATATGTGTATTAGTCCAGTAAGGTGATAAAGACCTGCATCATTCTGTGATGTCACTTGTAACTTCTCCATGGTAAAGCCGAAAAAAGGAAACTATAGACATGCATAATGCACAGTAGTTACCGTCAGGGAAGCGCAAATGAACAAAAGCACCATAGTCCTCTACATTACCAACTCTTACTTCAAAAATGTCCCCTACATTAACCTGTTTTGAAAATTTAGACCAAGCAGCTTCCTTTTCAGAGAAGATCAATTTCTTGTTATCCTCATCCGCTAGAATTACCTAAAATTAGAAGAAACTGCAATTATTCATTAATTATATATAAAAAATTCATTTAAAACACAAGAAGCATGCTCAAAATATTACAACCTAACAAAGAGTATAGCAAAGGATTATAAATTAAGAATTTTTTATATTTCAAGGTCCAGACAGTGCTTGAAATAGCTCAAGTCAGAACTTTCTAGATTTGGGAAATATTGGTTCTTTTTCACGGCAGGTTCAGGACTAGCAGACAGAGAAGCCTCAAACGTTGTGTTAGATTCACAGAATAAAATGATAACGTAGAATAAAACTTATATGCTGTTCCTTAAACACTTAGTATTATTTATTAATTAAAACTAAAGCTTGATTTTAATTAAAAAATTTGACAACATAGAATAAATAATTGAATTACCTTAATAGGCATAATTGAACCGATTAAGCCTTTTGCAATTTCTTGGATAGATTTATCTGGTTCTACACAAAAGGATCAAAGATACAAAATGTGAGCAAATAATTGAGAATGTTGAAGTGAAGCATTCACATGTAGGAAAAAGAAACATTTACCTTTAGAAGAATGCAATGGACTCAACTGTGGGAAAGGGAGAAAACCAAGAATAGAAAAAAAGCGAACGAGCAAGCCTCCATTGTTAAAACCTTCAACTCTACCATTATAAACGACTCCACTATCTTTATATGCCTTTGCAGCTTTCCAATCTGAAGATCTCTACTTCATTGCAAAAATTAAGATTTACAACATCATCAGTATTATAAAGTTACTATTTTATATTAATATGTGATTATTATTATTAATGATGTGATTAAGTAATAATAAATAAAGAAGAGAGAGACAGAGAGACCCGAGCTTGACGAGCGGCATCGTTTGGGTCAGCAGGAGAAGGGCGTTGGAGAATTACAGAGTCAGGGTTTTGGTGAATTTGAGTATTTGAAGAGAAGAAAAGTTTGGTAGTGGCAGTCTGATGGGATTGCGAAGGTGATTTGAGATTGAGAGTTAATTTGTTGGGAAAATTGAGGAAAGGGGAAAGATCAGATTTTGACAGAGAAGCTGACACTGAAAGGGAAGAGAAGGAACCAAGCGTTACAGAGAAGATTGGCATTCTTAAGAATGAGTTTGTTTTACAGTTAACAGAAGAAACCAAGTTGAGTTCATCTTCTTCACTTCATCCATTCCAAAAGATTGGATTGGATTGGATTGGATTGGAACATAGATTCCATCTGTCTTTCCTTCCACCACTAATTATTTTCTTCTCCCTCTTACATCCTTGTCACACACCTACACTTGTATTTTTTTTTAAAAAAATCATTTTATATCCTTCTTATTCACCTTGTTTATTAAATTAAAAATTATTTTTTATATACTTTTCAAGACATTATATATATGATTATTAAAATATTTTAATTTAACTGATAAAGAACACTTAAATTTTATGCCCCATTGGGTCGAATTTGGATCTTCTACCATCGTGCTGCCACTCTAATAAGAAAATTACATACTGTGAAATGCCTGATTAATTAACAATTGAGAATATTTTTTGTAATCATTGAGATTTTTAGTGTAGAACGGGGAGGATTCGAGTCCCCGATGAGTCAACACAACTTTTACTAAAATTAAGGAACTGAATAGGCCCATTTAAAAAAGTTCCAAGGTGGGTAATCCCCTTGGACAGATATTTTTCCTTCTTCTACCACGAATTTCTAGTTTGAGATATGAAAACATGATGTTGAATTATCTTTTGTTCACATTTATGTAGAATATAATGTTTTGAAAAAAACGATTGCTTCATTACATAACAACAAATTCTAAATGGAAAAGAAATGTTATTGGTGAGATATTTGATTCGCGTTCACCTCTGTAATGACAAATGTGGATCACATAGCACGTAAAGTAAATAATAATAATAATAAAATTGGATATACAAAGTTAAAATAATGACATGCCACACTTTTCAGGTGTAGGCCACACAGAAAATGAAGCTATTTGTTCATATTGGCTTTCTCTATAGTTTACTGCAAATATCATAGAAAAATAGTTGCTAGTTGACGGTGAACTGAATCTTTCCTAGTGTTGAAATGAACTAAACAGAAATCAATTACAACTTAGCTAATGATCATTGATGACACACCAATGAAAACAATGCATCTCAAATTCTAACATTCTAAAAATGAGGAAGTCTATTTCTATTACAGTGTATGGAACAAAATAATCAAATGGGGGCACCATGCCACAATATTTCAATACTACCCATAAAACTATATTCCTGATTTTAAGAGTAAATAGTCTGTTGTTGAATGGGATATCCCAACACATGACTAAGTTTGCTTGAATGTCCATTTGGAACATCATCATCAGAATCTAATTCCCACCAAGAACCTTTGTCATCGTTATAGGTATCATCAGCTTCACCACAGATATCATCCATATTAACATCTTCAAATGATTCGGCAATGGTATCTTCCAGATTCAATTTCTTCTTATCAACATCTGGATTGTAACTCCACTCTAACCTTTTCAAGATATCACGATCCTTCCAGTTTTTCACAACTGAAACAGCCTCCTTTTTAGCCTTCCCCATCAGAATTTCCTCCCAAGAAAAAGCAGTATCAGCAGTCCTTTTCAAGACACCATCATCAGTATCACCAATGACCACAGTCTTCAAACACCTTAGCCTTGCTTCCTTTATCACATCAACAAAATCAGAATCATCAGATACAAGTACCACACACTCAACCCTCCTATGATCCATGATATCCACCATGTGACTTTTCAATGCAAGATCTGCAGCTTGTGGCTTATCCAACACAGTTTGAACCCAAAACCCTGCCCGTTTTAGCTCATCTGCCAAACCATACCCAACTTTGGGAGTCAGAACAGCACTTGCAGCCTTCTTATACTTCTCCATTTTCATAGAATACTTAGCCACCAACTTCACCCTCCTGCTCCCCCTAGCTGACTCTATTTGGTTCATCCTTTTCACATGCTCACGCTCATGCAGTTGCTTGAAATGGTTAACAAGCTTTTCATTAGTATAAAATTTCCTCCCACAAACACGACAAAGATAAGGTTCATTTGGCTTGATAACACCCTTATTCTCTAAACGATTCAACAGTTGCCTCTCTTTTCTCCTCTCTCTAACAACTTGAGGAACATGGCTAAAAGTGTGGCTATTTGCATAAGCCACCGTATACCTAACAACCCCAAAGGAAGATGCAGCTACTCTAAGCTTATTGGCAACTTCATAGGGTGGGATTGAGTTGGGTGGTTTATTGTCCAAGTCCCAGAAGAGCCCCACCCTATTTGGCTTCTCGTTTGGTATCAATTTGGGGGTTTTACCCCAATCTTCTGATGCAAAATGACAATGTCTCGAGGCACCGTACGTTAGCCCGCTAGTGGATTCCAGTGTGATGAAGAAGATGCTGCGAAATTTGAGAATTGAAACCATATGCAATTGGCTCTCTATTCTTCCATCAATCAAAATATTAAGAGAAACGGTTGAATCCAATAAAGTTTCATTGATGGAGAAACAGAGGAGTGGGTGAAGATTGTAGAAAACCCATTTTCCTAAACAGTAAAAAGATTGGAAATTGGATTTGATTTGAAGATAAAAATGTAGAATTTAGTAGCAACGAAAAGTAGTACCTTCACCCTCTTCCTAAGCTTTCTTCTTTGCCGACGTGGGAGTGTGATAGGGATAGGATTGCGAAGGTGTTTTGAGATTGAGAGTTAATTTGTGGGGAAAATTGAGGAAAGGAGAAGGTGAGATTGTGACAGAGAAGCTGATACTGAGAGGGAAGAGAAGGAACTCAGCGTTACAGAGAAGATGCGCATTTTTCGTGTTTTGTTTGTATTGCAGTGCAAATCAACAAACTGAACAAGGTTCTTCACTTTCACCCATTCCAAAAGATTGGATTGGATTGGAACGAAACATACATTCCATTTGTCTTTCCTTCCACCACCGATTCTGTTGTTCTCCCTCTTCCCTCCTTGTCGTGGCCTCACACACTTGTATTCTTTTTTTTAATAATTTTATATCTTCCTACACCTTCTAATTAACCTTGTTTATTAAATTATCAAGACATTAAATATATGATTATTAAAAGCATATTGTTAACAAAATTTAGTGTTGTATGAAAAAAATAAAGTGTTATTTTGAAGAAACTTATGCTGTTTATGAATTAAAATTATATTAATATTTACTTTTAATATTATCATTAATTATAAAAAATGAAATTTAATTTGATAAACAACACTTAAATTTTGTCCAACACAACTTTTGTTTTAAAGTAAAAATGCAGGATGTTGAATTATCTTTCATTGAGATTTATGTAGGATCTAATGTCTTGAAAACAAACGATTGCTTCATTAGAGAGCAACAAATTCTAAATGGAAGAAATGTTATCGATGAGATATTTGATTCCCGTTCGCTTCTGTAATGAAAGGTTTTCACAAACGCGGACCACAGAGTACGTCAATAAATGACAATAATAATAATAATAAATAAATAAATAAATAAAACTGGATATACAAGTTAAAATAATGACATGCCTCACTTTTCAGGTGTTGGCCACACTGAAAATGAAGTTATTTTCTCATATTGGCTTTTCACTATGGTTTATTGCACATATCATAGCAAAATAGTTGCTAGTTGAAATAATGCTCCTCTACTCTTGTCTCTGTTAAATAACACTTGCTTGAGCCATTCTTTTGTGACCACGCGCAGCAAGTAGCTCAGAATCCTGCATAATTTTTTAGAAAGCCTCAATGACAGCAATGTGATACATAATGATAGGAAAAAGAAAAACATCAAATCATCCTAAATACAAGTTACAGAAGATAGAATAAACTCAATCTAAAGCCTTTTCTTGATCTGGTAAGAAAGTCGCTTTAACAATAGCTACTTGTTTAGAGATCAATCCTCATTACATTGGTTCTTCATATGGATTTCAAATAATGTTCATAACCAAAGGTCTTTTCCTTAGAGATATACATATAAAAATCATTCACACGCCTCTTCCTTACAAACAAAGTTTTGAGGTTTACAGGAACTCGACAGAAATGTTTCAAACACAACATTAAAAAAAATTGAAACGACTCCGTTAGATTGACGACAGCCCTAGATCTAAAAATAAGGGTGTGCACTTAAGTGAAGAATTTCCACAACAAAAGTAGCATTATTTATTCTACTGAATTAATAATTCAGTAGATGTTTCTCTCGCAAAAAGAAAGCGTGTATAGATAATAGTATTTCTAGCTAATGATTCTGTTATACTGCAGCGAGTAGCTAAGATATTTTTTGTTACAGATTTTACCTGTACAATTGCCTGTGCACAAAGCTTCCCAGAAAGAACAGCACCTTCCATTGAAGCTAAATATTTTTGTTTTGTGTAATCTCCAGCTAAATAGAAACCTTCTACAGGAGATCTTTGTACGGGACGACAAGGTTCACAATTTGGAACAGTTTTGTAAACCGACCTGAAACAATGTCGTCAGTTCTGTTAGAATTCAGAAGACAACTGAATGTAATGGCTATAAATAACATGAATTCAGTAATCCAAAAGACATTCACCAATCTGTGTCTACAGAAGTTAAAAAAAATAATCCACCTCTGTGGACAATCAAACCTTGGTGTTTTAACAACATGGTACTTGACAATCTTCGCTTTGCTTTGATCAGCAGAAATTTCATTAGGAAAGAGTTTGGCAAGTTCAGACATTGTGGCACGTATAATATCTTCATCACTACGTGACACCCATTCTTCAGCTGGTGCAAAAACTAACTCCAACATAGACTGGTTTGGGTTATAATATTCCTGCGTAAGATAGTGAAACAGAGTTACACAAACAATATCCCAACGTCTAATGATAACCAGACAAATGGTCATGCACAGAAGAAATTCAGTCTCAAACAACAACAAAAATATTAACAAAAATCTGAAACCTGAAATAATTTGTGCAGAGAGAGAGTTTACTGTTTATCCAGAAAGTACTATCTCAATTCAATTAATGTGCCTATTTATATACAAATATGTAAAGGATATGCTAGCCTAGACCATGCAGCCCACAGTTTCTGCATGGATTGAGGAAATGCATCTCTGCAAATCAATGACACGTGAGAAGTGGTTTTACCTTGCAAGTAACTGACATGTCAGCATATACACTCAGAAGGGGACTTCTGTATGAAGAAAAATATAAAATACACAAGATGTGAGGTGATGAAAATGCTTTATTTTAATCGACAAATGCCATAAAACCAAAGGAAAAAAAGTTCATTCACACAGCAAAGACAAAGTGATCTTAATCCCTAAAATCCTCGGACACTTGCAACATACACAACACAATTAAGAATCTTTTAGCAAATAACAAGATGGTATAACTTGCAGTCACAATAAAAATTTATCTCTATTCATGGAAATTAACAAGACATAATCATTTCCAGTTGGCAATTGCCAATGAAACACTACCATATACAGAATCCACAATCAACCCCCACCCTCCCATGATAGATCGCATCAGCACCCTGAAAAAATTCTTAAAACTTTTAACTAAGTTAAACAAACAATGGGAAAAAAAAGGATCTCCTTGCCCAAAGGTTCTTAATTTGCTTTATCATATTTTTCCTTTAGCAAGTTATAGCACACTAATTGTATATGAATCCAATACTCTCAATTCCAAGATTAGGGCAAGTCACAAACCTCAATAAAGTGGTGTCTCCCTCCTGTTATTGCCTGTTAGTAATAGATGGGTCACTATCAACATTTAGGGAGAGGGTATATTCTCAACTATTTCCATATTACAGTAAAGGCTTTTCAGTTGTGCTTCTGATTGTTATTTTGCAATGTTATAACCAAAAATGCTCTTATCCCTTAGTAATCCTTATCATATTTATCTAATTTCCAAACTGGAAAACAGGATAATAAGAATATATGAACCTTATAATTATGAAGCAAAAAAGTTGACAGACACACAATATGCATCACAAAAACCAAAAGAGACATTAATTGAACAGTATTTTTATCCCTTTCAGACATCACAAGTGTTTCAAAGTGTAAGGAAGACCTGCTAAAGAGAAGGTGATCATATGTGTTTTTCAGTTTTCTGTCAAACCTGCAAATTCAATGCATATATAGTATGTCATCACAACAGTGGAGCTAATAATATAATCAACATTGACAAATATTACAAATTAATTTTTTTATTGTTCAGAATTTTAAGATAACGAGAGTATATTAATGCTTCAGTTAGCAACAGTGAAATCATTTTGCATGCTAAAATAGGTTTTCACAATTCTCTAAATTTAAAGTATTCATTTATCAAAACTATTATAACTATTCAATTGGAGAATATTAGTAAACTTTCATTAATACAATTTAAGACAAACGGTGTATATTTCTCTTCCAAACTTTTCAGTGAATATTTGTGTTTTTCTATATTAGACAGCAAAATGAAATAATGATGAATGTAATAATTTAATTAATAATTGGAGTCTAACATATGCATGGCCATAGTTTTCAACATTAAAAGCCATTACTTACCATATGTGAACATTTATGACCGGGACTCCAACTAATTTATCCAATCTCTGAAAATAAGGAATTCCTTTCCAGTTGTCAGGCAGAAGAAGCTTCAGAATATCCACTGTTTCAAGAAAAAGAATCCTCAAAAATGTGAAGGAATGGACATTAAGAATGCCAGAAAAAAAGTAATTAACACAGGGAAAATAAGAAAAATAACCTGGAGTTGCAAACACGTAAGCATCCCCTTCCATCACCCTCCCATTATTTAGTAAGAAGCTCTTCACTGTGCCATCATCATTTAGCTCAATTTTTTGAATGCGTGAATTCAGATGAACTTCACCCCCCAAGGACTGAATATGATCAACAATTGGTATACAAAGTCTTTCAGGGGGATTGCCATCCAAAAAGGCCATCTTAGAACCATGTTTCTCCTATTAAAGAATTTAATGATATAACAATTAGTTGAAGAAAAAGACAAAGAAGAACTTGTCTGATTCCAAGCTACTATAATAATGGGAATGAAATGACCTTGTCAATTGCACACTAATGCTAGTGTAATAATGTTTAATGAAGACGAAATGATCAAACCTGAAGAAATCGGTTTAAAGCAATCAATATACATTGCATTGAAAGTTCATCAGGATTGATGAAGTTTAGTGCCTTTGACATTGCTATGAACACCTCATCAGTTACCCGATCGGGTATGCCCTATAATAAGGAGAAAACATTTTGTTATTCCCAAATTATTTGAGATACAGAACATTGGAAGGTTGCAATCTGTCAGGGTGATCTTTCTTTAAATATCCCTGTTGGTCTCCAGTATATGATTTTTCTTTCAATAATTGTAAATGAATCATCTATGCTTATAAAGGCATGTAGGCATAGAGGATCATCCATCCTTGAATGTGAGGAGGAAAAGAAATTATTTTTTTCTTCTCTTTTTTTTTAAACCATTTTTCATTATTCACCTATTTCCTGATTGTGTTAAAATCTTCGAATACCTGTGTTAAAATATTAACAACCAAGACTTCAATCTGCAATATTTAAGTCACAATAGCCATGGCTTTTACCACTGATATAGCCATATTACTTAAACCTATTAATGGACAGCATAAGGATAGACAATGAAGACAACTGCTGTACCTGCTTTCTCATCCACTCCTTAACAGAAACACCATCTTGAGCCTCAACATACGCCTGTCCACCAAGCATAGCTGGCAGAAGCCCAATTGCAAATTTGACTTTCTCTGGCCATGTCAGCATCTCATTGTTCCTCAATATTGCCCATATTCCTGTTATCACATACAACGAAATAGATATAAGACAGTAAAAGATATAGAAATCAAGCTTCAACATCAAAATGTTTGTTCTTTGTTTGAGTTTGAAATTTTTAATTTACAAGACATTGAACCAATTTAACATATCTTCATTCAATGATTATCGAATGCATTAAGAATTATTCAAAATAAAATTTGACTGGCATGTTGTGTACCAAACATCGTGCCATCCAGTGAAGAGAGTGGAAGCATGACATTTAGTCTTGTGAAAAGGAGTAGAAGGAGACTGAAAAGAACTTTAGAGGAAATTATTAAAAGAGATTTAGTGTTAAATAATATTTCAGATAATGTAAATTTTTACCAAGTTCAATGACGTCATTAAATTTATGTAGCCAACCTCACCTATAATATAGGTGGGAAGATTGCAAGATAGTATTGTACATTTTGTGGTAGACAATGCAAATTCTGTATCATTGGTTTTCTAAAAATAGAAGGCATTCATTGTGCTTTTATAAAGACATCCAACTTCAGGTAGGTATATGAATAGCCCACACACACAGATGTCTTACATCTTACCATTTAATGGGGCGGGAAGAACTTCAGGAAAATCAAAGCGACTAAACTCTCCAGGCTTATTTGGCATTGCAAAAATCATAGAATGCTCCTTCCATTGTAACCGATCATTAATACCAAGTTCTCCAAATAAGTTCTGCACATTAGGGTAAGCCCCAACTTTGGGAGGGGGAAAACTTGTAAGGCAAGGATAACCACAAAACAAGGGTTCTAATAATTAAAAGATCTATATTCATTAAATAACATGATTTCCAGTAAAAGATTCATGTAGAAAGACATATATTAAGAAGATATATAAAAACAGTTCAATATGTGTGCCAAAGACTAACTTGTCCAAAAGCACTGTTAGGATACGGCCAGATTGCCCACTCATGCAAAAAGCCCTATGAGCTTGAAGCTTCAACAGACCACAAGTTAATCCAAACATTTTGGCTCAAATTTAATTTTTAATCGAAGGTGGGGCAGCAAGGATAAAATCCTAACCACTTGGTCAAACAATGGTTATGACCTTTGTTTTATCTCTTTACATTCTTTCTCTAGTGGTGACTTTACTAGCTCTAGGAAGATTCCTGATCCTCCAATTTTTCACCCTTTTATTCCTCTTCTATCAATGATATATTAAAAAAAAGGTTCACCAAAGGCATGATATTATTAAATTGAAAGCAGAATTTTTCAGAAGCAGTTAAGAAAACAATATATGACAGAAAAAGTTATGTACGACATTTTAATGAACTTACAGAAGATGTGTAGGCCTGTCTCGTACCAGTCTCCATCTTCATCTTTCCATGCAGCAACCTTAGAAAATGTAAAAATAGTACAAAAAAACAACAAATTAAAATTGATTCATAATAAACAAGTTGTATATACAATGGTAATCTTCAACAAGCCTGATGACGAAGTTCAAAATTACCACTTCAAAGTCCCAGAAAATTAATTCAGAAAACAAGAACACAAATTATATATAAAGCCGATGCATTCACTAAATTATGATGGAACAGTAAAATAGGGACATTTTTTTTTATTTAGTTAACACCAAGTTAAAATGAACAGCAATTGCAGAAAGTGACAACTTATTGACAAATAGGATTAAATTAGCAGAAAAACCTTTCCACCTAGAACATCTCTTGCCTCCAGCAATATAGGTTTATGACCAGCATCTGCTAAATATTTTGCAGTTGATAAGCCAGCCAATCCTGGGATAATTTGAAATACACATCAACACAAAAGACAGAGAGGTCAAAACTCGAGCGAAGATTAGATTACTATCGTTTTTTTTTTCTTAAATATCCAACATGAACTCTTTTTCTTTATTGACACTCCACTGTCATAATGTAATCAAGCCTCCACATGTGTACATCTATTTAATAAAAAAGAAAAGAGCTTCACATGCCTAACAGCAGGTTTCTAAAACACATCAACCTCAAACAACTACCATCGAAGACAATGCATCAAATGAAAAGGGTATAATAACAAAAGCTAAAAGTGATGACTAGATAACAGTTCCTAATCTTAAAACACCCAGTACGACTAAAGCAAGAAAAACTACAAATTCGGCAGCAAAGATACAATTTTGATGTGTTAAATCAAATGGGTACAAACATAGCTTGCTCTTGGGATGGCCTCTTGTTACCTGCACCAGCAATAACGACATTCAAGGGTTTTTCTGGACGCGGAGAAGCACGAAAGGTGGAAGACAAGTAAGCAGCTTCGATGAAATTAACAGTGTTTTCAAGCTCAGGGCGTGGATAATCGACACAAACGACACTCAAGGGTGATGCATGGTTCCTCAACCTGGTGCTCTTAGCAGAACGAGGTCGCACACTAACACCCATGGACTCACTCCCACCAAATGATAACGAAATTGTGGCATCTGAAGAACCGAATTTGGATATGCTTCTAGCACCAATCTGCCAATTCAAGTTCGCCGCAGATATACACCCACACGCAGCCATCGAGTCGAAAAAACCGAATTCGATGAACCAAACAGAGCCTGAATGAAAGAGTAAGGTTGCGAGTTGCAGAGAAAGAGAGAGAGAAGACTAGTAATGAGTAATGGTAAGAAGGGGAAGAAAGTGCATGAATTTGGTGGAGAAGTGACCACAGCACTACAACACTAGTTGAGTAGACTCAAGAGGTTGTTTTGTGTGTTTAAAGAATATTCTTGAGTGGATAATGAATGAGATTAGGACAAAAATCCATTCATTTGGAGTCCATTAAACTTTGACATCAATACCCTTTGCCACTCTGCCTAGTTATCTATGGAGTTTGATACGTCAAGTTAACTAAACTCCATTCAACTTCCAATGCAACCCGGTGCTTGCCACGGCATTAAAAACAATGTATACCTATATTTTAGTACATTATTTATTGGATGCCGAAAATTCTGTTTTTCCTTCGGGATTGGCTATGCTCCTTAGTTACTATTTGATTGTAAGAATAAATAATAATTGTACTACCATTAAGCCTTAGTGGGGGATGGCCAAATAACCAATATCTTTTACGTGCATCAAAATGAATTGGTGCAATAGTATATAGTAATTATGTTTATCTAAAAAATAAAGCGTCACAAATATAATACCCAACATCAAATCAAATTTATGATACTCATGCTTACATTATCATATTCATTCATGAACCTAAACATGTTTTAACTCATTGTAACCCATTACATAACTTAAATATCATATATTATTATACTCATACATATTCAAAAATCTATCCAACTTGACAATCGATACAAACTAAATTGTTAATTAAAAATTTAATATTTTAAAAACTTAATCGCAAAAAATATATGATAACTAGACTATCCACACTCAAAAATCTGATATTAAATCACAAAAATGATTTTTTTTATAATACCCAAGAGTTAGTAGTATGACTTTGTCCTCCTCGAATTATCACATTCGTCATTATTTTCTTTTTCTGCTTTCCCTAAATCGCTTATATCTTTATTATTATTATTATTATTGATGAAGTTATCTTCAAACGATGAGTGACAACCATTTTAGTGAGGTGAAAATCATTTTTCCATGTTAGTTCACTGAATTTCTTAGTCAAATATAAAGATTTCAACAACTATTTTGTAAAGAAAAAATTGCATTAACTAAGACATAACACAATAAAGACGAATAAATATTCTTCAAATAAAATGTTTAAATCACGATATCACCTGTGAATTTGTAAGCTCCTATTTTTGAAATTTAGAAAACCTTCCGACATTTGCGATTTGTTCTTAACTATCGAGCGAACAAGATAATTACGCGAAGAACAAATTTACAGTAAATGAACAATTAATAATCAACCAAAGGCTAACTCAAGGAATATGTAGTAAATATTCATTTTTTTAAGAAACATAATTAATTTGGCTACAAACATGATGAACAGCTAAGCATTACTTAGAAATCTCGGAAGCTCATTTTTGGATCCATCATTTTTCCACCCCCGCGTCCTCTGCCCCTATATCCACCTTTTCTTGTTCCTCTACCTCTTCCTCGCGATCTCATATGCTTGAAGCTTCTCCCATGTTTCATTTTCACAAGGGAATGAAGCAATTCATCACAAAGAATGCAACCACGGTGCAAGGTAGATCCGTCTTCAAGAGGAGTTGTTTTTTTGTTGAAGTCCACTTCTAGGATTAAAGAGTCACATTCAGGGCATCGTTCTTTGGTTGTGGAGATCCTATGAGCACCTTGTGCTAGAAAAACTAGACAATTGCACATATTGCAACAAAGTCTCCATTTGGGAGCACTTACGGGATCTAAGACAAGTGTCCCACTGCACTCTGGACACGCACATACACCCTGGGAAACTACAGAATTTGGGCAAGTGGGATGAGGACATAGGATGCAGGCCATGCCAGCTCCCTTGCCAATCTTGCCAGGAGTGTTAGTTTTAGTCGCACTGATGAGTGTTTCAATACCTTCAAATGGGGGATTGCTGTAGCAATATGGGCATAGTGGAAATGATTTACCATCTGGGCCAGGCATGGAGCAGATCAAAAGCTCAAAATTGTCTAGAGGACAAGATAATTCTTTGTACAGCTGCATAAACAGTTAACGCAAATGTGGGTGACATATCGGGCAGATCACACAACACAAAAAAGCAACAAAGACATGATCAAATAAATGAAAACAGCAAATATCAAATGGGTAGACACCATGATTCCCTCTCAATTACTCTCAAGTCTCAACCTTCCAAAGTGTTGTCGCTAATCGACATTCATACTCAACTTCTGGAGCAATGTTCCTAGACAAAGATTACCAGAACCAAAAGCCCCTTCTTTCTTATCTTCGTTCAATATCTGAGGAAGTATAGCCCAAACAACAAATAAGATCAAACTAGTTAGGAAGGCACTGAATGGTGAAAAAGTATGCCAAAACCCGTTTCATGATCTAGAAACCAGTGAAGTCACCAGTGCATGATAGCTGCACACACAATGTTGATCGGTAATGATCTCAAGAAGAGTGTTCACAGGCACTCTCCAATTATAGTGACACGGTGGTCGTTAAATCAATGCATAAGGCAATCACACTACGATTTTCTTTCGATAGGAACAACTCTCAACAATATCAATTCACCAAAATTGAACTGTTTTACATGCCAGGCAAAAACACACAGGCTCATTATTTAGATCTGATAACAAACTTATGGTAAGGAAGCATGGCAGTTTGACAGTTTACAATAATGCAATATCGTATATGATAAGAAATCATGCAAAGAGAAAAAGTGTAGACAGGATGAGTTGGAAATCAGATTTTATTTATATTATTAAGCAGGCTATATGATACTACCTTGATTGTGCCATTCTGTGGAAGATAATAAACCTCCTCACATGTACCACAATACAATCGTGATGGCTGAGAAGAAATATACTTCATATATCGCAAGCATTTACCACATTTACTCAGAATACGCCCTGAATCAGTAAGTGCAGAAAATTGTGCTTCAAATAATGCATCCATGTCTTCAATCTGGGCCAGATAGAAAGCAACAAAATTAGTTGATCAATGTAGCATACATTCATGAACTCTGCAACTTAGTTGCAAATGTCTCTGTCTCATAGTGGACTACATTGGAAACTGAAAGAATATAGAAGGAAGATGTGGAACACTACATGCTAAAATAAATCCAGCATGCAGCAACTCGTGGATACTCAAAAGGTTCATCCAAACGAACTCCTGCCCCTCTAATAATCCTATAGTAATATTCTTTCAAAACTTATTCCCAATAAATAACAACCATTCCGGTATTCTAATGTAATGAATTAAAAATGAATCTATAAATATCAAGCTAACACGACACTGATGTCACATATTATTATCGTGTACTTGAATTCTTGAAAAGTATACTCTTGGACCTGTTCCAAGGATTCAATTTTAGTGTGAAAAGCTAATATAAAGTCTTTTTGGGGGGCAAATGCTCCCTAGAAAAAGCTTGATATGAAATCCAATTATGTAACATGTTATTAATTTGATAAGAAACAATAAAGAAAAATTTAGATTCAGCAGGTTTGTACAAAATTACAGCAATATCATAAATATGAAGTTATAAAGTAAGATCCACAGGAAGAGGAGTTCAAAGTTTTATACACGCATGTTTTATAAATAAAAGGCTTGACATAGAAATGTAAGGGTAAATGGGAAGACCGAAATTAAAAAGCCAAAGATGTAACCAAGCAAGGGAAATATAATAGGAAATATTAAAATGTGACCTCATCCAATTAAGGCCTATATCTAACAGAAAACAAAAGAATGAAATGATTTCAATGCTTTACCCAACAACTTCAAAAGAACTCGATGTTCATGTTGGGGGAGGAGGGAGGACTAGGGATCAGGCAGAAAACAAACTTAAATTCAGAGAAATTTAGGTGAGACAATGAACAAATGTTAACACGTCATGTTGTAAAAATTGAAAAGAATCGCATTGTGACCAAGAACTAACTAAAAGAGTTAGCCAACCTTCTTGACAAAGTAACTAAACTTCTGCTTGAACTGTTGGATTACATGCTGCACTACACGATGATGATCTACCTGACCCTTAGCAATAAGAGTAATTTGTTGCTCAATGAAGCTACGGATATCAGGCAGGCAGAGATCTGGATCAATTGATTGATAACCTCGTACTAAAGTTATGCCTAATGGGGTTGGGACAAGCTTTCTGCCTGCTTGTACCTGCAATTTGATTTGAGATGAATATACAGACAAAGAAGAAAATGATACACAGACCACATACTTATATTATATCTGTATTATATCCATTACCTGCACATAATTCCGCTCACATATGTTGTTAATATGTACAGGAATTGATGCATCTGTTCCTATTCCATTTTTCTCCATCAGGGAGATCAGCTCACTTTCAGTAAGAAAATCCGGAGGTGTGGTACTCCCCTGTAGAACTTGTGGTGTTAGCTATTTGTAATATATACAGAACTCTAATGGTAATACATGATTCAACCATCCCAAATATTCATTAATCCAAACAATGTCCCATGAACAGTTGCCTTTTTGGCTTTACCCAATAACACATCACCACACCAACCACCCTCACCCAAGAAATTAAAAAAAAAAAAAAAAGACTAGAAATAACAAGTTAGGATCAAATCCAAAAAACTGTGTACAGAAACTGAATATGAATCAGAAGGCTCCACAGTTACCTCATAGAGCTCCAATTTTGATACTTCTATTTTCTGCCCTTTTATAAATGATGGAATATTTTTATCATTTATGGCCAACCAAGGCATGATAGCTGTAAATCCTTTGGTGACAACATGCTGCCCTGTACAATGAAACAACTCTCCACCAATTGAAAACTCAACCTTTCTCCTGGAAGGATGATAATAATGTATGAGAAAACTAAATGTTCAAGTTCATGTAATAAGGCAAAGCAAGGGCAGGTGAATATTTGCAAAGGTTTAGACAAAGGTTATGCTTAGATGGAAGAAACACAAATATTATGCCAATATAATATGCAGAAATTATATGACGATGTTGATGATGACAACAATATGAGAAAAGCCACGTCATGCATCTTCTAACATGTATACTTTTGCTAGTCTTACAAGGACAAATTGGGGGAGAAAATTCCAATAGGTTTCAGAGCCAACATATCTATGAACTTACAAAGAGATATTACCTAGACAGCTTGATCTATTTTGTTACAGAATGTTTGACATCTGTAATCAGTAAGTCACTATTGCTTACCATCATCGAAATGATTAAATATGACAATAAGGAGAGACCACAACAAGCATAAATTAAGTAATTAACCAAATTGTCTCTGACAAGTGATAAGCTCTCAATGTAAATAAAAGACATGGGATATTTGTGGAATCACTGGGATGAAGTAAAAACAATAAGGTGATGATGATCAAGAAAGTTGAAACAGTATAGATTTTACTTTGTATACTTGCAGTCTGGAGACACTGTTCCTATGAAGTGTTGACAAATATATTGGTACAGCTTCCAAGCATCATTGCCTAGCATATCCTCTGCTGCTGATCTCATTGGAGTAATGGGAGGATGGTCGCCTGCATCTGTTCCCACTCGAGGTTTTTGATAGCCACTGGTAAGTAGTCCTTGTACATAATTACCCCAGGTTGGATTATTTGTTTGTGCAGAGAGTACACCGCGATAGTCAAATGAAGGAGGGTATGCTGTGCTTTCAGTGCGTGGATAGCTTGAGAAAATTCATGCAGAAACCAACCAAAGGTTATTAAAAGATGTAAATTAGATAAAAATTGCATTACTAATATAGAAGACTAACAAATTATGAGAAAACCTGATGAAACCTTGTGTATACAACCGTTCAGCTAGTTGCATGGCCATATGAGGTCCAAAGCCCAGAGCACTTGAAGCAACCTGGAAAGAACATTGTCCTCAAGTTATTTTATCAAACAAGTATATTAAAAAGAAAGGTAGATATTCAATCACTCTAGCAAATTTCAACTCTCTTGGCTAATAAAGTTAAACTCTTTTAATCCATCATTCAGAGGATAAATAGAACTATTTTTTTAGTTAAAAACATTATTAGAGAGAAAAGAATATATAAATTACAAAGGAGGCTAAGATATTATCCTTGGGTGAATAAAAATTTGACAAAAGAAAAAGAAAACAAAGAAAAAGACCTATGCTGACTCCATAGCCTCTGGAAACCTTACACATATTTCCTCACCAATGGCGAATATGATGGCAAAGATGCATCCAGCATTATGAGCAATAATCCATTCAGTGAACTTACAATTTCAATGGTGTGTTTAGAAGTATTAGTGGTTCCCCTATCCTTGATCAAATATTTAGACAGAAATCCAGAAATAAACTCATCAGGCATCATCATAAACATGGCTAGTTACTCCCCTGTCCCTTCCCTTCATAACACACGACAAATGTGAACATCAAAATAACGTTTTTCAAACTCTAATTTACCCCCATTTGCCACCAGAATGAAGAATGTGATTTTGGCACATAATCATTTAAAAAGATATATTTTATATTCTTTTTATGTAATTTTGCATCTAATACAGATGGTTCAAACGTTGTTATTGTTTAGAATATAAACATTATTATCTTCTCCATGTGATTACTAACCTTCAAAAGATTCACTGTGTTTAGACCAACGGGGCGACCTTTTGTTTCCTGTTTTTCTGATGTTTCAGTAACTTCCAAAAGTCCATCTTCGGCAACAATATTTTGAAACATCATAGCAACCTGCCATGGCATAAAAGTATCAAAAGTGAGTCCTTTGTCCGTGGGCTTGAGACAAAGAAAGAAGAAAAATATCAGAGAACAGAAATTTTCACATTTATGTCAAACAATTTGCCACGTTGCCATTCTAGCTGAATTTCATAGCCATTTTGAAATATGTAAGGATGCAAACTCCAAAACTTTTCTGGCTTGAAAGTGTTTATTTGTAAATACCGCTGCACACAAAATCCTAAGGTGGGAGTTTGGCATGGTCCATAGCTGAAATAGGTAGCAAATAACACAGTCAATAATTTCATCAATGCATAACTAAAATGAAACTATTGATTCAAGAATAAGTGCAACAGTGCATGCTAATCAACAAAGTTAGGATGCATGTAGATCTAATCAAGATATTGCATCTTGCATTACCTGTCTGCAATGCATGTTAAACCTAAGAACATAACCAATCCCAGGTTCCAAATGTATAGCAGAACAAGAATAACAGAACAAAGTACACTGTACACCAAAACCATAATGCTGGCATAATTATTAGTATATTACAAAGGGATTAGAAGCTACTTGAATTAAAAACTGAAAGAGAATCAAACTAGGATAACATGTCATATTACTAATTGTCCCTATTAAGATGAGAGAAAACGAAGGCATGTTATGAATTTTGTGTGTTTCAACTAAACCACAAGCTATGTATTTATATTAACAAAGGTAATCACAATCATAGGTACATCATCAAAAATAAATATACAATTACCTAATTACTATAATTATATAGATACTATTTTCTTAAATAACATATTTACCATATATTTAACAGTTCCAAAAGCTTGAACTAACAGGAAATGCATTCATGCATACCAAGCTAATCTTGAAAATGCTAATATCATTGCAAAAAGAACACAAGTTGCTCAGCTCCTTTTTCTTTTTGAACTAGCAGAAACAGAATGAAGCCTTAACCATTGTAAACTTAATAAAGTTAGCAGAGTGGTCTAGTAGTGCTCAGCTGTCTGAGATTGCTCCAACCCAATTACAAGCCTAAAACTAAGCACACCCTCAGCACAATTGACATCAACTAACTACTTTTAACTTTTTTACATCATTTCCATTGCATGGTTTATAATTGAAGCACTAGGTTGCAATTTATATTCAGCTCATTGTTTCTCTCGGATATGCACAAGTTGAATTATTCTGCTTTCTAAACAGAAAAATATGGCTGCCATTCTCCATCAACAACAATAACAAAACCTTATCTCACGATGTGAAATTGTCAGTCTTCAATTCATCGATTAAAAAAAAAGAACTAATAGAAAAAAGCATTACAGCAAATACAAGATAAACAAGCAAAAAGACAGAACAAAGTAGAAACTAACGAGATGACTCGAGAATCTAGGTTCCCGTATTTTCCTTGGAAATAACTTGTCTGAAATCGAGTAAAGGCAACTCCAACTTTCAAATCTATCTCTTGCCTAGCATCTACAGCCAGTGCCTCATCTCTGTTGGGTCTGACAAGGTTGTCTAGAGCCTTCAGAACATCTTTCTCAGTAACAGAAGAAAATCGTGCACGATAAGCGTCATTTATATTGAAACCAGTTGACTCCAAAACTGCAACAACATTCAATATTTCAAATGGTTCAAAATATTATTTGAAATTTTAAACTTGATTGTAACTCATTTCAAAAATCACTGAATGTGAAGCATGATTATGGGTAAACCAAGATTTCCTAGTACATACTGGGACAAGAAAATAATATATTGGGAAGACCAACGCTCCATAATCCATACACACAAAGCACCAACAAATAAATAGCAAAATAATTCTTTGACAGTAGTCCAAGTTAAAACTTGGCACATAAGGTTACTCTTAGCTGGCAATTCCTTTATACTACCTAAAGGAGTATCTAGAACAAGAAAAGATAAAGTTTTAGATGCCAATACTAAGGCGCAAGTATCAAACAAATAGAGTGACCAACCAAATTACCTTAGATAGCTAGGGTTTGCATTTTGTCACATCATTAAAATAATAAATTCACATTGCAATAACAGAGCACAGACAAGTTATACTCATCAAAGTATCAACAAATAAAGAAAAAGAATATAGTTACCTTCAAAACATATATTTTCTCCTTCACGATCACAATCTAACCACAATACCAAATAACGACATCCACGAGCTTCTTGGTTTAAATGTCTACAAATATGTGCCTGAATGAAACATAAGATGTTAATAACTGCAGGAAATCACCACAACAAAATTAATTATAGATAGCATATTCTGCACAAAGTACAACTCAATTGTTTAATAGCTAGCATTAATGGACTAAAATTTTTTTAAATGAAGGGAGGTGGAAAAAAAAAGTTTAAGACTAAAAGTCATTTCAGTATATTAAGTTTTACACACTCAACAAAAACAATACCAAACAGCACCTGACAGGCCAAGTTCTGAATTAGGCAGTTACAATACCGTATTATGAAGTTATGAGCTAGTTATTTTTATAGTAATTTCAGACTAGGCAGTTGTATGTTACAGTGTGACAGTTATAGAGCTATATAGGTTGTGAAACAGACTTGTAGAAAGTCATCTCCATTTGCCATTGGCCATAAATAGTTTCCTACCTCCACGCTCATATGCTTATGTCCTGCAGCTCCTGTGTGGTATTCAAAACTAGGAGAACAAAAAAATGCATGGAAAATCAAGGAAAAGTTCCAGAACATTTTCTTTAAACGAATTTCTGAGAATACTCAGAAAATATTTATAAATAAATCACCACCACTTATTTCTTAATATGAGCATTTAGAGCATCATGGAATTGAGTTCCAGTAAGGAAAACAAAGACAAAAGCAATCTATCTTGCCCCAATACCTCAAAATAATGCATAAAAGGTTATATGAAAAGACAGAGAGGAATCCCATAGTGTTCTAAAATGAATGGCGTCCAAAGACAAAACATGGATCTCATAGAAGAAGTAATAATGAAAGAAAATATTTGTACAGAAATACCTTTGGGTTTGATTCGGTCTTTATAACCTGAGCCTGAAAAAGATCTAACGGATCCGTGGCTTTCCAATCTTGATATTTACCAGGAAAATCTACGCTAGATTATCAACAAAAGATAGAAAAACTGCAGTGAATACTCAAACCACTCAGTATTAGACATTTGTAAAATGCAATGAGACCAAATAGCACAGTTTGCATCATAACCTGTCGTTTGTTGTTCAAAATTCAAATGCATTTGCTAAACTTCCAATGACAATAAGATTATAGCATACACTAAATACAAATGTTAACGCCAAACAACTCAGGTGATTAAATCACCACTGATACACTACCTTTCCCTTCCTTGACCAGATGCAAGTAGTGGTACAGCATCATAATCATAATATACACACTCATTCTAAGTTTTTATAATATTCAGTAATCTAATAATGCAAACAGATCATATAATATTTAAATTAAATTGAAATGAAAATATAGTAACTGATGTTTTCATCTGAAAATTGACAAGAAAAGGACCTGAACACGTGGCCAATAACAGATGTAACTTTAAAACGTGCATGCGATCCAAAAAACTTCCCCTCGAATTCATGAATTTCTGTGCTTCCTTTTCTTGTGAACATCTGTTTCCATAAACAGAGTAAGAAATGAATGAATATGAAAGGCGAAATGAGAGAGTGAGAGTACCTGGCCGCGGGAGAGAACGGAAGCAATGGAGAGAGCGATGCTTGGCTTCTCTGCCACCTGAAAGCTTCAGAGTAAGTAGAAACCTCACAACAATAACAATTACAAGTAAGATTGGATCTGTTAATTTGTGAGTTGTCACTAATTTTCATACCATAAGAACTTTCGGAATCGGAGGCGCCATCTTCCTATTCAATTTCTCTCTGCTTCTGTTGTGCTGTGTGCGGATGCCGGTAACTGTTTCTAAATGCAACAACGTGACCCTTTTCAAATAGAGAATTGATGAGTGTGTTAAAGCTAATTAGCGCATTAGCTTTTGATTATACTTTTCAAAATAATTTCAATATCCTTAATTATACTTTTCATCCCCCTCGCATTAGCGCACACATACAAATTAAATTTTGTATGACTTAAAAAATTGTCCTATTTGTTTATTATAGATTTTTTTTAGATTTGATTTGGCTTTTCTTAAAAAATTTGACTGGTTTGCAAGTTTTTTAAAAATTAATTATAATAAAAATTTTAAACCTGTTAAAAAATATCCTATAAATAGGTTAGTAAATCTCATATTATTAATCTACTTATTGTTGTTATTTATATTTATTTAAATAAACTTAGTTGTAACTTGTTAAATTTAAAAGAACTTTTTTGATAATCTAAAATCTAACCTTATTAATTAAATAAGCTTTTCAAAATACTTAATTTATAAATAATTTTTTTATATTCTAAAGCTTAGTCTTTTTAATTAAATAGATTTTTAAAAATTAATTTATTCAGACTAATTTAAACTCATATTAACTTATTTCTATCATCTACTCATACTAGAATCTACATGTTCATTTTTATATATTTGTTTATATGTGTTTTTAATTTAATTTTAATTAACTGTATTTAATCTCTTTAATTTTTTAACTATCAACATATGTCCATTTAGTTAGACAACTTTAGTAAAACTATTAATTAAATGAAAATTTCTTATAAAAATTTTATTGATAGCCAAATTTTATATTATCAAGATTGACTAAAGATGTCCACTAACAACAAAACAAATAGTTGCTAATTATAAAAAGTCAGATAATCTATACCTACAAAATAAGAGGTTACGTAAAAAAAAAAAAAAAAAGAGACAAAATAACAAAAAAGCCGGTTGAGATTGTATTTTAATATTTTTAAACTCAAAATGACAATAAAAATAAAATAAATGAATAACATTTTTAAAGTTAAGAATTAACAAAATAATTTACCCTTTTAAGAATTAAAGTGCATAACCCACACAAATTAACATGAGAACTCATCAAATATATAACTTTTTTTCATATATTTTTTCCTAACTTTAGAGTAAAGATATTTAATTGCCCAAAAAATAAAAGTCTTGAAAAGGTATGTTAGTGTTCTCTCGTTTAAAAGAGTATTTTCTAAAACAAATAGTTATAAATTTTTAAGTTTTTCTAAATATTCTCTTATTATTCATATACTCGGTTAATTAATTTATAAACTGGATATATGTGCGTGTCAGTAAGACATGATCTTGAAATTAATGAACATTTTAAATAAAAATTAATTACCAAAAAGTAAAATTACAAAGTTAATATAAACTATTAAATAACAGAAATAAAAGGTAATAAAAAAATGTTCATTCAACTTTGTGCATTTTGATTCAATTCAACACATTACTAACCGTACCAATAAAACGTCTAATATTTAATCATCTTTTAACGAGCTTTCTGAGTATTTAGTTACTTAACATCTAAACATGTTTTTCAAGGTATTAATTGCTCCGTAGTAGGACGTTGGTAGATCACCTGAGCTTGTGTGTTCCTGTTCACCTGAGTTTAATTTCCCCTTTCACATATTTCCAACTAAATATTCAGCTATTGAGCCAAAAGCAAATTAAGGAAAATGTTAATGATGATAATTAGATCAAATGGAATTATTAAGAACAACACAAAGGAGACATGCATCGACTTTGTAATCGGAAATCTCTATCAGGTAAATCTGCTCTATTCAATAGTTTAAGAACTCATTTATGCTCGCAGAAGACCGAAAGAATACAATAATTTCTGCAAATCATATGAACAAATTAATACAAAATAACAAAGTGTGTTGATATTTATATATTGCATCTATCGTAACCTGAGAACCATGATGATTCTGCTAGTTTTGCTAGCTCCCCATACTCTGCATTATTATTAAAGGGCTCAAACTGATCATTGACACTGTTGGGCTCCTTTGAGTCATCATAACTGGGCATGACAACATCGTCGTCATAAGTCGGTCGTACAGATTCCTTAGGCAAACGTGCTTCCGCAAGGACCTCATTAAGTGCGATAATCTCCTTCTCATGTTTCTTCTTCAACTTTTCAATTTGTTTGTAGGCCTTAGCAGCTTCCTGCTCAGCATCCATAGTCCGTTTCTGCAAATTACATTTTCAAATAGTGAACGTTTAGTTAAAAAGAAATTCACTACTACTAGAAAAAATGTTCATCAGCAGAATAAAATTGAGCTGCTGCTTATGCGACGAGCCTGTGAGGGATATTCATTGGAATTTGGAAGACTTCAACGCCAAAAAGTAATCATAGGCAAAACATGAGTGATTTTGATATTCCAAATCACGTCACATAAAATGACTAATCATCCTTTATCATTTGGCTTCACACTGATGGCCAACCCTCTTACGACTATCATTTTCCTAATTTCCTAGAGAATGAATAAACAGAGATGCTCATGAAAAATAGTTAATATTTAATTTGGTCTTAGAAGTATAACTGGTGTTGCTGGGGGGAAAGCATCATATACTAGCGAAACTATATGACCTCAATAAGCACAATTACAGCAAATAAACATAATATATACAAGTCATTCAGTTGATAACATGGAAGAAAATTTGATTTGTTACCAACCTGAGCAGTAGTGACAGCTTCTTCAGCTTCTTTAAGGCGCAAAAGCAGTTCACCAGCAGCTTGCACTGCTTCTGCAGTGTCCTTCAACTGTGCCTGAAGCCCTTTATTTTCATCCCTAAAGATTCGCCGTTCTTTTTCTCTTTCTGCTTTTAAAGCTGAAATTTCTGCAGCAAGGGCATTTATGAACTTGGACTCTGCACCTCTGACTCCTGCTCTGGAAGCTGCTTTCTTGACATCCTCAATTCCATCCTGGATCTTTCTATGCCTTGCAAGCAATTGGATATGTTTCTCTTCCAAATCTGCATATTGTTCTAGAAGTCTTGCATGGCCTTCTATGGCCATTTGCATAGCTTCCTGAAGTTCCACAGTACACTTCCTCTCAGCATCTAATTCCTGCTTCCTCTTTTCAGCTAGCGACCTGCTAGCTTCAAGCTCTGCTCTCAGTTCTTCAGAAAGAGAAATCCACCTGCCTTCTGCCTCAGTCCATTTAATTCTTTCTAGTCCAAGTTGTTCTTTAGTATTGTCCTTGGACGATGCTGGAATTTCATTTATCTCATCTTTCTCCTCTGTCGAATCTGGAATGGCAGTGAGGGATGCTGCCAAACTGGGTTCAGATGGGTAAGTCAGTTGCAACAATGGATATTGCTGCCTTGCTGCCGTGGATGAAGAGTCAACATAAAATTGAAGTTGGCTTCTTAAACTTTGTATCTCTTCCATCAACACTTCCCTCTCCCCCAATTTGTAGAAATTTTCATACTTCTCTAATTCATCTTGCACTCTTTTTAACTCTATCTCCATCTTAAGAACTTCTGGATGATTCTCGTACTTATCCTTTAAAATCTGTTGATGGTAAAAAAGTATAAGCATCAGATATATTAGACTATTGATCATAAATGGGAAACCTTGAAAGAACATTTCTACCTTGTGTTCATGGGTAAGAGCCACCAGTTCTTCCTCCATGAACTCTTCAGTGGGTAAGACACCATCCATAAGGCTCTCAAGGCGAAGAATTTTATCTTCCCTTGTCTGAGCAATTATGGCATTGCATTCCCTCTCATGCTTGTACTGTTGCACCTACAAATAGCATGGGAAACATTCACAACAACTGACCCAAGAAAACCAAGAGATGGTATTGTTGATGAACAGAGAGACGTTTACCAGGCGATTAAGCTGCATTATCTCAGAAGTCTGCTTTGCACAGAACTCTTCAAGTGCCATTTCTCTCCTTATAGATTCTGCCAAAACCTTTTCTACTGCCTATATAACAAAAGCGAAAGGAGTTGTAGTTCATATAATTCATATAACGAATTCATGTTTTACTGAAAGAAGCAACTAAATTCCTGCACCTACTTTGATAACTTGCTTCTTTGGCTTAACAGCAGACTCAAGACAATCAACAGGTACCAACTGTAGATTTGGGTTATCATCAATTTCATTGGCATCAAGTTCTACTCTGCTTTTACAATTACTACAGGTGAACAAAACAGAATCTTCACCAACATTATCATCAAGAGATGTCTGCAGGCCCACATCAACTCTGTCAACTGGAAAAATTAGTCTGGATTCTCTTGGTCTTAATGAAAACCTATATGATGACTGCCTCAAAGCAGCATTACGTTGGTAACTATCAATAATTTCAAGACCATGTCGTATGCTTGCTGCTAAATTTTCTGTTTTAGTAACAAAATTTGGAGCTGTCTGACTGGAAATGACAGTAGATGAGCTTTTCTGATTTACAGATTTTATGCCCAAATCTCTTTCAACATGAAGATCATTCTCAGAAGGAGAAAGCCCTGATGATGTCCTCAGACTTTTCCTGCTGGTGCTGATTCTAGGAGAAACACTTGGAGTTGGGGATTTAAGAACTGGTGATAAATCACACTGAACTATGCTGAGGCTGGCAGGTGAGACACAATTCTTTGGGGCACTGGGAGAATCCATGGAAGCATTTGGGGCTGAAAAACCTGTAAAACCTCCAATCTCAGATTCACCCTCAGGACAAGAGAAACTGCTTGGTACCATTGCACTGGACAATTCTTCATTAAGACATTTGCTGTCAGAGCAACTAGGAATATTTTTCTCCTCCCCAGGTTGAGCCAAATCCTGATCATCAGTGTTCATTTCATTGTCATTGTCAGCTACAATATTGCAATTACTCAGCATATCGGCATTGCAGGAAACACCATCATGGTCCTCAACACCTTCCTCGTCAATCTCCATCTCCTCATCACCATCATCATCTACATGGGATAATGGTTGTGGTCGATTGAGGCTGGATTGTAATAAATTCAAGCTTCTTCGGATCCAGGCAGCCGAATGACCTCCAGTTGAGTCCATTGGATTGTAACCATTAGCTTTAATTCGATGAAGCTCGTCCTGTTGATTTCTTACTCCTCTTATTCAAAATGAAGAGTTTAATAGAACATGATTGAGAATAGAGGAAGAGAATATACCCTTAGTTGTCGTATAACTTGTCGCAGGTGTTTCACATCATCCTCCATAACTTCATTAACCACTGCCTTGTTTTTGATAGCTTTAGCACGTTGGGCAAATCTCAATGTACTGAAAGTTTCACTCCGACAACTGCAGGAACAAGTCATCATATAAAAATCCATAATTCAGAAGGATCAAGAGACAAAGCGTTTCAAATGATCAGTGCTTTATGTAATACCTTTGTGCGGGCGAAATAGCACAAACCATTGCTAATTTTGCATTTCCCCCAAGAGACTCCTGCAACAGAAATGTCAACCTAGAATCTCTATATGGTATATGCCGCTGCTTTCCTGTTTGAGAAACTTCTGCCAGAATATTTATCAAATTCCTGCAGTTCAATTTAATCTCAGTAAGTTCAATTTAATTTATCCTTTGTTTCTAGGACATTATGGTACAAAGTGGCTTGGTATTAAAAACTTTAATTCACTATTTGTAAATATCTTAACTCTGATATTTGCTCTCAATGTATACATATGCACATTAAACCATACCCAAGCTGTGAGAGTGATCTATTAATATTTCCAGCTTCCTTCAAACGCTCTCCAGCAGCACCTGTTAATTTTTGCCGTTCTGACCCAGCTAGATCAACAAGATTGATTCTACTTGTTTTAAATCTGCTAATACCATCTGCTGCACTCTGCAAACATGAATTTACTTCAAAACACCTTCCAGATGTATGCCAAAGAATGATACTGAAACATTATCTATTTACAGCTCCATTTTAATCCAAGTAATATCTCCCAGATAGAAGTTCTTTTGGCAAATAATTACTGAGAAAAACAGAAATGATGACTAGACTTCTTGACAATCTCCAATTAGACAACTTTTGTTTTCCTATTAATGTAGTGTACATTAAATTCATTAATTGTCAGGACTTGCATCCAATCTAAATGAACTCTTTCGATCATAATATCAGTAGTTCACACATATATTACTAAAAATATATATTACTTGACAATCTCCATGCTATGAGATAGTACCTTGCATCGAGATTCAACAACACAAATAAAAACAGTATGTGAGCGGGAACTCTCAGAATTTATACTGGTTGCACCTATTCTCCTGTTTGATAATCCCTGCATAATGAAGGGTATATGATAGCTTTAGAAATATGTAAGTTGAATTTTAAAACTTAAATGAGTCAATCAATCAACTTTCTGCCAATCAGTAAAGAACTTGAGTGCATTCTGTTGAGCAACTCAAGTATCTGAGCATAAAAAATGACAAGTTGCAGAACAGGGGGCTAAAACTAGTTTCATTGAGGCTAATCATATGTATATTGCACCTCAAGAGGATGCTAAGAGATAGGTCACAAGAGAGAGAGAACATTTGTATTAATAGTAATTCAATGCCTGCGAGAGAGTAAGCATGCTGAATCACACCTTTATTAAAAGCTGAGTTACATCCTTCATTGTAGACACATGCTCCTCTGTAAGATTTTCAACATAAACACCAGATTTGACGTCTTCTCTAATCTGGATAAAGAACAAAGCATCAGTTCCAGCAGCATAAAGCAGTGAAACATGAGAAAATAAACAAAACCTATGGTGATTTTGATTTTACCTGTAGGTTTCTCTGATTCGGATCTAACAGATCCGTGATTTGCTCATTGTATATCTGTAAAAGCAAATTTTGTGTCAACAGGACTAAAAGACAAGGTAAGGTCAGGAACATGGAAAGAAATAATTTGAGCCAATCAACCTCAAGAAAAGAGCAGTGGCACTGATAGTTGAGCTGTTTGTCAGAATGCCTAGTTTGCTCCTGTGCCGGAAATACAACAGTAAATATCATGTGCAAACAATCTTCAAATAATTCAATAAGCAATTGGAATTGAAGCTTACATCATTTAAACGTGCAAAGAGTCGTTGAAAAACACGGGGTGCTAATCCTTGCTGATCATTTTCTCCCGACAAAGAATTGGCAGGACCCCACATTGTATAAGTCTTCCCACTCCCCGTCTAAGAAGTTTGAAAACATAACATCATCAAATTCAACAGCACTAAAGCAACAGCGGAACAAAATTAAAAGGAAAAAATTAACAGGAAGAAACCTGTCCATAAGCAAAAACTGAACTGTTGAAACCTGCCAAGCAATTCTCCACCAGAGGCACCCCAACATGCTCGAAAATATCCAGCTGGAAAATGGGATCAGAAAGCACATCAAACACTGAAAATCAAGTAATTTCAAATGACATAAAGAGATTCAGTGTCAGCAGAACTAGAAATAGAAACCATACCTGAGTAGCCGCCGTGTCAGCAACGGAATCAAAGGTAAAAATGTGGCCATTAATCGATAAGGAATCGTCGGAAATCTTCTGAACTATGGGATCCCCTTCGTCATTGTCTTCACACAGAGGCCTCATCCTCACAATAACCTAGAAAGCACGCAAACAATCAGAAAAGCGACGAAGATCAACAATATTTCTTTATGAAAGCCTAAATGGTGATACCTTGACACCGGAATCGGAAGTTGCGGGGAGTGAATTGTCGGTTACGGCATCGTTGCTGAGCTTGCGCTTGAGAGGATTGGAAGAGGGAGGTCTCGGTGGCAAGGGGCTCTTCAATTTGGCAGGGGAAGGGGAAGGAACGATCAGATTGAGATCTGAGGGAGGATCGTTCTCCTTCGTAGATTTGTGCTTCCGAGAGGGTCTGGATTTGGCAGAGCTTGGGCTTGACGAAGAAGGAAGCTCTGTGTCCCTCAGAATAGGGTTTCTTGGGAGCATGAAGTGCTTCATCTTGCAGAGAGAGAAAGAGAGAGAGAGAGAGAGAGGGAGAGGGACGAAGACAAGAGAAATGAAGGGGAAGAGGTAAGAAGAGAGAGAGAGAGAGGGGAAATAGCCGTTAGGGATTTGAAATGATTAGAGAGGGCTTTGTGTTCTTGTTTTTCTTGAGTTGACAGAGAAAGAAAGAAAGAAGAGAGAGCGAAAATTAACTTTTTGAATTTGTGTGGGATCTGGAGCGCCTCATCGGTTCGGACAACCCAAAGTCCAAAATAACAGGATCCGACTCCGACCAAAATAATAATTTTTGTTATTATTATTTTGCAAATTCATGTGGGTTTTATATGTACGATCATTATTCACTTACTATTTAGTTTCATAATGATTGTAGGCACTTCAATTAAAACAAATATTAAAACTAATATTTATAAAATTTTCCTTTCCCTTGTAATCTCTTTATTAATCTTCTAATTGTCATGTTCTTAATTATCTCTTAATGCAAAATATCAAATGGAGAAATTAAATGCATGTTCAATCCTGTTTATTTTGAAAAAAATATATTTTAAATATATTTATAAATCTTTACTTACCTGAAATCTATTAAGACAACATACGTAAAGTTTAAAAATAAAAATAAAAACATTAACCCTTTTCTTTCAAAAAATTTTAATCTTTTTGTGGAAGATTATTTTAGGTCAAATTTTAACCTAGACAAGCCACTTTTTTTAGATTGGATTAGAGTAAATAAGATCTATCATTGTTCTCGGAAGAATAATCAAATCAAATTATGATTATAACAAATAGTTGACATAATCTATCCCTCATAAATAAAACAGTATTAAAAATAATGAATACTTTCTTATATTTGAAACTAAAAATTAATTTAAGATAAGTAACAAATCTCAAAAATATTTAATATAAGAAAGACTAAGCAATAAGTTCTATATTTCTCTAATTAAATTAGACTTCATAGATATAATATAAGTACCATATGTGAATTTTTTATGACATCTTCAATTCTGTCGAACTACTGGGATTTTTGTTCTAATAACCTCAAATATGCATGAGAACGATTGATTTTAACAACTATTTCACAAAATATGTCGGAGGCCATAAACTATAAATGATACGATGTTTCCAAAAAACAAGTGAACCCATAAAAAATTCCAGCCACTTCCACAGGGAAACCATACTAAGAAGACATTTAGAGCAAAACTTGAGCATATAGTTATTCATTACTTTCTTTGGTACATATATATATATTAGAGCATAATTAAAAGCTCACTTGCAATTACAATACCGCCAAAACCTTAATGGTTATTATTGATTAGCTCCAACTAAACCCTTCTTAACTTGAAGCTGCTGCTGAAGGTTCAAACTGGAGAAGCTGCTTGGAATGAAGCCATGGCTTCACTACAACCACAGAAGAGAACATTATTTGAACCCCATTTTGAGTGGCAACGATCTTCATATAGTACTTCATCCCTGACACCACTTGTTGCTGCGCTTCCACCACCTCTGCGAACTTCAACAATCCACCGTCGTTGTTCTCCCACTGTTCCAAACCACGGTTGTACTCCTCCACAGCGAATCTCCCAAGCTCCTGCACCTCCTTGTTTGTTCTCACGTCAACAATCTCTGTCTTCCCTCCAACCATTCTCGCACACCATGCTGAAGAGAGGACAGAGAGCAAGCTCACCAGAATCGTCAAAGTCACACCCATTATCACAGTCAAATCACAATGCCAGTTATTAAGCTTTGTTTGAAGTAGAAATAGTAGTAACGAGGAACGAAGATGAAAAGTCTCAAACGAGATATATATAGTGCATGCCGACGAAGTTGAGGAGGAAAATTAAGGCTCATTTAAGCCTTATTTAATTAGTTTATACTATAGATTTAATATTTTATCAAGATAAGTTTTAAGTCATTTATTTTATTAAAAGACGAAAAACACTTCTTAAAATATATAAAAGTATGATTTTTTTTTATTAATGCATTTTTTTAGATAGGTCTAAATATATCACTGAGTGAGTAATTACTTAGCTCTAACAATATTGCTTCTTTAATTAGAAGATAATGCAGTGAAGAGAAAATAGAGTATAATATACTCTAAGATATGTTTGGTTTGGACACGTAAAGGGAAACTGCGTGCAGCGTATTTGATGAGTGATGAGGTATTGGAGTTATCCATATAATGCAAATGAATCATGGAGTTTGCTATCGCATTGGGTTGTGGTGCCAAACATGGGGTATAGAGCTAGTGGCAGGGGCAAAATATGCTTAATTACTGCTACATATGGCTTATTTGGTGCCGTGGTCCATGCATGAACCATTATGTGTAATCGCTATTTTGGTGTTTTTGTGAGAGGCTGACACATAAGCTACAACCATTTTTCTGAGACTGCCACGTTTGGAGTGTTCATGCATGCATGAGTGTCTATGCTTCAACTTGTACTGCTAGCTACCCCTGCCTCTTCAGTCCATTGGAATAAACTGCTCAGAATTTTCATTTTCATGGTGTGAATGTGTGATGGCATCAAATGAAACTTACTAACACTTTGTGCCTATTAATTGACCAAGGGATCTTGTGTTTAGAAGCCAAAACTGTGGGTTTTTGTGAATTGGGAGTTGGGACGTAAGTTTCTTTAAATAAACATTTTTATTTTATTTTATTATTTAAATATCAAACAATTGTTACTTTATAAACACTTTTTAGCTTGTATTTATTATATATATTTATATGAATAAAAAACATTTTCTTAAATGAAAGAAAACAACGTTTGATATTGCATACGTTAGAGAGTTATGTGTTTCTCCAAGCTTGAATTCTGTTGGAGATATATTCACGTTAAAGTGAATCACTCATCAACCACCACCGCTAGAATTGTGACTGGGGAATTTTTATACGAATTTTTTTTTACAAATTACTTTTGTAAGAAATTATATTTTTTATTAATTAATATTTTAAAAAATAATTTAAAATTATAAAAACAATTATTGATTAAATAATTACTTTTTAATGTAAAAAATATATTAAAAAAGTTTAAAAAAAGGCAAAAAGATAAATTTGTAATGAACAATTTTACTAAAGTTAAAATTGTTCAGATGATTAAAATCATCTAGATATTTCAAAAGAGAATTAAGAAGTCTGCCTAAGGATGGACAATGGACAGTACAATTTCAAAAATTAAGTAACACTACATAACCAACAATCGATAGAAATTATCAACATCTTCATCATTTTTAACTTTTTTAATCGTATATAAAATCTCTTCATATATAAGATGTTTTTTTATGGTTTTCATTACACAAATGATGGACAACAGAACTACTGATTTTCTCACAAAGATTTATGTTAACTCCCGTGTCCTAGCAAGCCAATTATAAGCATGACTTGTTAAAAAAATGATTAGTTTATCATAAATTCAAAAATTCTCAAGAATTTTTTTAAAATAAATAAGCTTAAAACTATATTAAATTAGTTTTAATATTTTAAATTAGTATCTTATTTTACATCTAAAATAATTCTTAATTTTATATTGATAGATAATAAAATTAATAATTTAATTAAAAAAATTAATATCAGAATCACAACAGTTAATCTAAATAAGATGTAAAAATTCTAAAATTTATGGTTTAAGGATTAATACAGAAAGATTATATTTTTAATTCTTCTAGGATAGATAAAGAAGATGGACCTATGGTGTAATACTTCTCTTTTTGTCCAAATATAATGTGATACTATGAGGCCTGGGTGGAATAGCCTAATATATTATTGGGCTGGCCTGATTTCTGTCTACAAGCGTCAAGCCCACATGTTCATAATTTTACCATTGTACCCTGTTCTCTCTGCTACAGATCAAAGAAGAAAGCCTAGGAGGATGGGTCAAGGTACCTTATCGTTGCTACTAAATTCTACATTTGTACCTTCAAATCAAATCCAATTTCCAATCTTTTTACTGTCTGGGAAAATGGGTTTTCTACAATCTTCACCCACTCCTCTGTTTCTCCTTCAATCAATCTTTATTGGATTCAGCCGTTTCTCTTAATAATTTGATTGATGGAAGAATAGAGCCCATTGCATATGGTTTCAATTCTCAAATTTCGCAGCATCTTCTTCATCACACTGGAATCCACTAGCGGGCTAACTTATGGTGCCTCGAGACATTGTCATTTTGCATCAGAAGATTGGGGTAAAAACCCCAAATTGATACCAAACGAGAAGCCAAATAGGGTGGGGCTTTTCTGGGACTTGGACAATAAACCACCCAACTCAATCCCACCCTATGAAGTTGCCAATAAGCTTAGAGTAGCTGCATCTTCCTTTGGGGTTGTTAGGTATACGGTGGCTTATGCAAATAGCCACACTTTTAGCCATGTTCCTCAAGTTGTTAGAGAGAGGAGAAAAGAGAGGCAACTGTTGAATCGTTTAGAGAATAAGGGTGTTATCAAGCCAAATGAACCTTATCTTTGTCGTGTTTGTGGGAGGAAATTTTATACTAATGAAAAGCTTGTTAACCATTTCAAGCAACTGCATGAGCGTGAGCATGTGAAAAGGATGAACCGAATAGAGTCAGCTAGGGGGAGCAGGAGGGTGAAGTTGGTGGCTAAGTATTCTATGAAAATGGAGAAGTATAAGAAGGCTGCAAGTGCTGTTCTGACTCCCAAAGTTGGTTATGGTTTGGCAGATGAGCTAAAACGGGCAGGGTTTTGGGTTCAAACTGTGTTGGATAAGCCACAAGCTGCAGATCTTGCATTGAAAAGTCACATGGTGGATATCATGGATCATAGGAGGGTTGAGTGTGTGGTACTTGTATCTGATGATTCTGATTTTGTTGATGTGATAAAGGAAGCAAGGCTAAGATGTTTGAAGACTGTCGTCATTGGTGATACTGATGATGGTGTCTTGAAAAGGACTGCTGATGCTGCCTTTTCTTGGGAGGAAATTCTGATGGGGAAGGCTAAAAAGGAGGCTGTTTCAGTTGTGAAAAACTGGAAGGATCGTGATATCTTGAAAAGGTTAGAGTGGAGTTACAATCCAGATGTTGATAAGAAGAAATTGAATCTGGAAGATACCATTGCCGAATCATTTGAAGATGGTAATATGGATGATATCTGTGGTGAAGCTGATGATGCCCATAAGGACGACAAAGGTTCTTGGTGGGAATTAGATTCTGATGATGATGTTCCAAATGGACAGTCAAGCAAATTATCCATCTTATCTGTGAATAGGAGAAGCTAACTTGACCTTTGACTTGGAAAACAGTTTTGTGTGCAGAAATAGTATGTTTGGTCATCAAATTTGTGAGGTAACATTGTAACTTAGAAGTTATGGATGGTTGTGGTGACTCAGAAAATGAAGCAGTAACTGATGTATGATCTCTTTTGGTTCCCAGTCTTGACTTTGTCGCTTGCTTTATTTTGTTTTGCTTAATCATGTGCTGGGATATCCCATTCAACAACAGCTATTTAATCTTAAAATCAGGAATGTAGCTGTATGAGTAGTATTGAAATATTGTGGCATGGTGCCTCCATTTGATCATTTTGTTCCATACACTGTAATAGAAATAGACATCCTCATTTTTAGAATGTCAGAATTTGAGATGCATGGTTTTCATTGGTGTGTCATCAATGATCATTGGCTAAGTTGTAATTGATTTCTGTGTAGGTAATTTGCCATCATGGCCAATAAGGGAAAAATGGTTTGGAACAACCAAGTGATTTTGTCACGAACTTTAGTATTCTGATGGCAAAATTAAATGATTTCATAATTAGTGACAACTTACTGCAGTTTTTTATGGTTTTAGTTTGTTTACTTAAGCTAATATGCTTTCGTAAAACTTTGCATCCTTTAGTATTCTCTCACTTCTTCCTTCAAAATATTTTTATCCGATCTTCACGTTTGATAACAGGGATCAATTTACGGGTACCATTTGGCTGGCCCAATTTCAAAGCCTTTTTAAGTTACCATCTCATCACAAATGTAGATCCAAATCATCTAGTTTGAATTTAGTAAATATTCACATTTATAAGGAAAAAAAACTTAATTCATTAATATTGATAAAAAATTAATTATATATTATAAATGTATGTTTTATTTTGAAAATATTTTATAATATTGAATGCTCAAATTAGTGTATTATATATTAAATAAATGAATATACTTCTATGAATAAAGGGTGAGTATTTCATTAACACAAGTTTTACAATAAATAAAAGTATAAAAAATTAATAATTAATGCATAAAAAATTATATTTAAAACTAACAAATATTAATATTAATTTTTATAAATAAAATTTGAAGTAGCATGATCACAAGTACAATGTACCCATTCTTTGTGTTCAATTATGCTTTGCGTAGCAGTTACTAGCCCCTCTATGAAAGTTAAATAAAATTAAAACAACCAACTGTTGAATGTACCTTCGTCGATTCAATGGCTGGCCCCTCATTTCATTGCCTTGACTTGAGAAAACAGAACCTACCATTTTTTCATTTAATATATTTTAGGGTATTTAAGTCCTTAAAACATAGATTCATTTTATTTAGTTTTGGACCCTAAAATTTTGTATTTGATTTAGTATTCGTAAATTTTTTTAAATATTTTCCATATAACTGTTAAATAGTGTCTAACATTAATATTTGTATGCCTCTTAACGTTTCTCATATTGTTAAGGTAATAATAAAATCCCGTAAGTATTTAATACTTTTATTAAAAGTTTTATGCTTTTACTCGAGAGAATGATAAGTATTTTTATCAAATTTCAATTGAACAAGGAAATAATGTTGGTACCAGAAATTGAAAAAAAATCCTTGGAAAGTGCATTTATGTTCTTTACATAATCGTGTAAATAAATTATAAACAAGAGAAAAATAAAATTAATAATTTATTATATTTTGTTGCAAGCTTTCTTTTTTACAAATTAAAACAAATAATTAGTAAATCATGTACACTTAAAATAATTTTTGGAGTCTTTATTTTGTTAAATTAAAAAATTATTATAGAATAATTTTATAACCAAATTTTTTAGAAGTGATTAACTTTATTTATTATGTGCACGTATGTTACTTTGTTGGCAAAGTTAATTCGGTAATTAATAACTTAGCTTATTTGATATTTCTGTTTAAATATTTCTTTCTTATTCTAGATACAATTTTTGAACTTTAGTTTTAAATACTTTTCAAATTTTGTAGTTTGTTTTTAGTATTTTAATTTATTAATTTTTAAATTTTATATTTTGAAAATAGGCTTTTAATTTTTATTTTATTTTATATTTAATTATTAGAACAAAGTTAAATAAGTAAACTAAATTTTTTTAATCCTAGTAATCTTATCCAACTTGATGATTAACATAAAATAAAAATGCTAGAGAATTAAAATAAAAAATGTTAAAAGAATTAAATTGAAATATTAATTTTAACTTAAAGGTAAAAGAAATATATGTTTGATGTTAAAGTTAAGAGAATAAAATAATTGAACAGCAATGAAATAACGAATGCATAGCACTACAACACAACAAACAAAGCCCTAATGCGTTGTGTTTGAGTTTGGAGTATAGAAAAAGCGTTTGTTGAGAAGAAAAACTTTGAATTGGTGAGGTAGCGGTGGAGTGAATCATTTCCCTCGGAATTCAATTACAAGTGTGAGAGAGAGAGAGACTTATCTGATCGAAAGGGGATGTCGGAGATGGCGAGCACCGATCCCGAGGGAGTTGACGGAGTCCGCATGACGTGGAACGTGTGGCCTCGCAGCAAAGTGGAAGCCAGCAAGTGCGTGATCCCACTCGCCGCCACCCTCGCCGTGATCCGTCCTCACCCGGACATCCCACGCCTTCCCTACGCGCCTCTCCGATGCAAAACATGCTCCTCCGCACTCAACCCTTTCTCGCGCGTCGACTTCAACGCCAAGATCTGGATCTGTCCTTTCTGCTACCAACGCAACCATTTTCCCCCTCACTACAACGCCATCTCCGAAACCAATCTTCCCGGCGAACTCTACCCGCAATACACCACCGTCGAATACAATCTCCCTCTCTCCAATTCTCTTCATCCTTCGCCGGTTTTTCTCTTCCTTCTCGATACTTCTCTCATCGAGGAAGAGATCCAGTTTCTCAAATCTGCGCTTCGTCAGGCTATTGGTCTTTTGCCTGATAACGCTCTCGTTGGTTTCGTTTCCTATGGTACGCAGGTTCAGGTTCATGAATTGGGGTTCTCCGATATGTCTAAGGTTTATGTCTTCCGTGGTTCTAAGGAAATTCCCAAGGATCAGGTTTTGGACCAGCTTGGTCTTGCTACCTCTGGGAGGAGACCTCATAAGGGTGCTCCTGGTGGTGTTGGTGGTGGATTTCCCTATTCTGGCATCACGCGCTTCTTGTTGCCTGCTTCTGATTGTGAATACACCCTCAACGCGGTACCCATTGTGTAATCCATTGTTTATTACTGACAATGCCAAAAAACTATCAATGCTTGATGTGTTGACTCGTTAATTGTGGTGCCTTTTTCCAGCTGTTAGATGAATTGCAAACCGATCAATGGCCAGTTCCACCTGGTCGCCGCCCTGCTCGCTGCACCGGAGTTGCCTTGAGTGTTGCTGCGGGGTTGCTGAGTGCTTGTAATCCTGGGACTGGCGCTAGGATCATTGCTTTGGTTGGGGGCCCATGCACGGAAGGACCCGGCGCGGTAAATCGTCTTTCTGTATAATTTGATGCTGTTTTCTTCAATTGAATAATGCAAGTCACGAGATTAGTTCGGGTTAGGAAATAGGAATGGGATGTTTGTCATCCATCAAACTTTTTCGTTAGGAATGTGGCCATTGGAATGCTCAGTTGTTTAGGAATGTGTTGGGAGATTTTGACTCTACACTTGAAATCAGAGTATTGTGTGTGAAGTTTAAATATTTGTGTTTCGTTGCTTGTGTACGACTGTACAAGTGGAGTCGGTAGTGACAACATAAATTGCATCAACAACCCTAGAAATGGGGGTGTTCAGAGATTTTGAGCAGCTTCTGTTGGTAATTTTAAAAGAGATTGGCATCCTCTCATTATTACTTATTAGGATTAGGATATTCATAAGATTCTATTACTTCTGTGTCATTGACATTTTGGAGAGAGAATAAAATAAGGGCAGCTGTCATCTGTACGTGATTATGTCTTAATTTAGAATTTGAGGTACAAAAGATTGTAGTGGAAGGTAGCTGTAGTCAATGCTGTGCTTGTTTTTGTATATGTAGTCTGTTTCTGATGCCAAAGATTTTGATTTCAAATTTCGTTGCAGATTGTGTCAAAAGATCTATCTGACCCTGTGCGTTCTCATAAAGATCTTGATAAAGATGCAGCACCATACTTCAAGAAAGCAGTCAAATTTTATGAGGGTCTTGCAAAACAGCTGGTTAGCCAGGGTCACGTTTTAGATATTTTTGCATCAGCACTTGATCAGGTTTGTGCCAGCATACTGATTTTCTCATGCGTTAATAATTCTTTCACTTGATTGTTGAATTAAGAATGCATGTATCAATCATAGTGCTGATTGGTTTCAGAAAGTGAGACTTTGAAGCACCTAATGTGAATTCTGATCATCAAGTGTAAAATTACCATGCAGCTCAATTTTTCTGAATTCCACATTGGAGGGCATCTAACCTTGCATTTCTGCCATGATATTTGACAGTTCATATTCATACTTTTTAAGCTTTTTTTTTTTTTTTTTTTTTTTTTAAAGTGTGGCTTGGATATCTTTGAAAAGCACCAAATTTTTAATCTTTTTAAAAATAGCTTATCCAAATATTGGAAAATTTTAAGAGTTTTTTTTCCCCATTAAATAGAGTTTTTCCCTCCTAAAAATAAGCCCAAACAAACAGGCCCTTAACAATACTAGCAGAGGATTTAATGGATCATTTCTTATGTTTTTTGTCCTAATTTAATTTTGCAAAATGCCATATATTTTACCTTACCATAACTAGAAGCATGTTATCCATTAATCACCTTCCCTGAAGAGAAAATTTTTCTTGCTTATTCGAGTTGATCTGCTGAATTGCATTTGTTTCCCTAAAACTGGCAACATTTGGCTACAAGACTTGTCAGCTATATTTCAATGTGGTTTATAAATGTGTAACTTATGTTACGTCTATCTGGGTGATAATGTTATGGCATTATGATTGTCAACTATTTTATCTGCTTGAGAAAGAGGCCAGTGGTATTTCAAATTTCAATCTTGAATTTTTTATGATTGAGTTTATTGCGGGCATGCAAGAAAGTTTTTGTTTATTTTATGCAGTGGACATGCATGGAAGTAGAGTTGTGAAAGTTGTCTGAACTTTGCATTTAAAATCAATTAGGATCTATGCTCACTGTTTGTCTTGTGCTGATTCATGGGTGCTTTATGCAAAAAGGTTGGAGTTGCAGAAATGAAAGTTGTGGTTGAAAGAACTGGTGGCCTTGTTGTCCTGTCTGAAAGTTTTGGCCATTCAGTCTTCAAGGACTCTTTTAAGCGTGTTTTTGAGGATGGGGAGCAATCTCTAGGTCTTTGTTTCAAGTGAGAATTCTCTCAACTTCAAATGTTTGACTGATATTTTCTTTTTATGAATACATTTTCAATTCTCTCTTCCTTTATCTCTTATTCTCTCTCTAGACATCTTTTCCTTATCTGTTATCAGATGTGCTCACTGCCAACTTTATTTATGTTTCAGTGGAACCCTGGAGATAAATTGCTCAAAGGAAATCAAAATTCAGGGAATAGTTGGACCTTGCACATCATTGGAAAAGGTTGGATTTTTGTTTGTCTGAAACGCTTAATTTCATGTTGCTTATTGACACTGGAATTGGAGTTTATGTTGGGTGAACTGTACTAAGACTGAATCAATACGGGATATTTCTGGATTTTGATGGTTACAATCACATACTGCAGAAAGGCCCTTCTGTTGCTGATACTGTTATAGGTGAGGGAAACACTACAGCATGGAAGATGTGTGGCCTTGACAAGAGTACATGCTTGACTGTAATGTTTGATCTTTCATCAAGCGATCGTTCAAACACCCCAGGTGCTGTCAACCCACAATTGTACCTACAGTTCCGTACAAGGTTATTTCTGGAAAATTTCACTTAATATGATCTTATATATATATATATATATATATATATATCTTTTGTACCTCTTTCCCCTTCTGCACGGGGCATTGAATAGGGTCATGTTTCCTTATTGCAGTTACCAGGGCCCAGATGGTCAATCAGTGCTTCGGGTTACAACAGTAACTAGAAGATGGGTAGATAGTTCTGTGAGCTCTGAGGTAGTTGCAGCATTTTTTTTTTATTCATGGTTGTGGATGCCTGTTTATTTATTGTCAAAGAAATAGTTGGAACTCCTACCATTATCATGTTAAGAAGCTTGAATGTTTTTCCTTTTTACTCTTTTTCTTGCCTAGTCTGATTATCAAGTTATGTAAGGTACTGGTATCTATTTGAATGCATTTACATTTATGCATGTTATTGTGTATTTCTATGAAATAAACTGAAAGACTAATAGTTTAGTCCCTACATTTACACTGATAAATTACAGGATTTTTAGTTAGTTATATTATTTGCTCTTCAGGAATTGATTCAAGGATTTGACCAAGAAACTGCTGCTGTGGTAATGGCTAGATATGCTTCTCTGAAAATGGAGACTGAGGTATGCCACAAGTTGTGTTACTCAAAGTATTTCTCTTTGCTATTCCTAAAATAAATTTTATCACCCTTGGATTTATTTACTCAAGCTGTTGAAAATTATATCTTCATTCAAAAATGTGATTGTTTCAAGAAAACATGAAACTGGGAGAACAGCTTGACATTGTTGGTTGTGATGATATTTACTCGTTTAATTGTTTGCATATAAGTATATAACCCGCTATAAATAACATTTTTTTAATCAAACATCAAATCCTGGTATCTGACATATATTACCTGTGGCAACATTTCTTTTAAGCAAAATTTTTATAAACAAATTCCTTGCTGAGCATCAATTCTTGTTTGATCAGGAAACATTTGATGCCACGCGTTGGTTGGATCGGTTCCTCATTCGCCTTTGTTCTAAGTTTGGTGACTACCGCAAGGATGATCCATCATCTTTTACATTAAACCCATCATTTTCACTTTTCCCTCAGTTTATGTTCAATCTGAGACGCTCACAGTTTGTACAGGTACCCTTTATATTAATTTTCTTCCTGTCCAGCATTTCAAACAATATTTAACTTTGTGGCATGTGAGTTGTGACATGTATTGCATTTGGCAGGTTTTTAACAACAGTCCAGACGAGACTGCATACTTCCGCATGTTGTTAAACAGGGAAAATATTAGTAATGCTGCTGTCATGATTCAGCCATCACTGATATCTTATTCATTTAATTCACTTCCTGCACCAGCATTGTTAGATGTGGCTTCCATTGCTGCAGACCGGATTTTGTTGTTAGATGCATATTTTAGTGTGGTTATTTTTCACGGGATGACAATAGCTCAGTGGCGCAACTTGGGATACCAGAACCAACCTGAACACCAGGTTTGTGCTTTGTCATGCCCTGACAAAGAACTGTTGTTACCTGCAAATTTCTGCTCTCAAATTGATCTTAGATTTTAAATATAGTCTTCTAGTTCGGATCATTAATTACTTTCTATTGTTGTTTTGTGGAAGTTAATCAAAACCATTTTTATCATTATTTCTTTTCTCACTCTGCTAATAACTAATATATGGCACAGGCATTTGCACAACTATTACGAGCACCACATGACGATGCCCAAATGATAATTAGAGAACGATTCCCTGTTCCTAGATTGGTAGTGTGTGACCAACATGGTTCCCAGGTCAGTATTGTTTACCAAGACAAGTTGGTTATTTGACTTATTAACTTTTGCAGTTTCTTTCCTGAAATTTATTCATATCATGAGTGATACTCACGTGGAGTATTTCCTGCCCCTCAACTACATACGAGCAGTCATATTTGTTTCCTTTTGTTGATCCCATAAGTTTAGATTTATCTTGCTGTGAAACTTACAGAGGTTTCATTGATGTTTAACAGGCTAGATTTTTATTAGCAAAACTGAATCCCTCAGCAACATATAATAATGCGCATGAGATGGCTGCTGGTTCAGATGTAATCTTTACTGATGATGTGAGCCTTCAAGTTTTCTTTGAGCATCTGCAAAGGCTGGCTGTCCAATCTTGAGGGCAGATAATAGTAAAGATTGACAGTTTCTGGGTTCTGAACTTTGGTATGGGGAATTCACCAATGATATGTGTCCTGCATTATGCTGTTGCACTCGGTAGTTTTCCTTTCTTTCCTTTATTCTTAACAAAGAGAAGGTTGGAGCCTGCGTGAATTGAAGAATAAGGAAGGAAGACCTGAAACATGATTCTTTAGGGTTCTGGTCGAATTTTGTGTATTGGAGAAAATAAAGGGTCAAAAGTATGTTGAGTTTGGGTATTTGCGGAAAGAAAGAATAGAAAACCGAGTTCTCCCTCTGCCACAGCAGACAGCATTGCAATTGAGGGGATATTTTTGACTCATTTTTTCCCATTTGTTTTCGCCCAGATTTTAATTTTTGGGTTCCTCATATGGATTAATTTATATAGTTGTTTTAGTTTTAAATGCTCCCAGGTTGCAAAGTAACGGATGTCATTTTGTCATGTTGGAGTTTATATCAGTCATTCTCTTTTTATACTGTTTTGTATTGTATATTGTGAAGGAAGCATATAGGACAGCTTTGGTGAAATGAATACTTTCGGATTCCTGTTTTCGTTCCAACTTCCGAGCCTTTGTGAAAAGTGAAAAAAAGAGTTGTTTATTTAGAAGAAAATGTTAACTAGTACTGAGTACTGGATAAAGCATTAAAAATGAAATTTTTATTATAAAATACAAGATATTCCCTCGTCATTGTCAACGTATTTAAATATATTTTTTTAATAAAAATTAATCATCTTTTAATTAGCACTCAAGACACATAATAAACTTACTGAATGCAGGTGCACTAACCTCTGTGAGGACGTTCCTGGCTAGCCATTCCTCAGTCTATTTTCTTTTCGTCACATTTTTATATTCAATTAGTCTCCCAGAAGTAAAATTGCCAATTGGTTGCGAGAATAAGGGGGAACTCTTATTTGTTCTTTTATTCAAAACGTAATTTATTTTTGAAAAAGTATCTTTAGATCAAATTGCATATGCTAAGATAATGTATACTTGTGATGGTCTAGTTTCTCCTTTTTAAGGAAAAAATAAGTTTAAATAAATTGAATTAAACACTATTTTAGTTTTATTAGCTTTACTTTTTTACATTTAGTGTTTTAATATTTTATCATTTTTAAATGTTTCTCAACTCATTCTTAAAATCATTAAAATCGCATTATTATTTAAGCAGATGAAGGAGTCTGCAACCATTATTGTGAACATTTCTACTAAATTATGGTCTTAGTTAATAATAATGAAAATATAAAGTTATAAACACAGTTTTTATTGAAATAAAATTAAAAAAGAAAAATAAGAAAAAAGCCAAGAGCAGAAATAAAGAATATGTTTGATGGGATCAGAAGAAAGAAAACAAAAAATAAACAAAAGAAATAAGAGAATGAATCTGAGTTTGTTCTATAATATTGGTTTATCGTTTCCGTTGTGCGCATACATACAATTTAACTAGACTGATATCGTGGCACAGCGATACCGATAATAGTGTAACAAGCTTAACATAGTAAAGATGCACCCTCAGGTCCACACGGATGAAGAGTATCTTTGTAGGGAGTAAAGCATACTATAGAAGAACCACATCTATGTTCACATATTTTTTCCAACACCATGTAATTTTCTTCGGTCAAACCATAACTATAGAGTCCTCTTTCAGTCGAAAAAATCAAAAGATCACCATTAACAACCGCAAAACCGGTTACTACAGGATCTTTCTCCCTCAAACCCATCCCTTTTATTCTTATCTTGAGAATTCTCTTCCACCTACTTGATTCATAATCAGTCAAAGCCCATATAGTAAAAACAGATTTTCTCAGTCTTACAAAACAAATGGAGGATTCAGCTGAACTTGATACCTTACCCCATTTGAAAATGCCCACTTCAGAAAAAAAGAAGTCAATACGACTCTTTTTGGCACCTCTTGGCAACTTTAGCGTTGTTGTGGTGTCATTCTCAAGGTTGCAGGACACAATACAGGGAGCATATAGATGGCTATTTCTTTGCCTGACAGGAAATTGATTTGACATTAAGTGGATGATTCCATTGTCATACACTAGCATGTTAAATTTTATCTCCCTTCCACCAGTAAAAAACCTTCTTTCCATCTTCTTCCACGACCCTTCATTAGGCTTGTAATACTCACAGGTATAATACAAGGATGACGGAGGATAAGGTCTTTGAAAATTCAATACCATGTAGTCATCTGGGCCATGATAGTATGCTAATAACATGATTACATCGTCAGCATAAGGGTACCTTTTAATTTGCTTGGGGTAAGGAATAGGTAACCAAGACTTCGTTGCTGGGTTACAGATGAAGATTTGAACCGGTAACATGGTGCTGCTTGTGAAACAAAGTATCAAGCCATTTTTGGAATCTAAGATTCTTGTTTCTGAATTTGACAAGAATCTCAGAACCTCGTTAGGCACACCACAGGATGGTTACTTTCCAGGTAATGGGTACAAGCTAACATCCTTATTGGACTCGTCCAGCTGAAGGAAGAAGCACGTATCATTCTTTTCCATCGAGTTTCGAGTGTGTTGCATCACAAAATAGGGTTCCTCTGGAAGATTGGAGAATGACTGGGCAACAGATTTGAACCTATATATCGCTTTTACTGGTAAATAAAAAAAGATATCAAATATTTCGTTTAGAGACATGGCTATAACTATGAGCTAGTGTCGAAAAAGAGAGGATATATAAGTTTTGTACAGCAAGAAATAATGTGGAAACAAAGGACGAAGCAAACAATAAGGTTGGAAGAGTTTTAAAAGTGAAACTTGTGTATCACCCTAACTAGGTTTTATAGTGGATCTTAATAATGCATGTTGGAGTTTTAAATTCAAATAGTAATGGAAATAACAAAAAATAACCCGATTATGTTGATAAGATAAATCTTCACCTTAAAGATATATCACAAATATAAGAAAATCTTTTCAATATCTTAAAATATTTTCTAATAAATTTGAAATAAGTTTCAAATAAAATCTTGCAATTTTTTTCTTTTTTAAGTTTACAGTTATTAAAGCACTTTCTTTAACGAGATTATAGCACTTTGTGCATCCCAAGACTAGTAATCAACGAACACAGTCAATTACAGGTCACTCTAGCTTGGGGGCAAAGAAATGTGTAATTTTCACCCGTGTAAATAATAAACTTGGAATACAAGAAATCTTAAATACATTATAAATTCATCCCCTTTCAAATGGAGCTAGAGAGGCAGAATATATTTTAATTCTTACGATCTCTCCTTATATAATATACATCAATGATTTTTCTAACCTATGAAATATTATGTATAATAAAAAGTTATATATAGTAAATTTGTATTAAAAATATAATATTTAATATTATTAATACATTAAATTATATTAATTCTTATATTTTTAATAAAAATTTATCATATATAACTTTTTATCTTATACAATATTGTATGTATTAAATAAATTGATAAATAAATATTGATTCTAAAATAAGAATTATGAAATAATTTATTTCTTGTCATGGTAATTATTTAAAATTTGAATTTTTTTAATTAATATTAGTAGTTTTAAATTCTAAACTCTAAACTTGAGGCGAATAGAACGAGCGTAACTACCAGCAGAATTAAAAATCAATTTGGCGCGAAAACAAAAAGCAGTTGCAGTCACTGCGAAAAGAGAATGTACGATTTGGAGAACGACGACGATGGCTTCTTCTCCGATTCACATTCATGCGGGGAAGGCCATCGATCTTCTCTGAACCTTCAAACAGACGAAGGTGGTTCGATATGTCTCGTTTGCTTCTCCAACCTTCTCTCCAACCCTCACTCTCCAACCATTCATGTCTCCTATGCTCTCTCTCAGCTCTCTCGATCCTTTTCTATCCCTTCTTTTCTTCACTCTATCCTCACTATCCACCCTCACTTCCTCGTTTCCCCTCTCGTCACTGCTCTCTCCTCTTTCCACGACCAATCTATCGCCGATCAACTCAACCATCTCATCCTCGTTCTCTCTGCTTCCGCCGATCCTTCTGTTCGTTGTGAATTCGTAGCTAGGGTTTCAGATCGCGTCTCTTCTGGTGTTCTCGGTTGGAGTTCCCCTCAGTTGCATATGGTGATTTTTATTTCTTCGTTTTATGATCTCTTCGATATGTTTTAGATTGGTAATAAACTGAACCTGAAATCTGCGGGAAATTTTACAATTGTACGAGTGAAATTAAAATGTTGCTATAAAGTGAATGGAAAATTTTATGGACATTTTTTTTTTTAATCTGATGCTTCTGAGTTTACAGCTTCACTGTCTAGGGGCTCTGCTGAATTATGAGAAGGTTGATGATCTCCATGCACACGTCAAAGATATGTGTAGGCTCATTTCCGTTCTTGTTACGGGCCTTCAATTGCCGAGGTATAGTAGTGTTGGATTTTCAAATTTATTGCGCACATTGTGAGTTCTGAACTTCATCGGTGCAGTGAGGAGATTCGTGGAGAGGTTCTTTTTGTCCTTTACAAACTATCTGTTCTTCGGAGTACTACTGCAGAGGGAGATGGAAGTGATATGCTGATTCCCTTTTGTCCAAAGCTCTTGTACCTGTTGCTAGATGTTTTCATGAAGACTCAAAATGATGATGTTCGCTTGAACTGTATTGGTCTGTTATCAATTTCTCAACATTTTTTGTTCCTTGAAAAGAGAACTTGAAAAATCGCTTTTGGTGTCTTGTTTGTTTTAACTTTTATGTTTGTGAAGCCTATTTTGGACATAGGAGATTGACAGTAGGGGGATATCTCCAAAAAAGGGTTGATATTTGTCTCATGGGTACTGGACTACTCATTGATATGAACAAAGATGGTGTAAACAATAGACTTTTTAGTACTATTAGGAGGCACAGGTGCGGTTACATGATGACAATATGAAGACAAAGAAACAGTGCCATTTCTGCATCACATCTGATGACCATTTTATGTCATGAATTTCAACGGGAAGGTTGATTTCCTGCTAGTTCCTGGCCATAGTTTACAAAATAGGCTTCAGTATTAGTAAGATGTCATAGTTTGCAATATAATTTTCATTCTTGTCCCCTTTTGACTGAGTTTCCATTCTTCTTGTTTAGCACTTTTGACTATGCTGGCTCGAAGACATATGCTTAGGGAAGAATGTGCATATGATACTAGTAACATGTCTTCCTATGGAGGAGTTAACAATAAAGAAACCGAAGATGGAACCAAGGGCATATCTCTGGTAAATCTGTTTGCTGAAGCCATCAAAGGTCCATTGCTTTCGTCTGACAATCAAGTTCAAATTGGAACTCTAGATTTACTCTTTCATTATTTATCTTCACTGGGAACCTCAGCCTATCAGATTCGAGTCTTGGTGGAAGAAAATATTGCGGATTATTTATTTGAAATATTAAGATTGTCAGGTGAGAACTTCGTATAGAAATTGACAAACATGGCTGTTTTTTGCCTAGATAAAAAAGATATTGATTTAGTTGTGCTGAATACTTTGCCTAATTTAATGCCTCATAAATTTCCACTGTATAAAACGAAAATATTTGCCCTCATTTGAACTCATTTGCTGATGGAATGAAATTAATAGTTGGTTATCTGGATCAAATTCGCTCTATTCTTAATCTAATTTACCAAGGTGGCTTGCTAATTATTCTATTAATGAACAGAATATAAGGATCCAGCAGTCAAGATGTGCCTTCAGGTGCTAGGTCTTTTATCAACTGCAGAGGAAACGTTTAAACTAAGGCTCGTTGTTGGAATTTCAACTCTGATTCCAGCATTACGTTATGTGGCTGAAGTTCCTTTTCACCCTGTCCAATGCGAGACACTGAAGCTCATTTTTGAATGCATTTCTGAGTGCCCTGGAGCTATATCAACTTCTCAACTGGAGGAACTAGTCCTTGTTTTGATAAGAATGCTTAGGAAGCATTCCGATGGGGACATGGGTATGATTCCCGAGACATTTATAATGGCTTGTTGTGTCTTTGTGGCTCTTATAAGATCTCCATCTTGTAATGAGACTTTAGATCTGTCAAAATCGATTGAGGAAGCAGTGAAACATGCCATTTTAGCTTGTCTCTATGTTTCTGAAAGAAATATCAACCAAATTATGCAATGCTTGTACCTACTTAAAGAGGCATACGCATACAGTCACGATGGAAACCCCATTAACTCTAGTAAACTGGATCTTAGAAGCTGCATTCTAGACATATGCAGAAACCAATTACTGCCTTGGCTTCTGACGGGCATCAATGAGATGGAAGAGGAAATTGTCCTGGGTTTGCTGGAAACCTTTCATTCGATTGTGCTTCTGGACTCTAGTATTTGTGCCAAGGAATTTGCAGAGACACTGACTTCAACCTGTTGGTTCAGATTTTCGTTTGAATGTCTGGGTTTGTTTGCAGGAGATAGGATGAAAAATAGAATATATTTGTTGCTCAGTTCAGTTGTGGATTCTCTCCTGGGAAATGATTCTGGACAACCAATTAGAGAGGCTGCTATACACCTGCCTCCTGATCCCATCGATTTGCTCTTTTTGCTTGGGCAAAGGAGTACTAACAGTTCATATTTGCATTCTTGTCAATCGGCTGTTTTGCTCATTATGTACACCAGTTCACTGTATGATGAAAGGTACTTGAACTGTCAAATCTTTGTTCTCCTATTCCCCTGATTGACAATTCGTCACATCTATTTTCCCTAACAGTTCTCTTACTTTCATGCCAGACTTGCAGATGTGAACTTGATTTTAGCTTCGCTCGAACAATTTATTCTTCTTAATAGGAGTGATTTTCATAATTGGACCACAGATAATTTGACAGTTACGCGACTAGTGAATCTCTACAGTTTGTTAAGGGGTATTGGCAATATGAACTACCAAATTCATTACAGTCGAGAAGCTGAGGATATAATATTCCAGCTCATAAACAATGATAAATGGCATTTACTGTCGGCAAGAATCCATACGGTAGCATTGAAGTGGTTGTTCCAACAAGAGATTATAATCAAATCATTGTGCCTTCATATTTTGAAATTCTGCAGAAGCTATACCTTAGAAGGAGTTGACATAATTGCTGGTGAAAATATTCAAACTATAAATGTACGGACACTTGCAGAGTTAGTATCCACTGAAGATAATTATGGAGCTAGACTCTTTGTATGCTTATTAGCACAGCTATTTGAGGAAGAAAGCCAGGAACATGAACATGACTTAATTTCTGTCCTAAATCTCATGGCAATTATGATTCACGTCTGTCCAGTAGCTTCTGATCAATTATCTTCGCATGGAATAGCAACAACAATCAGGACTTGGTGTTATTTAAATAATACCTTTTCGACCACAACTTACATGTCCATCTTGATTTTGATTTTTAACACTTTGAGTTCAGTACATCCTGAAACACTGTCTGGTGATCAGAGTTGGGTTGCAGTAACCATGAAGGTGTGAGTAATTTTACTTCTATTTATGCACATTGCACTCCGTTTTCAAAAACTAAAATGTTAACTTAGCATATAAAGTGGTTGGAAATTATATAAATTCAATGATTAGAAACCCTCATTTATGGGTACCATTTTCCTTTTAGAGTCGCAGGTGGCCTCTATTTTTATTTGGCTAGCTATTTTTGTCTATCCAATTTACTCGACCTTTCGACATAGTCCCTGGATTTTAATTGTTCCACTTTTACTCCTGGGTTATCATATCCCCACCCCTCCGTGCGTAATCTGTACCCGATATGATGATATAGCACATTATGGAGTTCTGTTAACGTGGTTGTCATTTTGCCCAATTTTCAAATTTGAATATCCTGAAGGATGTTAGTGATGATCAAGAATTTAGGCAAAGCAGAGCCGTAGTCTATATTGGCTACACGTAGCTGATGTATGAAATGCAATGCTCGTGTTCAAAGCATGAATTGTAACATTATAAATATTAGAAACAAATTGGTACAACATAAAATACAAGAATCAAATAGAAGTAGATGACAGCAGAACATGATTAGAGACGAGGTAGAAAGCAAATGCTGTGATCTGATGCTACAAAAATTCTATAGCTAACCCCTCAACTTACTAGGAAACTTAATGATTTGGTAAATGATTGTTCTAACATCACATTACCACTTTTGCAGATGATGGAGTATTCAATTTCATCCAAAGGGGCTGAAATCATTAGTCATGAAAGTCTCTTTGTTATTGGCATTCTTTCCTTAATTTTGCATCTTTCCACCAATAAAGCACTTGAAGAGACTTCAAAAGCCATTCTTTTTAATACTTGTATAATCTCTATGGTGAACACTGTAGTCTGTGCAGCTTCTTCGAAGGGACCTGCTTTGGTTGACCATGACGAGGGAACAAGCACTGGAGAAACTTTAATGTTTGTTCTTCTGCTTCATTACTTCGCCATTAAAAGGTAAGCCGGTTCGCATCAATAGTATAAAACTAAAAGTACACTTTACCTTCTGCCAAATTAATTGTTGTTACCAACTTCAAAATATTACATTTTACACCCCTCACGCTTTATTCTAAATATTTTACAAAGTTCTCAATCCTGATTTTTCGGTTCTAGCTTGTATACTATCCTTCCAGGGTTTGTGGATTGGCAGAATTACCTTGGTTCAACGAATCCATCTGAGCCGCTAGCCTATATTGGCATCCGTTGCCATGACTTGTGCAGACTTATGCATTTTGGTTCTCCTGTGATAAAGATTGCTGCTTCTTATAGCCTGTTAGAGTTGTTTCACAGAATATCAGATCAAATAAACAGTAAACATGAAGAGTTGAAATGTACTGTTGGGTACTTAATGTCCATAAGGAGTATATTGGAGGGGTTGCTTTTCTATAATGACCCGAGAGTGGCAACAAATTGTGCTGTCTGTCTGTCAATGCTTATGGGATGGGGAAAGCTGGCAAAGGAAACAAAACTATTAGGGGAGAGTAGCTGGTGTAGATTGATTATAGAGGAAATGACAGTATCTTTGGCAGGTCCTGCTGTTGCATCACAGTCGTTTTTGAACAGTCAAGAGCCTGGAGTACTTATAGCAATTGCGTTGTTGAAACTGCGTAAAATCCCTCAGTGGATGAGATCCGTGTTTAATAATACATGCATATCTGGCATATTGGAGAACCTTGCTTCTAGTAATGTGAGCTTGGAGATTTTGATTTTATTTCGAGAACTACTGAAATCTGACTTCTTAAATGCCGAGCAAATTGCAACTATAAATCAAATGCTCCAGGTAACTCCCTCCTTTTTTCTTCCTTTACGTTTCCTTATTTACTTTATGCCTTATCCAAGTTTGCATTATACATACTTTTTTTCTTTATATTTGTTAAGCATATACAAAAAATCTTCCATGCTATCTAATCTATAAGGTCCATTGATACTGACATATGGTGATTCAGCAAAAGAAAAAATGAGAAACATGTTGGTATGCGGTATGCGAACACATTTAATTAGAGCAATAATTTTTTCACATTTCCTGGTGTGTATATACCTTGGGAGTGAAGAAAGAGGTAGGAAGGGAGAAATGAAAAAATCACAAACATGACTGGAGGATGTGATACGATAGAACAGAAAAAGAGATAGTTATGCCATTTCTTATATTTACAGGAATGCAGAAAGCGCATGTACACTAACAACGCTCATGAGGAGCTCCCAAATGAGCCGATAAAGAAGGTCCTCCCCGCATCATATGATTTGGGAGACATTTGTCAGTATCTCATTGATTTAATGTCATCGGAGACATGCGTTGGTTCGGTTTCCTGGGATTTTCATAGGGGCAGTAAGAAGCTCTTAGAAGAAATAGAGCTGTTTTTTAGTACCTTGACTGTAGATGATAGCTGTAGGTAGCTTTAGTGTTCATTTAATCCATTGGACGCTTGGATCTGGCCATACAATAATGGTAAGCACGTCTGGAATTCGTCGATAAACTAAAAAATCGATTCTGTATAATTTATAAAACAACTAAATGCATCGTTTCAATCATGATAAATACTCAAGATTAAGTTTAAGTAAACTTAATTATAAATTTTTATAATTATGTGGTTAAAATCAAATTTTTTTGTACTTTCGCCATATATGAGAAAGAATTTATTTACTCTAATTAATACCTTTTAATAAAACACATTTAACAAACTAATTGGATTATATTTATCTTAATAATTAATAATAGTAAAATCTAAATGAATTAAACATTTATAAACGCAGAAATTTATAATTAATATTTATTTATGATTTAAAATAATTATTTTTAAATTATATTCAATTTTATAAACTTAATAAAAAAAATTCAATTATTTAGATCGATGAAATTTAATATTTTTAAAAATTTATTCAACAAGCAAGTTTTACAATTTGAGTAGTCTTACAGAGAAGAGGTATTATTTGAGGCAGGTAAAGAGGCCTGCCAAAGAGGCAAATCAGAAATTTGCACGAGTGAAAATACAGTGATGACCCATGATCCATCGCTAAAAAATTTAAATGCCATAGCCATCGACCACTCGACAGAAATAGCACCTTCATTGCAAGTATCCAGATAACAATTAATTTTGAAAGTAATGCACCAAATGTCCACACTCATAGCATGCATAAAAAAGATAATCGTTCTTCCACAATAAAGCTCTAAATTCGAAGAATTTACAGAAGGTAAAAACTAGCAGAAACAATTGCAGAATAAATTCCCGTCGAGTCAAAAGATCATATGATATTACAAGACAACCTCTACTTTCTAAAAGAGTTTATTAAACAAATACTAATTAAACACTATATCCAAACACAAATTTAATTATAAAATTTATCGCCATAAATTGAAAAGAACTTATTCAATAAGTTATAACAAAATAATGAAATAAACTTAAAAAGATATTATGAAAGTCATAAACTCTTTTAAAGAGTCTGACGAAGAGAAACACACATTTAAGGAAAACACATCACAATTTTTGCACATTCCTGCAATTCCTGTGATTAGACATTTCCCCCTAATCTAGGAACTCCTAAAGAGAATGATGCATCTGCATTAGCCATAATTTCTAACACGTTTGCAAAAAACTAAAATAAAAAGTCTCTATTTCAAAATTGCAAAATTGTTTCATTCTACCAAAATAGTTTTTTAATATTTTTTTTCATCATCGCAACTTAACAATGGAAAGAGAGACGTCACAATTTTAAACAATTATTTCCTCTTTCGTAAAAGCAAAGATGGATTGGATTAACTATCTTGGTTTCATACAGTCGACACTACCAGTATGTTTTGACAACAAAGCAATGAGATCATAATAAGTCCATGTTTTCTTTTCTCTATCCTCAGGGTGAAGAGAAGAGTACACTTCTTCACAGCTTTTAAGAAAATGACCTTTCCCAAATGTAGTAAGGACCAGAGAATCTGTTTTCATTTCTACTACTCTGTACAGATAGCCCATTCTTCTCCATGTTTCCAAAGCTCCACTACCATCAAAACCAATTCTATTTGCATCAAATAGGATTCCAATAGTGATTATATCAGGCTTCACCTGATAGATTGGCAATTGAGAGAGCAAAATCCTCAAATGCTTGAAATCTCTCATCTTTACATAAGCCAGCATGATAATATTTGTAAAAGTAACATTCCAATTAGCTTTGGCATGTTGCATTTCTCGAACAATTATATCCATACCTTTTTTACTCAAAAGACACGCATAAGAAAGGAGACGGAGACACCATACAAGGTTGCTCTCACCAAATGCCGAACATAAATCTAGTCCTAGGTCCTCCAATCTAGAATACATGTAGTTCTTGATATAAACTTCAGCCAATTTTCTAATCAAATCATCCTTTAAACGTGTTTTTGAGTTCAAAAGTTTTCTATAAAATTTTTCCATCTTTTCTACCATCTCAAATGTGGTATAAGCTTCTAGCATTGCAACTAAAGTAGAAGACTGCAAATGCATTCGTTTTGAAAGCATTCTTTGATAAAGCTTTTCTATTCTCGGGAGTAGCCCAGCACGCGAATACTCTTGAATAAGTATATTATAAGTGATATGATCAGGAGAGCATCCATCCAATTCCATATTTTTCACACACTTAACAATCTCATCGTACATTTGAAATTTACCATAGGCCCGAATCAAACCATCATAGGTTTCAGTCCCCGGTTCTAAACCAGATTCTTTCATTTCATCAAAATAATGTAAGGCATCGCTGAACTTACCTTCTATGGATAATCCATGAATTATTGGATTGTAAGTGTCCAAAGAAGGCTTGAGACCTTGAATTTTCATCTCTTTCAGTGCAGATAACGCATTTTCCATCATTCCTTCTTCACATAACAAGCTTATGATCTTGTTATAGTTAAACTCACTAATCCTCGATTTCTCAATGTTCTTCCACACATCAAAAACCTATTAATTCAATTGCAAGGTGCAAAGAGAGTGAGAACTCAAAAACCACAAAGGAAGAAAAGCTAAGAAAAAAAGTGCCATAATACAGAATCAAAAGCAGCCAATTCCAACACCAACACAACTAAGACCTAATTAGGCAAAGTAATCAAATTGGTCACAAAAATTAAACTTAGCCACAAGGCTACGAACCTGAAGAATTTGGGTAAACCTGGAAGCATTTTTAAGGAACTTGACAACGGCCCAGAAATGGTCTTTGGACCAATCTCCATCTTGGGTGAGTATGTGCAGAGGGCATGAATCTTCCTCCTCAAGCTTTGCAAGTAAGGTTCTGAGACTTTCATGAAGATGGTAATTCTCAACCAGAAGAGTTTTATGCTTTGAGTCTGAAACTGTGTGAGTGAGTGACGGTAAAGGGTGGAAAGAGGCATAGCAAATTTGAGTGGTGAGGGATCGGAATTTCGCAAAGGGTTTCCGGAAAACACTGTTCCTACTTTTACTTTCTCTGCAATTGGAGTTCAACACCAGCACGAAGTGAGTGTGCATCAGTACGTTCTCCATTTTTCTTGTGTACTTCTCTTCATTGATGAACCCTATCCCCAATTTTTTATTCTTAATTAAACCCTTTCCTCATTTTTTCCCTCCCTGAAACTATACTTTGAAGGTGGTAGAAGAGAAAGAGAAAAAAAATTAAAAATATAATTAATGGTGCAATAAAAAATAAAATATGTAAAAATAAAAATGTAAATAAAATGAATTTAAAAAACTGAAAAAAAATTAATTTTAAAATATACGTAGTTAAGATTTGAGATTAAAATAATATAAAAATGATATTTCAAAATTAAGACTTAAAAAATTAAAATAAAAGGTACAAAAAAACTTCAAATAATAATAATATTTTTTATTATCAAGTAGTCCCTAAATATAATAAATTTATAAAATATAGGCTTCTCTCAATTACCTCGAACTCTTCTAGCCAAGGCTCTTCTTGCTGTGGTGTTGCCTCACTACATTTTTAGTCTCTTTTCCATGTCCTCAATCTCTTAGGACCAATTTGGTTTACTATGTGTAACTCATTATAAGGAGTTTGGATTACAACTAATAATTTTTGCTTTGAAGAAAATTGCAAACTTCCGTTAAGAGCGTAAATCTAATAGGCTTTTAGTGTATTTTATTTTCATTAGCATCCAACACTATTCTTTGTTATTCAACTTTTTTTAATATATTATTCAACATATTTTACATGATTAATTAAGTTTTTCAAAAAAAACATTGCTAATATTTCCATTTTATCTAAAAATAATAATAAATATACAATAAATTTGTATTACTTCTTATAACTTAATTTGAATAAGAAGTAAGTGACATAATAATAAAATTAGTGTTATGATAGGAAAAAATTCTTAGAAAAGAATGTAATTTTACTCAAAGTTTAGGAATAGGTTGAGGCAAAAAGAGATATCATATGAATTTTACAAGACATATATGGTGAATGAAGCAGCCTATGTTTAGGTGGTTGTCAATAACGAATTTTCAAAACACTGGATCCAACAATGTGCAAAAAGAGATATCATATGAATTTACAAGAAGATATATATGGTGAATGAAGTAGCCTATGTCTAGGTGGTTGTCAATAACAAATCTTCAAAACATTGTATCAAACAATGTACTACATAACCCGTTTAGCTGTAGTTTCGTGTAAAGTCTCAAATATTATTTGTGAGAGTAATCATTTGTGTCTTGTCATCTACAATTTTTCAAGGTAGCGTTTGGTTAAGAGATAGAGACACCGGAACAGAGACGCGAAGGCACATATATTATGTTTGGCTAGTATCTTGTTGTTAACACAAATGACATGCGAAATACAAATTTGAAGGATATCAGTGTACTTTTTGAAAAAAGGGACACTAGTGTCCCAGTTCTAGATTTTTAAAAATATCTCTCATAATTTTTTAAAATTGCATAAATTTTAAAAATTATATAGATTACCTTCATAATTTTTATGTCTAACCACAATAAAAGATGTAATACACCACATTTTGTTTTTATTTCCAAACACAATACATTGACATAAATATTTATATCTTTGTCTTTTATTGTTTCAGTGTTTCTGTCTCTAGTGTCCACATACAGTATTTAAACACTATCCAAAAACACAAAAGATCGTGTCTTACAAGTACACATGATAAAGATTTTTTAGAAAAAAATGAAGAGAAATAAAAACCATTGAATTTTACTTCTTTTAACTTTCCTTTCCTACTAATAAACAACTTTAAATTGACAAATGCCTCTAGAATTTGATTCAAAAGGGGTAGCTCCAATGGAATCCCAATGGTAGATTTATCTACTTAATCTTAAGGATAGATATTATTAATGTTATACTCACTTTGAATATTAATATGCCGATTTTTATTAAAAATAAAATTTTATTTTTAATTAATTGTAAAAAGGGACACTAGCGTCCTAGTTCTAGATTTTTAAAAATACCTATCATAATTTTTAAAACTTGCATAATTTTTAAAAATTGTATAGATTACCTTCATAATTTTTATATCCAAATATAATATAAAACGTAATACACTACATTCTGTTTTTACTTCTAAACACAATACTCTGATATAAATATTAGTGTCTCTGTTTTTTATTATTTCAGTATTTGTATCTCTAGTGTTCAGAGACAGTATCCAAACACTACCCAAGCACACAAAAGATCATATTTTACAAGTACATATGATAAAGATTTTCTAAAAAAAGATTAAAGAAAATAAAAACCATTAAATTTAACTTCTTTTAACTTTCCTTTCCTACTAATAAACAACTTTAAATTGACAAATGCCTCTAGAATTTGATTCAAAAGGGAGGTAGCTCTAATAGAATCCCAACGGCAGATTTATCTACTTGATCTTAGAGATAGATACTATTAATGTTATACTTACCTTGAATATTAATATGCTAATTTTTATTAAAAATAAAATTTTATTTTTAATTAATTAAAACTTTAAAAATAGTATTTATGTTAACGTTATTGTGCCAAAAATTTATTTTTATTTTTTAATTATTATTATTAATAGTAGTTAAAGTTTGGGGTGTCCCTATGGGCTTCCTTTTGGCTTGAAATCCAATCATTGAACTAACGCGTTTTATGTGAGAGATTGAGTTCCGACAAAAAGGAAATATACAAATAAATAAAGGAAATAATGGACTGTGACTCCACCTTACATTTCTTAATTCCGTGCATTCATATGCCCATTGTTCATTTAAAAACAAATGAAAAGCAAATTTACAAAAGACACTTTAATAATTTTATTTTTATTTATTTCTCTTTTATTAAAATAAATTAAAAAATTCAAATTTTTTTCTTTTATTTTTTTGTCTTCATCTAAACGGACCCACTTTAACTGTGACCGATGCACCGCCGCGCTTACTTGCTCCGCGGGTTTTGGGCTTTCTTTGGGTTTTGGGTACAGCCTGCTACCCATTCATTACATCACCCTATTTTTTATATTTGAATACTCATCAATATGTACACTTTTCCAACCTGAACGATTCAAAATTATTATTTGAGCTGTGAATCATTGGCTTTTTGTTTGGGAAAATGTTTAGCATACACTTTGATGGATGTTTATGTATAGTTTAAGAGAAATTAAAACAAAAGAGTGAAAATTAATAAACCCGATAAATGATATAATGTGATGAAAACAGAGATTAAAAATATAAAATTGCTGAAGTTAATTATTTTAATGAACTAACTTAAATATATCTATAAAAAAGTGAGGATTTAACATTACTTTTAAAGGTCCTAAGAAATTGAACTTTTATTAAGTACATGTTCAATCAAATTATCTTTTCTAAATATATATCTCTCAATGAAGCTGCTGGAATAACTAAATGCTCCGATGGTAATTGCTTATGTTCATAGATCACTGACGTTACAACAGTGGTTTTGTCAGCTAGCTAGTTTGGAACATGTCATTCATCTTTGAAATCAACACAGTACTTACAAATCGTATTATTATGGAACATCTATGATATTTTTTTCCACAATATTACAATCATGCATCATCATTATTAATCAATATATATCATTTATTTACTTTAATCTCCATCATACATGCATAAGCCTTAATTAAGCGATCTCATCATATATTCAATGAAATCACACTGTTTTTATGATCTTTTCCACACTTTTCAGTTTTCATGAAAGCTATGATTTGGTGAGGGATATAATAGTTTTGATCACTTAATGGATCTATATTTGTGGCACCTAAACCAACAATGTCGTCATTATTATCAACATTGCATTGCATTCAGCAATTTCACTATCTATATATACATATTAAACTCATCTCACTGTTTAATTTGCAGTTTCATTAACACTTTCAAGCCACCTGAAAGACCCATGTATTGGCTTTATGCAATGTAGAGAGACTCATCCTCATTCCTCGACCCCCCAAAGTTTCTTTTTTAAAAAGGCAAGCAAACATTATTGCCGAAAGCATCAATTATATGCAGTAGCATTGTGCTGACATTATTCTTTCTTAGTAAAAAGAAAAAAACAAGAAAGAAAGAAAACATGCATGCTTCCCGTTTGAGGATAAAGAAATTGAAAAAAGAAGAAGTGAAGAGTTAAATTTAATTTCCTAACAACCATATGTGCATTAGAATCTGATCCATTCTGCTCCAACCCTACCACATTAAAAGACATTTAAAATGGCAGCATCATTTTAGAGGTTTTTTTTGTAGAAATGGTTGGAGATTCTGTCAATTGCTAGCTGTTTCCATAAGTCGGCTCCCATTAACATCTCAATAACTATAACGAAATTAGATAATAGGCTTCCTATAGTCACAAAAAAGAGAGAAATTGGTCAGAAAAAGAAATGATAGAAGCAATAAGTAATGCTATATGATATTAAAAAATGTCTACAAATTAAAGTTGATAAATATAGGCTTACATTACTTTATCCTATATTTCGAATGTTTCATAATTAAATCAATAAAACTTTTAAAAGATTCTCAAACATATCTAAACCAATAATAAATATTAAAGTATATTTTGCAACTTAGGTTGGTTATTTAATTTACAAGTGAACTGAAAATATACACAATTTACCAAAAAAAAAATTTGATACTTTTCAAATTCTATTTTATATCAGATATAAACAGGCTCTTGATTAATCACTTATTTAACATTATGTAAACGATTAGAATCTAAAAATTAAATTTAAAGTTAAAACTGAAAATATAGATTTAGATTCAGTGTAGTCCACGCGAAAACTGCATCATGTATTTAAATAAAATTTTATATTTTTATTTAAAAAAATATATGTGAACTTAAATAAAAATATAAAATAATGTAACTGCACTACTATACTGTATCTAAATCCTTGAAAATGCATTGCTTTCATAATATCAGTAATATAATACATTTTTCTTAATTTCCTGAATAATACAAATTCTTTTGTAGCAATAATGCAAATTATGATCATTGCCAAAGTCTTTGACAGTGTAAGGCGACAGATAGTCCTCATTCCAATGCCATGCTTTTGGAGAACAACAACCTTATCCAATGTTTGGTCCAGTTATCTGCAAAAATATCCCTATGTGAGGTGGTTCACGTTCATGCACAATATATTTTTCCCATTAATAAAATCCTCTGAAAATATATTCATATATGTGTATTAATTGCGCTAATAAGATATATATGTTCATACGTTTGATTTTATTTTGTTTTTTCTCGATGTTCTTTATTTCACATTGAAGTTGTTGTCAGAGTTATAAAAGACAAATAATCTCAGTGGATATGATAACAATTAACAACCAGAGACAAAGCAGGCACAAGAAAGAGGTATCATTGTCATCGAAGGGGATAACTATGTCATACCATTGGTGATCTCGTGAAGTCCTGACTAATGTCAGGATGAAAGCAATAACTCCCAATATTTTACTATTGAAATTAAGGATTTTTTTAATTTTAAAAAAGCTTTTTCTTTTTCATTCTTTGTATTTATTTTAATCATGAACTTATTGTTTATATTATTTTTATTTTATTTTGCTAAAATTAAATCTGACACAATTTTCTGCCTCGCCACTTGGCATCATCTTAGTGGATTCACAATGCATGATTGATAGACCCAATGGGCAAGTAAAATACCTTATTGGTTTGATTAATTCTTCTTTTTGGTTCCTTCAATATTACATCCAGTTGGCATCCACCGCCTAATTTTCTCCTTTTCTTCCCTAATTTTTTTTCCTTCAAATCATACTAAAATGGGACCAATGCATATATATGATACACTTGAGACACAATCATGATTCGTACTGCATTAGAGCGCATTCTTTGCATTGAGTACATAACATAACCTAAAATATAAGCATATAGTAATTACTAATAACCAAGTTCAAACAAAAGCTTCCAGCTTTCAAAACTTGCAAAGCTGGCACCAGCTTTTGGTTCCTACAGCTTCCACAGTTATTGATCCTTCACGCGTCCCTCCCCACCACACTCAATCCCTTATTCCCATTATTCTTATTTCCCTAACCCTTATGTCTCTTTATCACACATATATATACACACCTCTTTCTAACACATTCCTTCACATCACAACATTCACATTTCTCTCTCTTTTATGTGTCCAATGGCTTCTACTAGCAATAAATTTTTTGTGCTTATAGTGGTGGTTAGCACCATGGTGGCTGCATGTGGTGCTAGCTTCTACCAAGATTTTGATCTAACATGGGGTGATAACCGTGCTAAGATATTCAATGGAGGTCAACTTCTATCTCTTTCTCTTGACAAAGTTTCTGGCTCTGGCTTCCAATCCAAGAAAGAGTACCTCTTTGGGAGGATTGATATGCAGCTCAAGCTTGTTGCTGGCAACTCTGCTGGCACTGTCACTGCTTACTACGTAAGTTTTATTCCTTTCTTGTCTTCACCACAGTATTCTTCCTTTCATTTTTAAAAGCTATTTTAATATATGACGACTTCATGAAATAAAATGCTTTTGCCAGTCTGAAAATACAACCATGCTTCCACACTTTAGGCATCAATTTTCCAAACGCAACAGTCCATTCACGAGAACTGTTGGCAAACCCCTATCGCAAGTTATGCTGAGCATTTTACTTTGACCAAAACTATTATTTTATATTTCTACTTTTAGTCCACGATGCTTTCAAACAATTTGTGAAGTATCTGATGCCTATCTTGCATAGTCCAACAAATATTTTTTTAATCTTTTTACTCATTTTATCTAATAATTTTTTTCATTTCTCTATTTTTAATTTTTTATAGTCACAGCTTTGGCTAGCCGCATTAATTTAATACGGCAAAACATGTTAATGAAAAAGGACTTGTTTTAATGTTATGTGTGGAGGTTTGGTATTTATCAAAATCAAAGCTTTTAATTCCTTGTGGTGCTGTCAATAACGGTAGTATTTGCATTTGCATGTGATGTGATGTGACGCAGTTGTCATCTCAAGGGCCAACTCATGACGAGATTGATTTCGAGTTCTTAGGGAATGTGAGCGGTGATCCCTACATTCTCCACACAAATGTCTTTACCCAAGGCCAAGGGAACCGAGAACAACAGTTCTACCTATGGTTTGACCCCACCAGAAACTTCCACACTTACTCTATCATTTGGAAGCCCAATCACATTATGTCAGTAAATTCAAAATCTCATTTTAATTTTTTTAATATATTTAAAACTATATGATAAAAATTTATTTAATTCAATGAATGCATGTGTCCCTTGATTATTTGTAACAAAACAAATCCATTTATGTGTGCAGATTCTTGGTTGATAACATTCCCATAAGGGTGTTCAAGAATGCTGAGTCTATTGGCGTTCCTTTCCCAAAGAACCAGCCCATGAGAATCTACTCAAGCTTGTGGAATGCTGATGACTGGGCCACCAGAGGTGGTTTGGTCAAAACTGATTGGTCCAAAGCACCCTTTACAGCTTACTACCGAAACTTCAAAGCCACTCAGTTTTCCGGGTCTTCCAATTCCTTCTCTGATGCTGCATGGCGGAGCAACGAGCTTGATGCTTATGGCAGAAGAAGATTGAGATGGGTTCAGAAGTATTTCATGATCTATAACTACTGCAACGATCTTAAGCGATTCCCACAAGGCCTTCCTGCTGAGTGTAGCCGCTGAAGCTTCTAAGAATTTAAGGAATGGCCTTTTGTAATATTAAATTATATTTGGTATGTCCCTTTCTTGTGATTCTTTAATTCTATGTACTCCTCTGTATTTTTTTCTCTTTACTTTTGTTTATTATATTCACGATTAAAATAAATCAAATTCTTTGTACCACTTTCTTATTACTCACCTTGTGAAGTTGATCGTTTTGAAAACAATTTATCTGATCATATAATAAAAAGATCTAGTGTTAATTGTTGATTTTAATCCCTAGTCTACTCACCCTGCAAACTCAGTACTCTAGCCATTAGACTCACTCTGTTCGGTTTAAATGTGAATAATGAATAATTCCTATTTCCTCCACCGTCATCCGATTTTATGATATCTGAATATATATAACGCATCGAACTCATTCTTTAATTAATTGTGATCTAATCTAATAAAGAAGAACTTTGTTTTCAATTTGTTGTTAGATTTTGAATTTGACCATAAACCTCTCATAATTTTTACTCAACAGTTTTTGTGATTCTTCTAACACAAGGTAGCCACTGATTTCTCATTATGAACTCAAGGTATAATACATATTTGTTTCTGATTATCTATCCACAGAAAAAAAAAATATAAACTAAAGAGTTTAATTATTTTTGTTAAAATTAATTATCAAGTTTAAAATGTATCTTTTGATATATATATATTATTTTGAACTACTCAAATAGAATAAATATTTTATATAAGCAAAGAAATATTAATATTTCTAACAATTGATATTAACTTAAATTTTTATATGAACAAATAATAATTGTGTATTTAAATATGTTAGATAAAAAATAATTATAAAATAATCTATTGTCTTTCAATTATATAAAATAATAATTATTTTATTAAAATTACAAAAAAAGTAAAATCATATTTAAAATAATAAATATTATTGAAGATAAAGTTAAGAATAAAAATTAACTAAAATGTAGACTAATAATTTTTAATCATAAATTCTAAAATTTTACCTTTTTAAAGAATTTTATAAAACAAGTAATAAAAATATAAAATATTTTTTAAAATTATAAACATCTTCTAAAAAATAACCGTATCTCTCTAAATATTTAATATAAGTGCATTCTTTATTATTTAAACTTGGTAGTGAAACAACCTCATCTAAGTTGATTCACATATTTAATAATAACATTGTATTTTATTTTACACAAAATAGTAATTGATTTTTTTAAAAATCATAAAAAATATTATTAGTATATATCTTTCTATAAAATTTAATATAATTCTAAATAAAACCTTATATTGTATGTTTTTAACAAACATCCTAAAAGTATTGATTTGGAAAAATCTTATATATATTCGAATGTTGCTGAGGTGTGTATAAACTTACTCACAATAGTAAGAAGAAGAAAAAAATTGCAAAATATTAATTTTTTTTAGTTACTTAAATAACTATTTATATTAATATAATAAATATTTTTTCAATAATACATTTGACAAATGACAATCCATCATTTTCATATACTGACGAGTGAGGAGGCAGTCATAAGATGCAGCGCACTTAATCCTCACGATAAAACCAAAATGATTGAACCATAAAATTTCACTCACAGATTCGTCACCTCAAACGTCACCAACCCCTTTACTGATGCTCGTGTGGATCTCAGTTGTATATGTATATATAACACTATCCACTCAACCTGCTCCATATATGTCTTCTACAAGAGATAAACCCCTCGTGTACGTTATCTACCGAGTGTCAAATACACGCGCCACCGCTACGATGGTCCACCACCGCTTCCTCCTCGTAACATACCCCATACAAGGCCACATCAACCCCACAATTCAGTTCGCGAAACGACTCGTTGCCATCGGTGTCCACGTCACCTTCGTTATAAGCTTCAACCTTTACCGTCGCATGCTTAACAAACCGACCATCCATGGCCTCTCTTTCGCCCCCTTCTCTGACGGCTACGACGACGGTTACAACTCCAGCGACGACTTCGACGTGATGAATTACATGTTGGAGCTGAAGCGCCGTGGTGCAGAGTTTCTTAGAAACACCATAGCCGCCGCCGCAGAGGAAGGTCACCCTTTCACTTGCGTCACGTACACCCTCCTCCTTGCTTGGGCTGCCAAGGTGGCGCGTGAGTTTCACATTCCGGGGACGTTGCTGTGGATTCAACCAGCAACGGTGTTTGATATCTACTATCACTACTTCCATGAATACGGTGACTACATCAGCGACAAATCCAAGGACCCCACATGTTCTTCCATTGAATTACCGGGATTGCCATTTTCTCTCACCGCACGTGATCTTCCCTCGTTCCTCTTACCCTCCAATACTTATCGTTTTGCTCTTCCTTCCTTTGAAGAACAACTTCAAGAGCTTGACCAAGAAACCAACCCTAGGGTTCTTGTGAATACCTTTGAGGAGTTGGAACCTGAGGCTTTGAAAGCAATTGATAAGTTTACAATGGTACCCATTGGGCCTTTGATTCCCTCTGCCTTCTTGGATGGTAAAGACCCTTCTGATACTTCCTTTGGCGGGGACATCTTCCATGCATCAAATGATGACCTTGAGTGGTTAGACTCAAAGCCTGAGTTTTCTGTGGTTTATGTGTCTTTTGGTACAATTGCTGTGTTGCCTAAGAGACAGATGGAGGAGATTGCACGTGCGTTGCTAGATTCTGGATGTTCCTTTTTGTGGGTCATTAGAGAAAAAACAAAGGAAGGAGAGGAACAAAGAGAAAAGGGTGAGGAGTTGAGTTGTAGAGAGGAATTGGAAAAGAGGGGTAAGATAGTAAAATGGTGTTCTCAGGTGGAGGTTCTGTCACATGCTTCGTTGGGTTGTTTTGTGACACATTGTGGTTGGAATTCAACCATGGAAAGTTTGGCTTCGGGGGTTCCTATGGTGGCGTTTCCTCAGTGGACAGACCAAACTACTAATGCAAAGGTGATACAAGATGTGTGGAAGACAGGGGTGAGGATAGATGATAAGGTGAATGAGGAGGGGATTGTGGAAGCTAGGGAAATTAGGAGGTGTCTGGAAGTGGTTATGGGGAGTGGAGAAAAAGGAGAGGATTTGAGAAGGAATGCAAAGAAATGGAAATATTTGGCAAGGGAAGCTGTGAAGGAAGGAGGCTCTTCAGACAGGAACATGAGATGTTTTGTGGATGATGTTGGAAAATATGTACAGGGTAGTTTCATGTAACTATCTTGTTGGGTAATTGAGAAAAAACCAATTGAACCTAATGAGTAAGTCTTATACTAAATGTTGAATATTCACCTCTGTGATGAAGAGTAATTAAGATTAAATTGTGTCTTAGTAATATTCATTCCCACTTTGGATAGTCAAAAAGAAAATTTGAGCAACCCAGGGATGTTAGTGCATCTTTGTGCCATACAAAATTCGATTCTTTCCAACTCGCAAGAATATTGAAAATTTGCAATTTAAGGTTTTATGATTGCGTCATTGGACACTGGCAACTTTTTCAGTAAATTTGGTTTTGGTTGTGTATGATTGTTAGAACACAAAATTAGCACATGAACTTTATCATCTTGACCACTCTTAAATACGTATAGAATACAGGATAAACTCTACTAAATAACTATTGATTAAATTAACGGTTACGAAATTACTAAAATATTAATAATTATTTAGCTAAACATTATTTCACACTTTAATTTTTAATATATACCCCCCCACACTTTAAACTTTACATGCCTCTAGTATTGATGTAATATTACGAATTTAAATATGATGGTAATGCTTTTGGATCGGATTGCGTTGTGTCAGTGTGCCAATAGAACATCCCAAGTTAAAAAAATTATTAGTCTAGTAAGGGAAATGTTTAGTAATCAACCATCCTAGTTAGTATGCGTCTGATATAGTCATCACCTCAAGTGTGTTTCTGGTAAGACAAATTTGGGTGTTTCATATTATTTTGTTGTCGTGATTCCTTGATAGTTCACATTGGGTGTTTTATTGTGATGGTGTGTGTCCAGACCCAAAAAAACATAACTTAAAATTGCGTAAAACATTTGGAGGCCCAAATTGGGAAAAGAAAATTGTGATAGGTAATGTTTTAGTAATGCTTTGACCAAAAAGAAAAGCCATGCTTTGATCTGGATTATTTTCTTAGCACAGATACCTATTGGGAAAAGTGGGCCAAGTTATGCAAAGTGTTTAAAAGGGGGTGGATGGGAAGCTTCCGTGGAAAGTGAAAAGGAGAATGACAGAGAGTATGAAAAGTAAGTAAAAATTGGAAAAGGATAAAGACGACGGTGTATGGTAAATTATTACAATAATTTAGATGCAAAGCTCAATTTTTATTAATGAAAAAAGAGAGAGAAACGCGAAATCTAGTAAGCAACAGTTGGCATTCGCGGGGACCACAGTCGCCTAAACCACGTTTTCGTATTTTTGGTGGTTACCTATCCGATTCAATTACAGCCCTTTTTTCTTTGTTTTTTGGGTTCCCATTTTTTATTCTCCACTCCATGTGGGCCCTTTCCTTCTTTTATATTCTAATTTAAATTTAATTTAAAATGAAAAAAAGAAGGGCATAACTGCCACCACATGAGGTTGGCGTAGTTATTATCTTGTTTGATTTTGCATTGTCTTTGGTACAAATACTCTGTCACACAGAACCGCAACGCCATATTTTTGGTCCAATGGCTCATCCCAAATTAAAACCGAAAACCCTACTCTCTCTCTCTAACTTATTACTCTGTTTCTCTCTCCTCTCCCCTGCCATTGCCGACGATGGCGCCTTCATGTCCAAGCTCGCCAAAGCGCTCAGCCCAACGCCGTCGGGGTGGTCGGGGACTGCGTTCTGCGATTGGACCGGCGTTAAGTGCGACACCAATCGCGTTACTGCAATCAACATTGCTTCAAAGTCACTCACCGGAACACTCCCTTCGGATCTCAACTCACTGTCCCAGCTCTCCACACTCTCGCTCCAGAACAACGCGCTCGCCGGCGCGTTACCTTCCTTCGCGAACCTTACCATGCTTCAAACCGTGTTTCTCGACGGCAACAACTTCACCTCCGTTCCCGCTGGTTGCTTCCAGGGACTCACCAGCTTGCAGATCCTCAGCATGACCGATAGCATCAAACTCGCTCCCTGGACGATTCCCACCGAGTTGACTCAGTCGTCGAACCTTGCCAAACTTGACCTCGGCAACACTAACCTCGTCGGTTCTCTGCCCGACATGTTCGGTTCGCTCGTAAGTTTGCAGGAACTTCGTCTCTCTTACAACAACCTCACTGGTGGTTTGCCTAAGTCATTTGCAGGATCTGGGATTCAGAATCTGTGGCTCAACAATCAGGAAGATGGGTTCGGGTTTTCGGGTTCCATCGAGGTGCTTTCTTCCATGCAGCATTTGTCTCAGGTGTGGCTTCAGAAGAACCAGTTCACGGGTCCCATTCCTGATTTGTCAAATTGTACTGGTTTGTTTGATCTTCAGCTTAGGGATAACCAGTTAACCGGTGTGGTTCCTCCTTCTTTGACGTCTCTGAGTAGCTTGCAGAACGTTTCTTTGGACAACAACTTGCTTCAGGGTCCTGTTCCTTCCTTTGGGAAAGGTGTGCAGGTCACTCTCAAAGGGATCAATAGCTTCTGTCAGAGCAATGCTGGGCCTTGCGATTCGCGGGTTACTACTTTGCTTGACATTGCTGCGGATTTTGGGTATCCCATTCAGTTGGCGCGTTCATGGGGAGGGAATGATCCTTGTCAAGATTGGAGCTTCGTTGTGTGTGCTGCGGGGAAGATTATTACTGTGAATTTGGCGAAACAGAATTTGACGGGAACTATATCACCTGCATTTGCCAATTTAACTGATTTGAGGAACTTGTATCTTGATCATAATAATTTGGTTGGTTCTATACCAGGGAGCTTGACAAGTTTGCCTCAGCTTGAGGTTTTTGACGTGTCTGATAACAACCTTTCTGGAGAGGTTCCCAAGTTCTCTACCAAGGTGAAGTTCAATGCTTCAGGTAATGGTCTGCTTGGGCATTCTGGAGGTGGTGGCGGCGGCAGTGGAACTACTCCGTCCACGGGTCCTGGTGGTGAACCGAGTGGAAATACAAATGGAAATTCAAGTGGTTCTTCGCTATCCCCTGCTTGGATTGCAGGTATAGCCATTATTGCTGTGTTTTTTGTTGCAGTGGTGCTGTTTGTCTTTTGCAAGTGTTATGCCAAAAACCGGCATGGGAAATTTGGAAGGGTTAATAATCCTGAAAATGGGAAAGGAGAAGTTAAAATTGATATGATGAGCGTTGCCAATTCCAATGGATATGGTGGTATTCCCAGCGAGTTGCAAAGCCAGGGCAGTGAGCGTAGTGACCTGCATGTTTTTGAGGGTGGAAATGCTACAATTTCGATCCAAGTACTTCGGCAAGTGACAAATAATTTCAGTGAAGATAACATTTTGGGTAGGGGAGGATTTGGAGTTGTTTATAAAGGGGAATTGCATGATGGAACTAAAATTGCTGTGAAGAGGATGGAATCTGTTGCAATGGGAAGTAAGGGAATGAATGAGTTCCAAGCAGAGATTGCAGTTCTAAGTAAAGTTAGGCATAGGCATTTGGTGGCTCTTTTAGGATATTGCATTAACGGCAACGAAAGGCTTTTGGTGTACGAGCATATGCCGCAAGGAACATTAACACAACATCTGTTTGATTGGCGTGAAAATGGATGTGCTTCTTTGACTTGGAAACAAAGGGTAGCAATAGCTTTGGATGTAGCACGGGGAGTAGAATATTTGCACAGCTTAGCTCAGCAAAGCTTCATTCACAGGGACTTAAAACCCTCAAACATATTATTGGGTGATGACATGAGAGCGAAGGTTGCAGATTTTGGGTTGGTTAAGAATGCACCAGATGGGAAGTACTCTGTCGAGACACGACTGGCTGGAACATTTGGATATCTGGCACCTGAATATGCAGGTATTGAAAGTCTTTGAATATAAGCTTGTCTTTTTCTTTTTAGTTTTTTTTCATTTCCTTATTCGCTTATAACTATCTAATATCTATAGGTTACTGCTCAATATTATACTCTGTTTCAAAGTGCAGCATGCATTTTTTATTTTCCTGCTTCTAAATTTTTTGTTTTCCTATAGATCTCCTTGGTGGATGGTTTATGGGCACATTATACGTTGTCGCATTTATAGATAGATGGCTGAACGGCTGGCTCCCAATGACCCTTTTTTATGTGATGAATACTCAAGACTACATTAAATCTTGGATTACTGAATCTGTTTGTTATATTCTGATAATTAATATTGTATTAAATGAAAAAGTAGATTCTTTTAATTTCTAACGAACATAAAAAGCATTTAATACTACCTTCTTTATTTTTAGCAATTAAGACGGTTGATTAGGATTATTTAGATTACTTACTCTTGCTGTCTTTTGTCATAGGTTTGGGTAGCATTGTTAGCAGTTCTTTTCCTTAGTTGATTAGGCTCTCTGGTGTCCTGAGTCCTGACATGTCTTTAATTATAACTACGTCAATTGTGAATTCAACATTTCCTATAGCATACCTTTGTGCATTTTTAAATGCATGTCCAAAAATTTATAGTTCATCTTCAATGCATTTGTAGTCTGAAGAATATTTATCATGTTTTGTTTAGAACTAATTAGTTTTAGCTGAGCTAGATTATTGTTGCATCAAACGTGATTGGTTGCATTTACTTTATGCTAGCCTATTCCTTTACTTATAATTAACGTGATCTTGTTTCTTGCCAGCTACTGGAAGAGTGACAACCAAAGTTGATGTGTACGCATTTGGAGTAGTTCTGATGGAACTGATTACCGGTAGGAGGGCATTGGACGACACTGTGCCTGATGAAAGGTCTCACTTGGTTTCATGGTTCCGTAGGGTACTGATTAACAAGGAGAACATCCCAAAGGCAATTGATCAAACTCTAAACCCCGATGAGGAAACCATGGAGAGCATATATAAAGTGGCTGAGCTTGCAGGCCATTGCACTGCTCGTGAACCTTACCAAAGGCCAGATATGGGGCATGCCGTGAATGTCTTAGTTCCTATGGTAGAGCAATGGAAACCTACTAGCCATGAAGAAGAAGAAGCTTATGGCATTGACCTTCACATGAGTCTTCCTCAAGCTCTGCGAAGATGGCAAGCCAATGAAGGCACTTCCACAATGTTTAATGACATGTCCTTCTCACAGACCCAATCAAGCATTCCAGCAAAACCTTCAGGATTTGCAGATTCCTTTGATTCAATGGACTGCCGATAACAAAAATGATAAACGGGACAACATCCAATTGCTTCTCAGTTAGGAGGACTGTATGAAAATGCTATTCAGCTGTTTTGATCTAGCAGCATCACCAAATTGTATCACAAAATTTAATTAATTTATTTTTTAAATGTCGAGTTTTGAAGTTCTCGCAATCTCCTTTTGTACAAGTCATCCTTTCTTGATTCTTTAAAGCTAGCGGATTTGTTTTAGTGGATGGTTGAGTTCTTAGTTGGGAAGTATTATAGAAATGTTAATTGTATGATATTTTTTAACATTTTTTTGTATCAGAATATTTATTTCATTTTAGTTGTTCTTTAGCCAACAGGTGATAGTTTTTGACCAAGCATCTGTAAATTCTAAATTCCTTTCGAATGCCGCGTAAATCAACAGCAATTAACCAACCAGAGGAAAGCTGTAGCATGAACAAATCAAAGTTAATTATGCAGCATTGGTGTAAGGCGGTACCTTTAGCATCTTTTAAATTCTCTTTTTTTACTCTTTTTGTTATTGTCATCTTTTATTTTATTATTATTGTTCCTGATTTTGGGTCCGCTTTATATGGCGTAATGGAACGATTAAAGAAATTTGGACATGTCAGAAACTTGTTTTCCCCACCAAAATTTTGCGTTGATAGTGGCGGCTGACAGTTTCAGTTGAGGAGCCTACACGTTTGCGTAGTTTACGGTATTTTAATGGCGAATCTTTGCCAACCAGATTGGTGACTTTTGTGACAAATCACATGCCATGGGCTCCATTTGCTAACTGCACATGCCATGATTTGACAATCTAGATACTGCTTGCTTGCCTTCATTTGCTATCGGATATTTCCTGTTTGGCTATGTCTTCTCTATTCTCTAATGATTTACGCACAAATGTAGTTTATACATCAAGTCTGGCCATGTCATCTTTATTCTCATTTTTATCTTAACCTTTTAAATAATTTATACTTAGGTAATAACTAATTAAATGATTAATAATAAATAAATAAATAAGCCATAGTTAATTTTAATAATATATCAATATAATATTACAATTTTTTTATCGTTTTAACATTTTAACTAGTTGAACAATTAATTTTACTGAATAACTTCCATTCATTCAATTAATTATATAATTATAAGCTTTCAACTATCCTCACAATTACAAGCTAACAGCTGAATGTAATGCTTAAACTAAAATCCCAATTATTTATTATAATGGTTTATTCATATCACTCCATTAACAAGTTACAAGAAGCAGAAGAGTGAACTTATGCTACAACATTCACGCTGCAAAAAATGGCATTTATGATGGAGCACCAAGATATGAGGCAAGTCGTAAAATGTCATTAAATATTCCACCAGCTGTGACTTGGGCACCAGCTCCTGGTCCACGAACTATCAGAGGCTGATTTTTATACCTTCTTGTTGTGAATGCAATAATATTATCTGACTCAGATAGTTGTGCAAATGGATGATCCTTCTTGTATTTTCTCAGCTCTACCACTCCCTTTTGATTAGTCACGTCCACCACTCCCACGTATCTCAACACCTTCAAATATAACATACTCTTAAAAAACTCACATAAATTAACGCTATGCAGTGAAAAAAGAGACCAGATGAAAAAATACCAATTATTTAATAAAAACTAATTTTAAATATATCATCGTGGGTGAAACAACTGATGTTGTCATTTTGTCCCCCTTAATAATGTCAAGTTACTCACTTCCTCAGCACTTTCCGCATTTTTTTGTTTCTTTGTTAATTCTTGGTCAAATTTTGGTAATTGTTGCATAAACTCTTGAGCTGATGCACTAATCTGCATAAAATCATCAACATATCCATATTAAGTGTAATAGTATATACTAAAACTCAGAACTCTATAATTAATTGAGAATTGTTCTTACTCGTAAGGGTTCCGGCACAAGATTTTCAACGGTAATATCAGAAAGCTCTAGCTTCAAACCTGATTCCCTTGCAAGAATTATCACCTATAGAACCAAAGGAACTTTAATGTCAAATGATCATAACCAAATTAAAGAGGAATGAAATACGCTTTCATGAACCAAAATAACATTCATTATCCCACATAGTCCAACTAGTTCTCATCCCATGTGCCCTACTGTCCTACATATGTTAATCAATATAGTAGACTAGACATTATTTTATGCAAATAATTATATACTTTGAGGTTTATATTTGTCTGAGTAAATTATATACAAGGAAAAAAGAAAAATTAACGATCTGCTCCATATTTTAAGGCTAATTACCAGCAAGACATCTGAGACTATTTAAGATAATATTAGTTTGATTCAACTTGTGTGTTTTAAATATTTCAATGGTTTTTAGCATCCCAAAATTTTAACTTATCAAATTTAAAATCTTGAAACCAAATACATGATATGACATACTACGTATGTAAATCAAATTTGAAATCGAGTTCATATATAATCGGGTAAATACTCAATTTAATCCCTAAACTTTCACTTGATCCAATTTAGTTCTTAAAGAAAGAAAGTCATCAAATAGTTTCACAAAATTATAAATGTGAGACATTTTAGCCCTTTTATCTATTAAATATAGAGACTAAACTGCCTCATATTTATTGAGAAACTAAAATAGTTATTTATTTTATCTCTGATAAAGTTCTTTAGGGATTAATTTAGATATTCACCTTGTATAAGTCTGAGGTTCAAAGTTTAATTTGACCAAGTCAAACTCAAATCACTGCCCTACTCATAATTCTCAAGCTAAGCATCCTTAATATCCACACCCACGAGATGTCAACCTCAAGAAGGCAGTTGAAGCACTTCACATATATTTGACAGTAAAATGTTGCAGATATGTCAAATACTGTACATTGTACCTTTCTGGCAACATCAGTTCCAGACAGATCTTCCCTTGGATCGGGTTCCGTATAACCTGCTTCCCTTGCTTCAGCTACTACCTCACTAAAAAGCCGGCCATCTTTGAAGTTATTAAAGATGTAACTCAAAGTGCCACTGCAAAATCAGAGGCAATACCTTAGGCTGAAAGCATAAGATCATATGAATAAAGCCTATAGACAGTAATAATCCATAAAGTGATGTTCTTTGAATTTGTTTTTCTCTTCTGGGAGGGAAAAGTGCCTGGGAGTGGACAATAAAAGTTTGAGATGTGAGGTTGTCTAATCCACAAAAAGAGACAAGAGGAGATAGGGAAACGGGTTTGAAGAGAACCTGAATATGCCTTCAATTTGCAATATTCTGTCACCAGTTTCAAGAAGCCCCCGTAAAGTGCTGATAATTGGAAGACCAGCACCAACAGTAGCTTCATAGAAGTAATGTGTGTATGATTGCCTCTGAACAGCTCTTAACCTCAAATACTGACCATGAGTGAAGAGACTGAAGGTGTCAAAGCCGCAACAAACAGGAAAAGAATAATAGTATAGGGACTGGAGATTATAGAAAAGAAGCATTTTAAGAAATACAAAATTTCTGTATGAATTGGAGGGGGGAACATACTTCATAGTTTAATAGGAACAGATGTCCAAATTGTCAAATATTATGAAAATGATCAAGAGTAGATGTTGCACACTGGTTGACATAAGCAGTTCAGTGCGATAGCATGAAGCTTATAAATCTTTACAAAATTATCATTCCGTTAAATACATTCTGCAGAGTACTGTATCACTATTAGTTGATAAAAAAAGAGATTGGATTAACCAAAACTTAAGGGGATAATGTCATATACATGAGATAAGTTGCATAACAATAAAGCAGTCTATGTCATAAAAAGGACCACGAGGTGGATTATTTCATTTTACCTCATCAAGTGGTCCTGAATTTGCCTTCTTATTGGGGGTGATTACATGTATTCCTTTGCGTAGCCAGTCATTGTAATGGGTTGCAATGATGGAGTCAGGTGTGCAGTCCACTAACACAGTGTTTGGTATAAAATGATTTGCATGCACATGTTGAACAAATTTTTCCAAATTAGCCACTTCTCCTTTTTCTTCTCGAAGTTCTCTCCACTTAACCAAGTTGATGCCCCTGAAATCAGAATCATATGTTTGACAGTTAAGTATGCTCAGTTGCTCATTAAGCTTGATCCTTCATTGTTGATTATTAGAGATATGATGGCTTATGCTTCTACTATGCTGTTCTATTTTGGAAAGGAATGCTCATGTTCATCTGGGGTAAATCATTATCCTTATACTTGCTTTGGGATTGACTTGTATTTCTTTCCTTCCTTATTCGGAAGGAAAGGTTCTCTTAACTACAGGGAAAAGAAAACGTAATTGAGTATTTGCTTACTACCTAAGTACTTAACATAAAAAACTTAATAAAAAATGTAATTATCATAAAAAAAGGAGATTCGCCTCAAAACAATTTGGAAAAATATTTTTCTCAACAAATAATATTGAAATATCATACTGAACAATTTCACTTACGCATCATCGAGGAGCATCAACTTCGAACCCATGATGCCCATTACACGCAAATCAATGTTCAATTCTTCTTTCAGAATTGCAGCCTGCAAAAACGAGTGTTACATGAACTCGGCATAAATCTAAAAAAGCTTTCAGTGGTGTTGACATTTTAAAATGCACAAAGAAACCCCAGTTATCTTGGATGACTAGCTGTAGCATACATTTAATGTTATAATGATTTCATGCGTTCTATGGGCTATGAGCTTAATTATAGCTCATATTTTACAATACCAAATATTAAGTTAATCATATATCAAATGATAGAACTTTACATTCGACAAATAATTTCGAGAATTATAATTTGTTTTTTAGAACTTAAATAAAAAAGTAAAGAATAGGGGGATTCCAAAATAAAACAAATTATTTATAAATATATCTTCTCCTTCTTATGGTCTGAATCCATTGTTTTTCCTTTTTTAAAATTCTAAATGGCAATATAATAACACAATGTCATGTTGGAGACTGTACTCGTTAAATTTCATTCTTAGGAAATGATAACTTGCAGGTGAAATTTTGACTGAGTAAAAAGGACTAACGTAATTTTGCACCACCTGAACTAAAAGCCCGAATGCTATTTTTATACCAAAAAAATGCAGAATTAAAACAATGATGCATACATGTAAATTAAGTTCAAACATGATAAAGCATTGATCCAAATTACAATAGATATAAATACTAAACAAGAGAAAGTCACATTTTTGATAAAAATTATCACTTTTATTTTATTTATTTATCTAAAAACATTACCTGATCCCTTAGCTGGTCAAGTAGCGTGCTTCCAATTAATCCAGGTCCAATAAGGCCCATTGCTATGGTGGTTTTTGAGAGATAAAATCTGGAATGAACAGCCCGTAGAGCCTTTATAGAATCCTCTCGCTGAACCACAACAGTAATGTTGTACTCCGAACAACCTTGTGCAATAGCACGGATATTTATGTTGGCCTGTTTTAATGTAAAGGTTGACCATAAACAAGTTAAACCAAAACACTGAAATATACCAACATATTGCAAGCAAAAAAGGAGAGCAGAAAGAAAAGCATAATTTCACATTAAAATTATTAGTTCATCACTTATTCTGCACAAAAGCCATCTCAATCAAATAAGAACATTACTAAAATGAATTGCAAAAGAAAAAAATTATAACACCTCAACAAAAACTGTCATACTACTAAGATAGACACATAATTTCCTTACCTTGGCCAATGCATCGAAAAGGGTGGCACTAACTCCAGGAGTACTTGCCATTTTCTGGCCGACAGCTGCCAAAATACTACAATTTGGAATGATTGCAACCTGCGAGGTGACTACATAAGTTAGACCGTAATAAAATTAGCTAAATTTAATTTAACGAGTTTAATCTTAACAAAATATACAAGCAACTTATTATCATAACATGCTACAACTTATTATCTCAAAAGGTACTATTGAATATTTTGTTTTATTCTTAGTCTGCCTCCAATTAAGGGGGCAAGAAAAGAGAAGCATTTAAGAAAGGGAAGTTATATGATCATATCAATCTTCAGGTTTATACCCATAAACAATTCACAATTTGGCATCACCTCACTATTGAAATGAAGAATTTGATTGCAATCATATTAAAATTTGGTGGCATCGGAATTGAATTTGGCACCTGAGAAAGACGGCCAGCATCCAAAGCCGTGTGAAATACAGACTGCAACACCTCAGCAACAGCTTTTACTTCTTTCTCAGGCACAGCAAAGCACACAGAATGCTCACTACTAGCCTAGACAGTTAATTACCACAGCAGTTTCATAAATATAACTAAGGAAAAACCGGCAAAAGACAACAAAATATAGTGATTGCACCTGAGATATCATAATAACATTAGCTGCAACGTCTTTTACTGCACCAAAAATTGCGCTGGCTGTACCTGGAACACCAGCCAATCCTGTTCTGCAAAAAGGAACAGTGAGAAAAACGTCAAGAACTACAACTTTGTGCAGTCAAGTTATAAAGTTACTGGGGTCATCAAATAGAAATCACCAAAGCAGCGAGAAAAACAAACTATTCATCATATAAAATGACTGCATGCAATTCATGACTCACCCCTCGACATTTACAAGTGCCAAGTTGTCTATTGTTGTAAAGCCTTTGACATAATTTTTTAATATCTGTCTATCTTCATGAATAATTGAAGGATGGCAGATCTTTGTTCCAGAAGCAGAGAGGTTGAAAATATTCCTTATTATAATGGGTATGCAATATTGAATAACTGGAACTATTGTGCGTGGATGTAAGACATTGGCACCAAAATAAGACTGCACAAGATGCAGTTTGAAAGTTAATGTCCATAATTTTATTGGCACAAGGACCTTTAACGTTTGCAACTTACCATTTCCCATGCCTCTTGATAAGACAATGTCTTCAAAATCACAGCATCAGAAACTGCAGAAGATTTTTTATATTCAGAATTAAACCCATGCTAAGTATTCAAACTCAAAAGTCAAACATAAGACAAAAGCTTCCTCAGTCCTCACTATGTCAATAATGAAGAACAAATGAAGGACCAGAACAAACCTTTTCTAGGATCTGCGCTATACACACCATCAACATCTGTCCAAATTGTGACCTGACGGGCTCTAAACAGAGCTCCCATAATTGCTGCGGAGAAGTCACTTCCATCTCGCTTGAGAGTAATAGGAATGTTTTGAGGTGTGCTTGCAATAAATCCTGTGGCAATGATAACCTTACATGGGTTCAGAGAGTACCATTTCTCAAGTCTTCGTTCAGATTCCAAGTAGTCAGGATCAACTTGATCAGAACGAGTAGGATTTACAATAAGGACTTCCCTCGCATCCATCCATTTGCAGTCAATTCCATTCTGCAGAATAGAAGGGAAGCAAGATGGAATCAGCAAAATTCAGATCAAAGAGATGCAGATATTTCCTATTAGAATAACAGACCTTCTTAATAACTAATGACAATATCTGTGCAGACCATAACTCTCCGTGTCCCACAACAAAGTCAGTAAAGGATTCTGTTGCATGACCAGCTGCAAGATTTTAAGTATGTTAGTTGGCATGATAGCCTAATTCCTTAACCCCAAGAGTTCACTCATGGAACAATATAGATATCTTAATCCATATCCATGATAAATGATTTTTATTTTTTATAAAATAGATACAAGCGGCATTTTAGATTGGCATTTGTAAAAGTACCTCCTATATAGTAATTAAAGGGTTAATTTTAAGCCATGTCAAAAAGATTTTCTTTCATTTTTCCTCTTGGTAATGTTCTTCAACACCATATGGACATGCCCGTTTTTGCAGAACCAAAAATTTAGTCAGCACTGTTCTTCAATTGTAACACAAAATTATTTTGTTTCCACCCACGAGGGAAATCAAAATAAAAACAGGCAATAGTTGCATCATTCATGAAAATATTAACACAATTACTGAAAAGCTTTGTTATCGTCTATAAGAAAGTAAGTAAGTTTTATTACTGCAAATTACCGTTTAAAAATTTATTACACTTATATTTTCAATATAATAATTATTTTTCCCGATAAAAATTTATTAATTTTTAGTTGCTTAAACTAAAACTAACATTTTTTTATATAAAATTACACCCAATAGGTAGAAAAGCATCACTGTCAATTCAGAGAGATATGAATATTCGTCCAACTGATAAAAAGGAATAAAAAAATAAATGGCTTTTTCCTTTTTGGTTCATGGGCGGAGTAAAAAGACAGAATCAAAGAGAGAGAGAAGGCAGAGGTACCTATGTATATGGCTTGAAGCATTGCCTTGAGGTCACTGATGTCCTGATGCAACTTTGACAAGAAAGCAGCAAGATCATCTCCACCAAGTAGATCATGCGCGGTTGAGCTATGCTTCTCTAAAACAGCATTCAGTGCAGATACGTAAGACTCATCGCGAGATTGAGCCTTGTGGATAAGATCATACATCATATCAGTCACCTTTGACATAGCAGACACCACAACCAATTTCCTCTCCGAATCATCATTAATAATGATGTCTGCAACATTCTTTATTCTAGATGAGCTGCCCACACAGGTTCCACCAAACTTGTGGACAGACCAAGTTTCCCCTTTGGGAAGCTGTTTTTCCTTTACATATACATCCACCGAGACATCTGCTAGTAAATAAAGTAAAACACACTAAATTGTTAGTTTACATTACACTAACATACATACCTTCTGCAAAGCTACACTTGAGCTTGTCTGGAGAGCTTATGAATCCAATAAATTTTTTAGCATAACTTATCAAAATAAGTTGTTTTCAAATTATTCTAAAAAATTTATTACTAAATTTCTGACATAAGTCTTTGTTTAAAAAGAATTTATTGAATGAACTTTTAAATAAGATATGTATCTAAACACATCCAAGAGTGCATTCCTATATATAATTAGATCAACTGAAGTAGCAACCTGTAACTGAAGCACATATCCTTGACCTTGTTGACTTTCTCCCCCATGGTAAACTAACACCAAGAAAAATAAAATCTGTAAATGGACAATGGCTAATTTCTAAATGATAAACAAACAAAAAGGACGATATATATTTGCTAATATTCTAAACAAATACATACGAAAATGCGGAGGTTAATGTTTCACAAGAGTAAAAAAGAAAGAAAATTGCATTGCAGGCATTTTAATTTAGCAAAGAATGAAACGAGGAGTTGTAAGAGTAGTGACTGGTGAATAAACTGAACATACTGCAAAGAGTGGAGCGAGAAAGGGGAGTGAGAAGGAAGAGGGTTGTTGCGGCGTGGAAAACGTGAAGTGTTGGGAAGTGGAAAGGGAATGCAGTTGGAGGACTGGGAGATCACTGAGTAAAACGACATCATTGGCAATGGCATGGTTGTGTTGTGCAGAAAGGACAATGTTGTCGACTTTGTTATCTCACTTATATAGATTTAATGTGTGTCACTGTTTCTTAAGTCCATTTATACATTAATTGTTTTCAGTCTTAGTATCAGAGCCCTTCGTGAGTTGGATATTTATTTCTTCACCCATTACCCAATTATTTCAAAGCAATCATTCCTTCAAATTCGTTCTTTTTTGGAAATTTTTACTGTCAATTCATTTGGCCACTCAATGTCTGAAAATGATAACTCAGCCACATTTTCTTTAATTACAGATTTGTTCTGCTACACTTTTTTTCTACTCTACTCCATATATTGGGAAAATACCCTTTTATATAAAAAGTCGTTTACATATCAATATATCCTTTGTCAAAGTTAAGCATAGTGATGCTTAACCGTGTTTTGTTTTAATACTTATTATACCTTGCATTTTATTTTTGTTCTTGCGTATACTCTTTTGTATTTTAGAAAGCTTTTTATTTAATTTTTATAAAATTAAGATGTGTGGGTTAATTTTAATTCATGAAAAAAAATATAAAAATTATTATTAAATTATATTGAATTTCAGAATTAATTTAAAAATTGCAAATCCAATACAAATTAAACTTGCGTGTGTTGACATATATACTTTTATAGTTAATGCTAATTAATGCTCTGAGGGAACTAATTTCTCCTTTTGTTTTATTTTGACATTTTTATATATTTTTTTATTCATTTTGTATGATTGAATTTATTAGAAGTGTTATACTTGAAATTTCTATGTATATTTAGATGAGATATCAATAAATGTGATTATCATTGTAAAAAAATATCAATATATGATAGGAATAAACCGTTATTCATTATGGCTATGTTTAATAAACCTAAGTTGTAATTTATTTAAAGGTTTGTAGTCATTTCAGGTGAGAAATTAAATTAATTTATCAATCAATTTAATTTTAAAAGCTACTCAACATGTTGATAACTTTAGCTTATTAGTGCCAATATATGATTGGAGAATTATTTCACCCATTAATGCTCTGAATGACAATGAGCAAAGGGTATGGCAGAAACAGTAGCTATATAAATGGAGGAGAGAAATCCAACTTTCATAAACCATAAAGTAAGCATTTATAATCATGTACGTCAATTTCTGATTTCAATCATCAACCATGTCGATTCCTAGCATTTGTAGTCATGCATGTCAATTTCTCACCATGACCAAATCCAATATCAAATATCACACTCTTTAACGCATTTTTAATAATATATTTTTTACTATTAATTAAATTTTATAAAAATAACAAAATTATGAATAAATTTTATTAAAAATAATAAAAAGATAAATTTTACAAAATATATATAAAAAATATATTATTAACATTTTGATCATTTTGTTTCATACTATCATGTTTAATTTTCACTTGCATGTATGAAAAAACCAAGCACGCACAGTGCCACGTGATTCACGACTTTGTGAGAGAAAACAACATATGATTAATATCAAAACGAGCAGACACAATCCTATTTCAATGTCGTCGTCTCCGACAGAAATTTCAATACGTTGGATTTATGGAAAAAAATTTGGCGAAGGAGTTCTTCAATTTTTGCCTAATAAAGTTAGATGAATTTTTAATTCTTCATTTCACTTGCCTGCAAGTTATAATACATTTTTTTTTATTCATATGTGCTAATCTGAATAGGAAAACAAATTATTTAGCATATAATTTTCAATTTTATCCCAAAATTTTCTCTCTATATATATCTATCTATCTATATTATGAAGGTTTTTGCTATAACATGCAACTTTATTTCGAAAGAGTAATCTTTTATTTGCTGAGTAAATAATATTTAAAAAAAATTATATGCTTCATCTTTTATTTATAATTATGCTATTTACTACATACTTGTGTAATGAGTGGGAGTAAGAGAACATTAGAATTAAAATTAACTTTAACCATGTACAGTTAATAAGCTTTTGTTTAATGAAATAATTAAATATATCTATCTTTAACCTTATTAATTTTAAAGGTTTAAGGCATCTCAGAAAATGTGCAAAAATTTAAAATACTACATTTAATAATATTCAAATTTGAAACTCAAAAATTTATTAAAAGTAAAATTTATAAGTTATTTTTTAAGCCATTTGTTATTCAAAACAATGTATAATGAATATATGCACGAATATGACATACATAGTAAAAAATTGAAGACAATAATGTTCTTTATTCAATGCACTGTGAACACCCAATTATCATATTTCGGAGAGTCCCTGACACTGTTTTGTTTTTTAATACTATGTTCATTGAGACTTGTGCATATGTTACTAATAGTTTTTGTGCGCACATATTGAAGGGGTTTTAAAGAGTTAAAAAATATTGTTTTTAAAACTGAGAGATTATCAGTGTGTGTCTATATATATATATATTATTTGATTTATGCATCAACTTTTCATAAAAATGATAATTTTTAGATTTTGATACAAAATTTAATGAAAAGAATATTAAAATAATATTGGTTTATTTTTATTTGTTTGTTAATAAAATATTTCAATAACAAAAGTGCTGAATGTTGCAAACAAAACATCATAAATGAAGTATGATTAAACAAATTCTTTCACTCCACCGTGTTTTCCGCTTCAATATAAATTTACAAATGCCAAGTACAATTCGCGTGACTTTCATGATATTTTCTTCGTACCAAATGGCTACGCTATTTAATTAAATATATATATATATTTTATACTTTAAAATTTTATTTTTTTTATTGTATTTATTAAGTATTAACTCATAGAATTAATAGTAGTTAGTAGTAAAACGTTTTTCAATAAATTTTATTATTTATGTCGATCATAGACAGAAAAAATAAAAATATATTCGTTATGTGTGAGGTGTAGAAAAAAAAAATGTTAATAAGTGTATTTAATGCTTTGATACATCTTAAAACTAAAATCTCGAAATAGAGATTATCTTTTGGGCAGTTGTTAGTGGCATGAGGCATACAACAGTCAACGAAACGAGTAGTTGAGTTGACGAGTAACAAGAGCGAAACAAGTCACATTTCTGAAAACTATATCGCTCTTTCTATTGTTATTATTATGTAATATCATATTTGATACAATTATATATCTGTAACGAGCTTCGTCTTCGTTTCATTTCTTCTTGGTTCTGCTTTTACCTGTGCGAAATTCAATGTCTGCGATTCCTACAAGTTCCAGCTATGCTTCCACCTTCTCTTATTCTGCACGTGCGCTTCCTTTCTTCCTTGCTCGCAGCAACTTCACCAGGATCAAACTTCATCCACCTGTGTTTTGCCAATTTGAATCCAAGGTAATAATTACTCTCTCGCTGCTGGAACATTCTAGAAATACGTTTCGCATGCTAATATCATTCGTCCGTTCTTCGCTCTTGGCCGCTTTTTATTTTTTGTTTTACTTTTATTGCCCGGGCATATGTTTTAGGGGAAAACATTTGAACTTCATAGATAATTAAATTTGCTTTATACAACAATTGTTAAGATTGTATTTGCTTGATCCTTTTTCTCTTTGAAGAATTGGTTTCTGTTGTTTATCGTTTGACTATGTTATGATTAGCTAATATCACGCTTGTTTGTTATGTAACTAATAGAGGATGCTTAATATCTATGATTAAATTGTTATTAGCATTTTTGTTTTTCTTCTTTCGAGTTCCAACCACAAACGTTTGCATGTAGACAGAGAATACGCTGATAAGAAAGTGTTCCCCCTTTCTAGAAAGTTCATTACTCTCAGGTAATGGTGTTGTGGCCTCAGACGAGTGGAAAGCAGTTCCTGATATTTGGAGATCTTCTGCCGAGAAGTATGGTGATAAAGTAGCATTAATAGATCAGTATCATGATCCTCCTTCAACTATGACATATAAACAGGTGCTATTTTCTTTTTCAATGTTATACCTCTTTTTTGGCTAAGATGGTCCTGACATTGAGAGAAGACCAGTAAAAGCCCTACTTAGAAGAATTGATTAGCCTGATAGTTAAGGTAGAGGAAAGCCAGGGAAAACTCTAATGTTAAACGGGATTCAGATCTGAATGGCATATATGAAGAATTAGTTTTTTACAAAACACAATGGTGTCATTTGATCCATGTAATCAACCTCTTGCTTAATGGGAAAATGCTTTGATTGTTTTTGTTGTTTTATATTACTTTTGGCTGAATAGTTTTATTAATCATTGTCGCTGGCTTGCCGCAAACTGAACCTGTTTTTTGAAGCTTTGATGGTTTCCTTCCTCCTCTAATGTAGGGGTTGTGCATTCTAATATGTATCCTAATTCCCTATAATTCATGTTTTAGAAAGAATTTTTATGTCTAGGTTGATGAGATGGTAAATGGCTATGTCGGTGTTGTTGAAAATGGGAATGATAGGATATGGGATCAATGGGTTTTTTTCAAAGTCAATGACATTATGTAGGAAGTTCTTCACATTAAAAGGAAGGGCTAGGATTCAATTTGTTTTCAACTATCTTTATTAAGCATAACCATTTCCTCTGCTAAGGGTTCAAAGAAGAACAATTAGGTTTGATCAATATGCCATTTGTGTGGTTTTTTATTTTTTACTTTGAGAACTACGGGTGAGTTCTATGGATGTTGAGACATATCTACCTGAATATTAATATGCAGAATGGTCATCAATATGTGACATAAGATACAAATGGGCACAACAGCATATGTGCGAGATCAATTGACACCATTTTAAGACTTCATACTTGTACACCATCAAATCAAATAACTTCTTACAGAATATGACCATGATTGTTTTGAATCTTTGATTGTTAAATTATATTTTGTTATCCTGCTGATGCTATATGCTGCACAATAACAAGTATGATTTTCAAAAGAATATGGTATTTTAACATAAAGATTTATTGGGGTGCAAATCAATTTCAAATCACTATAGATTTTTATGACATGTCATTTAGTGGTATGCTATGCCAAGTCTTTTTGTCTTTCTTATCAAAATTTCAGTTGAAGGATGCAATATTGGAC